AAATAGAAGTACTCAGATCTTGTACTTGAGTAAAAGTAGAAGTACTCAGATCTTGTACTTGAGTAAAAGTAGAAGTACTCAGATCTGGTACTTGAGTAAAAGTAGAAGTACTCTGATCTTGTACTTGAGTAAAAATAGAAGTACTCAGATCTTGTACTTGAGTAAAAGTAGAAGTACTCAGATCTTGTACTTGAGTAAAAGTAGAAGTACTCAGATCTTGTACTTGAGTAAAAGTAGAAGTACTCAGATCTTGTACTTGAGGAAAAGTAGAAGTACCAGAGTGTAGGAATACTCTGTTACAGTAGAAGTCCTGCATTCAAAATGTTACTAAAGTTAAAGTATAAAGGTATTATCATCAAAATATAGTTAAAGTAGCGACAGTAAAAGTAGTCATTGTGCAGATTGGTCCATTTCAGAATAATATATATGATATGTTTTATAATGAAAGTGTTCTCAAAGCTGGTAAAGGTGCAGCTAGTTTGAATGACTTTGTATACTGCAGGGTAGCTTGTTGATTTACTCCAGGTGGAACTAAAGTCTGATTTAACACTTGATAATATTTCACATCATTCATCCACATCTGTAAAGGGTATTAAATACATGTAGTGGAGTAAAAGTACAATATTTACCTCTGAATTGTACGTGAGTAGAAGTACAAAGTAGCAAAACATTGAGATACTCAAGTAAAGCACTAGTACCTCATAAATGTACTTAAGTACAGTACTTGAGTAAAAGTACTTAGTTACTTTCCACCTCTGCCTACAGGGCAGCTCCACCAGGTTTAGCCCTCTTTAATCCGGCCAAAATATCTCGTCACAGCTGCAACCGGCTCCGTTAGCCAAATCAGCTGCGTGACATTCACCATAACCGCCTTATTGTTCATCTTTAAGCTATTTTAAACTGGTTAAAAGGGTAAATAAAGATGACCATACTTGGGTTTTATCACCTAAAGCCAGCTGTGTGTCGGCCTGCTAACGTGAGCTAACAGAACTAGCAGGTGAAGCTAGCTGAGTACCCAACGGTACCAACCGCCGACCGTTGCACAGCACGCGCAGATAGACGTGACTCAGAGCACGAGCTGATAGATGTGAGTCAGAGCACGAGCTGACATCGAGCTCCATCACCTGTATTTACCTGTACTGCGGACCGGCACCATGTGTGAAGCCGAAGTAATTGCTTGCAGCCATCTTGGCATCTCCAGTACAGTAACGGGCAGACAGGCAAAGACATAAGGAAGAGACTGACCGGCAAGATAGTTCCCCCCCTCTCGTGCAGCCGTTGGCGAGGACGCTCTGAAACGCCGGAACTGCGTCAGTCTTTTTTGTTTTTTGTATTATTATTATTTTGCATTGAACATATTTAGAACATACAAAAGCTCGGTGAGGATATCATCAGGTTATCAACATAAGTGCAAAGAAAAATCACAATTAGAAAAAAAACATAAATAATACATCCATAGGAGCCAGGGGGAAAGAAAAAGCATAAAAGCACAAACACATTTAAGAGGCATTAAGCTTACTTACAAATAATAACCATTTGGAAATGTCATTGTAAATATTCTTTATAGAAAGAAGATTGTATTTTTCTAAGGGACAGAAAAAAGGACTTAAATCATTCATGAAACAGGGAAGGACGCTGATTTGTTGTACAGTTACCATTAATTTTAGGGACATTTCATATAATAATAATACATTTTATTAATAAAGGCGCCTTTCAAGCGTCTCAAGGTCGCCGTACAAGGTACACAAATCAAAAACAAAAGTCCGAAAAACACGACAATATAATCAATCAATAAAACAGAGGATGTGTGATGTGATCTGGGTGGATATGCTATATGATATATTCATAAAAATATATGGGCTGACTGACTCCATACTTTGTCATTTTTGTATTGTTATTGAATAATAATTAAAAAAAGAAAAAACTGTGAGTGACTCGTTACAAGAAAAGTGACAGTGCAGATAAAGGCATACAAATAAAAAAAGAAAGAAAGACTAATAAGTACACATCCATGGTTAGAAGTAACAGCATTTAAAACGCTGATTGCATATAATGTATGTATTGCAAATACCAGTGATTAATGCTGAGTGAAGTAGCAGAATGCAAAAGAGTGTAAATTGCACATATCAGGGTTATTGCACAGGATTGTAATATTCTGTATTGTGTGGTGGTCTACCAGGGCCCGTGGTGGTTGTACAGTCTTCATATAAAGTCACGTTGTCATTTGGATTGTCTATGTTTTCAATCTTCACACTTATTAATGTGTGATTAATGCTGTGTCCTTGTGATAAATGTTGTTTATTTGACTTGTTTTTTTACCTCTGTAAAGCGTCGTTGAGCAGCTGATAAAGCGCTTGATAACTATTATTATTATTATTATTACACACAACATATATGAGGCAGACAGCAGAGAAACCCCCGACACAGACCGTCAAGATGGTTCCCCCCCTCTCCTGCTGCTGTTGGGGAGGACTATCAATGCTACACCGGAACTGCGTCAGTCAAACATGTGTCTGTGAGTCAGATCAAAACAAAAATACTACACAAAAAATGTAGTGTGAGTGAGTGTATCATTTCAGATTATTTACGGAGACATTTTAGCATGAATTAATTTCTCAATTTCTTCTGGGTATTCAACACAACTCTTCACGCATGAACACTTCAAATTAGAAGAAATAGCTCTGATAAGTCGTTTTTCCTTTATAATTTTGCGTAAGAAAACACATATTCATACCTATAAGTGGAAATGCAGTACTGGATCTCGATACTATTAACTTTACTGCATACTATGAACCACCCACCACATTAGCCCTTTAAATGCCAGTTTGCTTGCTTACCTAATACCAGGTTTTTCTTTTATGAAAATAAATTGTGTACTGTAAATGCCAAGAGTGTTTTAGTCTATCCTGCCAAAATCACTTCACCCGCTAATGGTCTCTAGTAAATATGCTTTATTTTTTGTGTGCAATTGGCCTTCAACCTCTTTGTAAATGGACTGTATTTTAAAGGTGGGGTAGGTAATTCACTTCAGAAACACTTTTTGTTATATTCCATGGAATGCTCTTAACATCCCAATAGCAATGAATACACCAAATGCTTTGACAATAAATATATACAAATATTTCATCTGTGGAAGCCGTGGCGCTGTAAAAAGCATGACCAATCATCTGAGCCGGCTAAAATAACTGGATGGCCTACCTGCCTGTCAGCCTTCCATCTCGTGCCCTCATTGGTCATGTGCGCGTTTGTGTGTGTTGGAGGAGGGGCTCTGTAAGGACGTCTGAAGGAAGGGGCAGATTTTTTTCGGTTGTGTACTTTCAAATTCTAGCGCACTCGAGCTGGTTTCTCCATTCTTACCTACCCTACCTTTAATATAGCGCTTTATCCACTTTACGACCCCTCAAAAGCTCAAATTGCAAACTTAGAGTCATACATATCCAAATGCCAATCGGGATACATTAAAATGTTGTTGCATGGGCCTTCTGATTGATAGACTGCCAAACTCCCTCACAGCCACAGTCGCTGAAGCACACAATACATACAGTAGCCTTGGATACTGTGCGACAACCTATTTAACAAATGTACTAGAACACTAAAGGCGGTCTCCCATCTAAGCATTGACCGGGATCAACTGTGCTTAGTTTTTGTGGAACAAAGGTAAACAATTGGATGTATAACGCCACCTTTTCCAATTGTAATGGAATGTGGATGGCTTTGGCTCAAGGACTAAATGGATGTCTGCCAATCTGAAGGTCAAGGGTTCAAGTCTGATTACAATTGGTAATGGAAAACGCTTCGAACACTTACAATGTGTTAAAATAGTGGCACAACGAGCTTCAACCTTATTTCTTTCAGAACAAGCCAATATATCCTTTTCCCAAACTCCCCTGTTATACCGGGTAGTGCCACAAAAACAACTGTATTCAAATCCTGAGATGGGGTCTCACCAAATATTAACTCGGCCAATGCATGGTAAGATCGTATGTGATGTGAAGTGCACATGCAAACACACCGTCTATAGCAGGTTAACACTGAGAATTGGTGTTTGCACCATTGTTGGGTAATGCACTTTGCTTAATGAAAAACAATTCCGGGCGAAAATTACGGCCCCGCCCACTTTTGGGGGAAAACAACGCTGTCATTTGAATGGCGGTCATTACAGATTCAGAAGTTTTTGCCAATCCGATCAGAATTTTTTGAAAACCGTGGATTTTTGGATCTTCAAAGAGCCCGATTACGATGGCCAGTCAGGCAAACAATTACATTCAATCATTTGAAATCGACAATCGGTCTCGATATATGGTTAAATTAAAATCAGTAGGCGAGACTGTAATGAGCGAGGCGGAAAATAATAATTTTATCATGCCAACAAGCTGCTGTGTCGTTTATTGCACCTAAAACATTAAAACAAATCCAGAGTTACGTTTTTCTGTACTTCCTCTATGAACAGGACAGTAAAAGAAGAGCTCGGTGGCTTCAGGCTCAATCGCCATTCAAATGAGAGCGCTGTTTCCCCCAAAAGTGGGCGGGGCCTTAAAGTGACGTAGATGTTACTCTCATCTATGAAAATCGATAGCCTACTGCTATATTTAACAATATATCGAGCCCGATCATCGATTTCCAATGATTTAATGTAATTGTTTGCCTGACTGTTCATTGTAATCGGGCTCTTTGAAGATCCAAAAATCCACGGTTTTCTTAAATTTCTGATCGGATTGGCAAAAACTTCAGAATTTGTATTGACCGCCATTCAAATGACAGCGTTGTTTTCCCCCAAAAGTGGGCGGAGCCGTACTTTTTGCCCGGAAGTGACGCATTTGTTACTCTCATGCAACAGACCAACACCTATTTTTTTCATTATTTATTCACGAATATATATGAACATAATTTATTTTGTATACAAAATATTTCACATCAGGGATAGACATATAAAGTAATATAAAAGTACATAAAGTTAATAAATAAAAAACCCGAAGCGCTGTGTCACCGGAAACATTGACCGGAAATACTGTAAACGGGCGGGAAGTTGAACATCTTTGAGATTTCAAAACGTTTTCATCACCGACTGAATTAACGTGTATTTAAATAAAGAAGCATATTCTGCAAGAGCGGAGTAAGTACGAGGACTTTAATAATCTCACTGTGGTCAAAGGTTGAAGCTAACTAAGCTATCTGATGGGAATTCAGTAGCTTTAGCTCGGTAGTAGCTAGCTTTACAGGCTAGTATTAGCTCTGTTCAAGTTGTTTACGTTGTGTTTTCTGACAGGATGGTGGACAGAAGTCTTGTTCGGGACTTGAGACGTTGGGCGACCGAGGAGTTCAATCTGCCCCCGGACAGCCTGCCAAATGACGGCAACTTTAAAACGTGGGTATCATTTTTACTGTCTTAAACGTACACTAAGGGGCCACTTTATTAGGTAAACCTGAAGAATAATGCAAAGCAGTGCAACAGCTCTGATATCAATTGTACTTGGTAATATTCAGTTTGTGTTGACATTATAGGGAACGTGGGATTTATTTGTAGTTGTCAGTGTTGTACAGGATTACATTATACTGAGAGGTGTTTCTATTTTTGATGTTCTCCATATTTTTACGAATGAATGGAACAAAGTTATGGAAACACCTCTCAAGACAATGCAACAAACTACAACAACACCACCATGACCATATTATCACCTCTATGTAAAATGAACATGACCCTTATTGGCATCATAAAAGAAAGCAGAACATATCTGAATCAGAAATCAGTCAGAAACAGGTTTATTGCCAAGTAGGTTTACACATACGAGGGATTTGTCTTGGTGTATATAGGGCATACATGAACCCAGTCAAAGAGGATATGTATTGGGTTATAGATTGTATAAGCTTATAATGTGGCCACTGGATGTATGTTAAATGTTCTCACAGTTTAAGCTACATTTTGCATTGTTGAACAATTGTAAAGCTGATCTTTTGTTCTCCAGGCTCTGCATCGGACAAGGGAAGTCAATATGGAAATATGTCATCCAACATGTTTTTCAACAGAGGTAAGTCTTCCAGGTCTGATGTTCCTCAATACATTTCCTAGTAATGTAGCCATGCTGATCATCCCAGAGCTCACTCAATCCTCATTAGTCTTGTCAGCAACTGCTTAATCTCTATAATAAACTACAGTCTGGCAGTATTACAATGGGTTAAAGATTTCTGACGTTTTGTTTGTTTTCCCAGGAATGTCAGGATCATGCGTGGCAATCTGCAGTGGTATCCTTTCTTGTCCACATTTTAAGGATTTTAAAGCCACCTTACATTGGCCGTGGCAATTCATGCGCACATGTGGGAAATCTAGCTGCTCTTTTAAATGTGAGTGAGAGATAACATAGACAGAATAGAGTCTTGTTGATGGTGTTTGTACCTGTCAATGTACAGTGTGTGTGTGTGTTTCGCATTTCCAGGGTGTCCGCGGGGTCTTAAAAAGTATTAAAAGTTGATCAATCAATTTAGCAAAAATGAAGGCTATTCAAAAGTATTAAAAAGTATTAAACGGCATTTCCCAAGGTATTACATTTTGTAGCTTGTTTTCAATAAGTATATGAATTGTCCAAAGAGGTTGTATTCTACAGTCTGCCTGAATGTAATCATTGCGTAGGTGTGTAGTGTGATTCTGTGTAGTTTATTTATGGCATCCCGTTGGATTTGACGTCATCTGAACAGGACATCGCACGCTCACTGCTTGATAGCGCGCAAAGGTCCGTTTACGCCGGTTGTTAAACAACATCGTTATGGGGAAATGCAAGTCTGCGTCCAAATGGTTGGAAGATAAGGAGGAAGGACAATCAATACTGTATATAGTCAATGTGAGGTAAAGTGTGTCGCCAATGTAACCGGTTAGAACTCAAAGTGGCGATGAGGTCTTAAAATGTATGGAAAGGGTCTTCAAAGGTAAATTTGAGTTCAGGATTCCTGCATATACCCTGATTTATTCATTGATGCCCTTAACATAATGATCTTCAAGGTACAAAGTTATTCAAGACAAAGAGGTAAGCTCAAACTTGATTTTCTTTCTTGTTGCTATTTTCTATTTCATGTTATCCCTGCTTAAAGTAGTACTTGATTAATCTTGATTGATAGTGTAGAATTTTGAATTTCCAGTCAGAAACCCACAGATAAAGTGACATGTGTTTTGATCTGCTCAGTTGAAGCAGGCTGAGGGCCAGAGTGAGGCCGCTAAGCAGAAAGACCTTCAGAGGAAGATCGAGCAGCTGAAGTCCGAGATCAGTCACCTGGACTCTCAGATCAGTGGGACAGAGGAACAGCTGGCTACACAAGGTGAGTTCCTCTCAGTGTCTGAGCGAACCACAGTACTCTCAAACAGAAAGCCTACACTGGTGTTGTTCTACTCTTCACCAACAGAGCAGTCCGTCAGCCGTACCTGGGCTCAGGTGGAGGACAGCCGGCGCAGAGAGATGCTGCTGCAGGCCTTCAGGCAGCGTTGCATTGTGGGCCGCCAGGAGCTCTCTGATGACAAACAGAAGATCAGCGGGCACTGCCAGACTCTGGAACAAATGTCCAGGTAAGCTAGATCATTAAGAGTTGGGGGTGTGACGTCACGTTGTGTCACGTGACTTGAATTTTGAATTGAGCCATCCCTTATAGATACTATCCCTTAACGTATGTATGCACACACACACAATTTTGAATTGCGCCTTCCCTTATACTATCTCTTAACCTCTCCCTGCCGACAGGGACACCCCTCCTGGCATGGTCCTTGGAAGATTTCCGTCACAGGAACGCGCTTTGCTGGCGGGCGAAAATTTGCCCCTCCAACAGAGGGATGTCCTTGTCCTTTTACCTTTTCGTCATTTCAAGCGATAAAAACTCGATCTTCTCTCAAATTATTTATTTTTTTGGACGCCCTCGGCTCGAGTTCAGGGTGTTCCGAGCTGAATAAGAGCGTCAAATGACGGCAAGACGCCCGCCTGGCTGAAACGCTACCAGAAGTTAATACCTGTTTCCTTGGGTCTTCCTGGTTGAGAACTAATTCTAATCTTGAATATTTACTCACATTAATTAGTGATGCTTAATGCTTGTATCCTCGCCGTTACTCGGATCCACTCCACACTGTAAACGGTTCTTCCTTGGACCATGCAACACTCCACCATCATGAACAACTGTGCCAGTACGTTAGTAAGAGTTGTGTTGTGTTTTGCAGGAAAGCAGAGGTTGAGGTGCTGTTTGATAATCAGCCCTCCAGCAGCAGTGATGGTGACAACGTGAACTCCAAAGCTGCAGCAGAGGCACAAGTCCTGGTAAGAGCTGCTTCAGTCTGTGGGAACAGGCCGACTCACACAAAAGCTAAACATGGGTTGTGTGAGGAATGTTTAGTTACTATATATTGCACTCTATTCACATCCCTCATTTGGTTTGAGTGTCTGAATTGTTTGGGAAATGTTTTTATTGTAGTGCCTGCAATATCTAATGCAGTTTTACGTGGGAAACGGCAATGCATAACTTCTGGTTGTTTCTTTTTGCATCTGATTCCATCTCCTACACAATAGATTGATGTCAATTTGACAGCTGTAAGATAGATGATAGATAGATATGTATTCCTCCCAAGTTGGAAAATTGTTTTGTCATGGCAGCATTAAGACAGTCAATCTCCAAGAGTTACAAAATTACTTAAAAATAGAATAAAATAAAGATGAAACATTTAAATGTAAAAACAATTTATACATATTCTCAGTAAAAAATACATATAATCAGAGAGAGGAGTATCTAAACACTATAAAATACACAGTATAATTAGAATACTCTGTAATATACCAATCTACTAAACGTATAAATATAGTTTACTATATACATTTAACAATTGTGTTCAGTAGCTTGAAATTAGAAGTATAAAAAGCTGGAATCTAAATATTTTGGACGAGCAACCTGTAACCTAAATATGACAAATGTAGACCCATATCTTTCTTAGCTGATTAAAGGAGTCATCATATTTAATTATTCTTTGACAGCGTGAAGTGAGAGAGCTGTGTGACGGCAGGGTCCGCTTCTACCAGTCTCTGCAAGACAGTGAGCTGAAGACAACGTCCAAACAGTAAGAACTACCACGAGAGATACAGTATTGAAAAAACTATTTAATACTTTTGACAACTTTTTTTATTTTCTTGAATGAATTCTGTCTTTGTCTCTTGTCAGTATGACCAGAGAACAGAGGACTTTTGTGTTTCAGTACTGGCTGAGTGCTGTGGAGGTTTGTATATTTTGAGCACATTTCTCTACATATTTTGCCCTCTCGTTTACTGTCAATAGAGTGCCACAGTGACGCGTCCTAAAACCCGGAAGTAAACTCCTTCCGGTTCCTTCGACAAAAACGCAATGCAATGTCTCCATAGGATTTTGGAAAATAGCTGGAAATCAGGTCTGTGGTTGAGACACATTGAAGAGACGGATTACGTTTTGTTCAGCCGGATAATCTCCACATGTCTACCCTACTTTTATCATTTTCTAATCATAAATCTAGTCGCCAGAAGCTAACGTTATGCTATATACGAACTACAGCCGGGTCGCTGCTTCAACGTCACGCCAACTTAAGATCCATATTCAAACATACAGATTCTAAATGGTACGAGTTGAAGCGTTTGTTTGAACAGTTTGCAGGAGGCAGGTACTTGCTCTCAAGCAGAACAGGGCAAACTAACTTAGAGGAGTGTTTACGTGTTCGGCGTAATGACGTACAACGTCCTCGACAACTTCTGTAGTCCTATTCAGCCACTTGGTAACAACCATCGTTTTTCAGACACGTCAACTCTTCAGAAATCACCAGTGGGGTCACTGCTGATGGATTTAATGTCCTAGAACAAAACGTGACCCGTCTCTTCAATGTGTCTCAACCACAGACCTTATTTCAGCTATTTTCCTAAACCCTATGGAGAAATTGAATTGCTTTTTGTCGAAGGAACCGGAAGTGGAAAAAATGCTAACTTACTTCCGGGTTTTAGGACGCGTCACTGTGGCACTCTATTGACACTTTGAATAATAATGTTTCTCGTCATGTGATCAGAACCTGTTGGGCGGTTATCCTCCGAACCACATCCTCTCAGCTTTACAGTATTTAGCCTCCAGAGAGCAGGAGGAACTGGAGGAGAAACTCTCGGCTCTGAACGTGATGCGCGATGTGAAGAATCTAAAGTAAACTCTTTATTAATGTTCTCTCCTGCTTTTAAACTAAGAAACGTTTTCGGTGTTAAAGTATACATGTTTTATATTAATCGCAGGTTCCGCTATGAAAGCAATCACCTTCTGGACATGTCAGCAGAAGAGGATGATCTGCCATCTGTTAGATGTCTCTTAGAGGTAACACACACACACACACACACACACACACACACACACACACACATGGACATTGCCGTGTCAAATTCAGGCATTTAAAGTCAAAGAAAACATGCTCTTGTGTTTTCTGTGCTTTGTGATTAAAACACTCATTTGTGGAATTGCATGTTTGTTTGAGCTGACCTCCAGCGTACCTGTTGTCTTTAACATGCAGCGCCTCTCACTCGGGGACCTCACACTGCTTTGTACACACATTTATTACATCTGTATGTAATTCATATATGCCTAAACCCTGCACGTTATCCATATATGCTTATCCCCCCCCATGTGCATCAAGTATACGTGAATATGCTGTAACCTCATGCTCTTTATCTACTAAAGGGCATTTAGTTACACTATGGGCAATGACAGGTGCCATAATTACAGGGTTATTAAGGAGAAACTCTTAATTAATGGCCTAGTACCTGTAGAATATGGTCCTGTAGAATAAGGCATTATTAAGTATTTTATAATGACGGATAAAGAGCCAATATACTGCTAATATGCATGTTAATTAACAACTAGTTGATGGTGAATATGTACCTTTTTTAAAGGTCACCTATTCTGCAAAATCCCCTTCTTCATGTCTCTTCTACATCAACACGTGTCCCCTCTTCTTCATGTCTCTTCTACATCAACACGTGTCCCCTCTTCTTCATGTCTCTTCTACATCAACACGTGTCCCCTCTTCTTCATGTCTCTTCTACATCAACACGTGTCCCCTCTTCTTCATGTCTCTTCTACATCAACACGTGTCCCCTCTTCTTCATGTCTCTTCTACATCAACATGTGTCCCCTCTTCTCCATGTCTCTTCTACATCAACATGTGTCCCCTCTTCTTCATGTCTCTTCTACATCAACATGTGTCCCCTCTTCTTCATGTCTCTTCTACATCAACATGTGTCCCCTCTTCTTCATGTCTCTTCTACATCAACATGTGTCCCCTCTTCTTCATGTCTCTTCTACATCAACATGTGTCCCCTCTTCTTCATGTCTCTTCTACATCAACATGTGTCCCCTCTTCTTCATGTCTCTTCTACATCAACATGTGTCCCCTCTTCTTCATGTCTCTTCTTCATCAACATGTGTCCCCTCTGTGGAAAGAGACTCTGAAAGTTTCAGGAACAAAGATTCTCTCTCTTTTTCTCCTGATCCATTTTTATAAAAACCTGTCTGAAAATGAGCTGATCAGATTTTGGCCACTTTATGATGTCATAACGATGTGTTGTCTTGTGTAACCATTAGCCAATCAGCAACCAAGGTAACCCCCCCCCCCCCCCCCCCCCCACCTTATCTCAGAGGGGCGTGGGGAGGGGCTCCTTATTTTCATCTAAAGTAACAGACAGAGAATCAGCACTTTGGAAACAGGGCTGAAACAGAGGGGATTATGGGTAATGCTGCAATGATCTGTTTGGTGTTTCAGCCAATCAGAGACAGGTTCTGGATATATCTGAGACCTGTGATATATTGATGAGAAACAGTATAATAGGGGACCTTTTAATATAAAGTGTTACCAAAATCTGATTTCAGGATGCTTGGGAGGAGGTGGAGCAGAGTTTGGTGCAGCTGGCCCTGACCCGCTCCAGAGTCCAGCTGATCCAGAACCAGCTGCAGGTTCGACGGAGGGAGGCGGAGCAGGAGGTGTCCGGCATCACTGAGGAGCTCCACAACGACACCTTGGCTCTGTAAGCAAACTCACTGACAATACCAGGAGTATGAAGAGGGGATTATCAAAGTCAACTTTATTGTCAATCTTTTAGTTTGTGTGTACAGACGGAGAGATCAAAATACCGTTTCCCACAGGTTGGGCAGCATGATTTGGAAATAATTACTATTTGCGATATTGCAACTGCGATATGATTTACAATATGGGAAGGCATGATCATTTTTGCATCATTATCATTACAAAAGTATATTGAAATGATCATAGTGCGATCCTTACCAATCAGATGTGTTTTGTTTAGTCTGTAGAATATGATTTGAAGGCCATGATATCTCTTAATCAAAATGTTATATTACCACATGTTCAGCCTTTAACAAATATAGTGTCACACACACACATACACACACACTCACACACACACAGACACAAATATAGTGTTTGAATATTGCACTAATCCATATTATATTTCTCTTAATTATTGTGCAGCCCTGATCCCAGTAGCTATATTTGTTTTTATGGAAGTTCATAGTACACACACACACACACACACACACACACACGCACACACACATACGCACACACACACACACACAGACACACAGACACAGACACACACACACACACACACACACATATAGTGTTTGAATATTACACTAATCCATATTACAATTTTGATTATATTTCTCTTAATTATTGTGCAGCCCTGATCCCACTAGCTATATTTGTTTTTGTGGAAGTTCATAGCCCAAATGCCAGGATGTAGGTACATAATTATTTTGTAGTAGCAGCTCATCATTGTCAAGCATTTCCACTGCTTCAACATTTTTCATTTTTCTCAATTAAGTCTGTTTTTTGGGGGAATTTCTTGTTGCTTTTTTAGTCAAAGTCAACTCTCTTATCAATGTATCTGTATTCGTGGTACAAACAGGGGGACCGTAATGACGTTTCTCACTGTCCCAAAGAATAATAATAATTAAAAAAAAAAGGCACTTCAATAAATATATAGAAACAGCAGTCTTCACACAATTTATACATTTATACACATGCACACATTAAGACATAAATACAAGCACAACAATCAATATATACAAAATAACAGTCACTTCAATATCTTTGAGAATTAGTGCAAGACTGTCCATAGCAGTGTAAAAAGTGTCTGGTGCTGGATTTGAGTGTCTGAGTGTGTGTGGTAGACTAGAATGGATGAATATACGACAGCATTTCTTACATTTGCAATCCATTTGAATGGCTGACAGGGAAATGAGTGACTGATGTGATCGTCCTTTCTTTCTTCCATGCGGTCAGGTCGGCTCTGGAGGTGGAGCTGCAGGTTGTGATGCAGGCTGCAGCGCGGGATCACATCAGAGAGCGCTGCCTCCAGCTGGACCAGCAGGCCAGGAGCCGGCAGGAGGCGCTCAGGAGTCTGCACAGCCAGTGGCAGAGCATCCTGGACTTCAGACAACTAGTGGTGAGAGCATGGACGACAGATCTTATCTTAATAAAGACGGGACAATCTGAAGGCTGGCGGTCATATTTTAAAGGATTAGATCACTGACTGAGAGCGATCCATCGTAACTTTAATGTGGTTCAGTTTGTCTGCAAAAACAGCTGGTAATTCAGTCTCCAGCGTTGAAAAAAAATGCAGATATAATCGCTTCAAATAAGCCAGACCATTTTTAAAGGTTATTTGTGTTGAATTGAATGCCAAGGATAGAGGTTGGTTTTCAGTTTGCAGTGGAAGAGATCTAGACATTCTTTTTTCTAAGATATTTCTGGGCCAGAGAGAGTCTTTATTGGACATTCGGCGGGGTCGGGAGTTTCTGCTGACATTACATATTATATTTTATTTTGTAAAATGTCATTGTTCAGATTGACCGGTTTAGGCACAATGCAGGGTTCGTACGGGTGCTGGAAATCCTTGAAAATGCTTGAAATTGTATGAGGTGTTTTCAAGGTTTGAAAAGTGCTTGAATTTTGGGAATGGTGCTTGAATTTGGGATAAAGTGCTTGAAATTGTAAATGCTTTACTTCGCTTTTTAGATTAAAAGAAAATAAAGAAGTCTGAGCGCGCTTAATTGCTTCGCTTTTACATAAAACAGCTCCGCTCCGGCCTGATGACAAGTACCTCCGGATTTGAGCTGTGAACGAGTACTTTTATCTGGTCAATTTTTGGCAGTAAGCTTCTAGTATTTACATGTAGAAAACCTAAAGCTTTACGTGAGCAGAAGTCAGGGAAACTCAGATCATTGTGACAAAGATTGACATCAGGGCACAGGTCAGAACTAGAGCTACATACAATAGAAGGTCCAGGATGAACATGCACATTGCCCGATATCATCAGTAGTAATGCAATCAGAGCACGGCCAAGAGCTAGCAGTGAGTCACAATGCCTAGTTTGTGTTGTGCGCACATTGACAGTGGAATGTAACGTAATCATCTTGTGTAGAGACCTCATAATCACACATGATAGTAGTGGCGGTTTGCATTTGTTATGCGCAGGAGGGGGTAGGGAGGCGGCGAATAACGCAAGGAAAAAGCAGTACAGTTTGGGATTAGCCATTGTTAGTAAGTCCAGTGAAGGTAGGAAGCAGCACTCACCCAGAGGTCAACAGTCCTTGGTTGTTTATAGCATAAGGAACATCTGATTTAATGTGAGGTAGGGAAATAATCATTTGAGTATAAGTATGTGTATATAAATATGTAATTTACAACAGCTGTAAGATGCTTGAAAAGCTTGAAAATGCACCTTGAAAATGCTTGAAAAGTGCTTGAATTTGACTTTGGAAAAGGTGTAAGAACCCTGTCAATGGCAGCTGCATTTTTTTTATAAAGTCCACTGTCACTGCAGGAGGAACAAATCTTCCATCTGCACCACATGATGTGAAAAGTTACTGCACTGTGAGTAAGTGGGGTATTGCGGCAGTAATATTCCAAACAAAGTGCCGTGAGGGACTAAACAAGAGAAAAACATTGTGGACGCGCAAAAACTCAGTCTTTCCACCAGTATGCGTTTGACCTCTTATTTCCAAAGCAAACATTCAATAGTCCATATCCATATCCATATGCGTGCATTCGTGCGGTCAACACAAATTGTCCTTCTCCAGCTCACTCCCCCTCCATCTATCACAAAGTGCGTAGGTAAAAGCAACCGGATATAACCGCAAACGTCACCACACAAATCCAATGACACGCCCACCACCTATAGTGACTCAAAAACATGTACCGTAACAAACACAGAAAAATACTTCATATGTGGCTCCTACATGGGGGTTAACAGATTATGACAGATGGTGATAATGTAGTCCGTTACTCACCAGGCTTGAGAGTATGTTTGTAGATAAAGATCTTGATTTGCCCAAACCTTAAAGGTGGGGTAGGTAAGTTTGAGAAACCGGCTCGAGATCGCTAGAATTTGAAAATACACAGCCGGAACAAATCTGCCACTTCCTTACAGAGCCCCTCCTCCAACACACACGAACGCGCACATGACCAATGAGGGCACGAGATAAGTCTGTGCACAGATGGAAGGCTGACAGGCAGGTAGGCCATCCAGTTATTTTAGCCGGGCCGGCTCAGATGATTGGTCGTGCTTTTTACAGTACTACAGCTTCCACTGATATTTTTTTATGGATTTTTTGTCAAAGCACTTCAGATATTCATTGCTATCGGGATGTTAAGAGCATTCCATGGAATATAACAAGTGTATCTCGAGCCGGTTTCTCAAACTTACCTACCCCACCTTTAATTGTGCCAAAATAACTCAGAATATGTTCACTAATAAGCTAGAAGTTTGGCTCTAATATGCATGTTAGTTAGCAACTGGTTGGTGGTGAATATGTGTAACTTAATCTAAAGTGTTAACCAGATTTTATGTCATTGCCCATAGTGTAACTAAATGCCCTTTTAATCCAACCAGAAAGTGCAAAGAGTAGATAAAGAGCATGAGGTTACAGCATATTCACGTATACTTGATGCACATGGGGGGGATAAGCATATATGGATAACGTGCAGGGTTTAGGCATATATGAATTACATACAGATGTAATAAATGTGTGCACAAAGCAGTGTGAGGTCCCCTACCCTACCTTTAATGAATTTAAGGTGTCAGTATTTCTCCAAACGTATATCATTGAACTTGTTGTTGTTGTGTCTGCAGGTTCTCAGACAGGAAGACATCAGAGGTCTGATTAAAGGAAACTCCACGGCCAAGACGGAGCTGATCCGTCTGCATAGAGAGGTGAGGAGGCAAATGCTTTTCTTTTTGTCTGTCTTCTGCACAGTCTCAGGAAACTTCCCAGCTGAGGGGAAAGCATTTCTGATTCTGGTGTAGAGAGATTATTTATAAGAGCTGCTTCATTTTGTGGTGAAAGAAAGGCTATGGCTTCTTTAGGCCAAAAGTAAGTGAAGTTTATTTATGAAGCGCTTTTCACTAGGGCTGTGCGATTATGGCAAAAATCATAATCACAATTGGTGATTTGGTCAATAATTGATATCACGATTATTAAAAACGATTATCCATTTACTTTGAAAACATCCATTTATTGAAAAAGAAAATGTGAACAGTATATTTTTAACAGTTGATTACCCTGAACTTTAAGGATAATTAAACTGAAAACACAATAAAAAAAAATTCGCATCATCAGGGGAGAGCATCTGGAGGGAGAGTGAGTCTCCTTCCCTCCTCTCTCCTCAACTCTGGCCTCCTCTAATATGTCTCCTCATTTCCTCTTTTGGTCGTCTTCCCCCTTTTCTCTCCTTTCTCTTCTCCCTTTGTTCCCTGTTCCCTCGTCTCCTCTCCTCTGTCTTTCTTCCTTTCAACTTCTCTACCCTTACCTTGTCTCCTGTCTCTTCTCCTCCTTACCCCTCTTTTGCACCTTTTTTTAATACAAATAATAATCGTTTTATTTCGATTACGTTGTTTTCGTAATCGTTGCAAGCCAAAATCGTAATCGAGATTAAAATACGATTAATTTCACAGCCCTACTTTTCACAGACAAAGTCACAAAGTGCTTGACAAGACAATAAAACATCATCATAGGAATCGTACAATGATAAATGAACACACAAGCCACGTGTTAAGAAGTCATAAAAGCACCAAAACACAATGAAAACAAAATAAAAACGTAGTATAAAATCAAGCTCACCGGTTACCCAAACTTTAAATGAGCTTTTAAAGGAGTCAGCAGACCGTAAAACACTTTTCCCACACAGAAAAAGCTCATTGTTGAACATCTCTTGAGCGTTTTCTCTCCCTCTGTTTTGATTCAGCTGCAGCAGTTTGTCCTCGCTACGCTGGTGCCTCAGTTTGAAGTCGTCTCCTCTGCAGCCAGCAGTCAGAGGAACTGCATTTCAAAGGAGGCGCGACAACTGGGAACCATTTCCTTTCCTGCTCTGGACCGGAGGACTACTGAAGGGTGAGAAGCCTGGGCTGACTGTAAGAACACGTGGCCTGATACCTGAAGGGGTGAACCGTACTCATTCCACATGTTTCTGTTGTTTCAGAGGACAGAGAATCGCTGCATCGTGGCTGTCCATCCATCGCCTGCAGGCCCCGACCTTCGGCAGCCTGTGTCAGAGTCTGGACTTCCCGCTGTACAGGGTGAGTCCGGCAGAGATGGCCAGGGTCATTACAAACCTGGAAAAGTCATGGAAATTCAAAATGCTAATTCCAGGCCCTGGAAAAGTTATGGAAAACAATATCCTTCCCAAGGTTTTGGAAAAGTCATGGAAATGTAACTAAAGTTGCATCAAATATAATTTATATTTTATCTAATCGCCAAAATAGTAATACTATAATTATAATGATAATAAAAACTGTATCGTAATGAAACGTAAAATGGCATTTAATGGCGCGTTTCCACTACAGCGCGGAGCACGGTTTAAGAGGGCTGTGACGTCAGCGGCCCGTCTTTGGTTGCGTTTCCACTTGGCCTAGTACCGGCCGGCGGGTCCTAATTCACAGTTTTTCTGGCCTCATAAAATCGTGGTTCTAGGGCCAGAGACAACGAGGCTGAGTCGGGCTGAGTAAGCTAAACTAGAGAGAGAATCGCTGGCAAGGGGGCTACAACTACAACAAGATGGACATATTTGAACGTGATTTAATTGTAATACACGTTTCAAAATGATGCCGAAGTAACAACATACTGATACCGGTTAGTAAAAACCATGAATTAATGCTTTGTCAAGTCTGCAGACAGACGGCAGGCGAAAAACCTTTTAAAATGCGTGTTTTCTAAATGGAGATTGGCTAAGCTAACGCAGTATATGCTCCGACCGTCCACACTCACAACAACGGCCTATACAGACATAAATAAACCAGCGACTGTATTCACCATGACACAGGCAGTCTGTGGTTTGTACTTGTTTAACTTTTGTCTAGTTTCTGAACAGATATGAGGAGCTGTGAGCTCTGAGTGCTAACAGCTAACGGCTGTGTTGTTTTTCTGGAGTTCTCTGAAGATGACGTCACGGCTCCGCCTACACTGCGTTACTATAGATACTACCCCAGTTCCTAAACTGTAATGGAAATGCGCCATAAAGTGAGCCAGTCCTAACGAGGCCCAGCCATACCGAGCGGGGCCGAGCGAGGCCGTGTAGTGGAAACGTGCCATAACTGTCGAGGTATTTTGCTGGTGAGAGATTTCAGTTGCTTTAGCGTGTAGAAGCTAGTAAGCCTACTATTTTATTTGTTTTAGATCGGCACAACATGTTTTATATGCAGACCTTATTTTCCTGTTCCATGTTAAAATAAACCATTTTCAGTGGTACCGCTGAGAAAGAGTCATTTTTTTGGTCGTGGAAAATTAGGTAAAGGTCATGGAGAAGTCATTGAAAATCATTGGTGAAAAAGTGTGTGCGTGTGTGTGTGAGATTGTGTGCGTGTGTGTGATTGTGTGTGTGTGTGTGTGTGTGTGTGTGTGTGTGTGATTGAGAGAGATTGAGTGTGTGTGATTGAGTGTGTGTGTGATTGAGAGAGATTGAGTGTGTGTGATTGAGAGAGATTGAGTGTGTGTGATTGAGTGTGTTTGAGATTGAGTGTGTGTGATTGAGATTGAGTGTGATTGAGTGTGATTGATTATATTTTGGTTCACACTAGAAGTATTTTATATTTAATTTTTTCACTATTTTGAATTTTTGAATTTTTTTTTACATTTTGATCTCTGCTATTCTGAGACCCTCACAGTATTCCAGTGCCTTTTCAAAACTCATCTCTTCTCCTCTTGTCTACTCATAGGCCCACCCCCCATCAATCCATGCCGGTTGATCAAGTTTGATAGTCCTATACCCCCCACCCTAACCTTCCCTTATATTGTAAAGCGATTTTGAGTCCTTGAAAAGCCCTATACAAATATAATGTATTATTATTATTATTATTATTATACTGACAGGTATCAGATCTTGCTGTGTGAAATAATCTTCCTGAGAGGTGTCACTACAGGTGATAAGAATCAAAGGTTCCCATAGGATTCCATGGAAAATGCGTGCGGGTCATTTTTGACCCACTTATGGAAGCTTGGGGTAGTTAATACAAAAACACAATTTCTTAAAATTTAAATTTAAAATTTGAATGGCGTGATATCCAAAACATGTTTTTTGAGGAATAGCTGGAATATGAAATGATAAAAAAATGTAATTACAAAGACACTTCAAGAAAACCACCTCACCGGGTCAAAAAAGACCCACTTATGCATCTCAGGGCAAGCATTTAATACATTCTACAAAACTGTTAAATAACTGTGGAAAAAAGACCATAACATTGACTACTGATGATTGATATTAACATTTATTGCTTTCCTATGAAGGTTTTGGTATCAGCTTCTCGAATACCCACCCTTAAACGCTACATGAGTGGTTCTGAATAGCGAGTTGACCTTTTATCGGCTGTTGTGAATGAGTTTTTATATTATATTTGATCGTCTCGTGAACCCTCAGTTTGTTTTGCATCTTTCTCTGACTGAATCGTCTCCTTCTTAAACTTCAGGCTCCAGAAGAGCTGTGTTCCCAGGCTCGCTCCCAGCAGCTAGAGTTGCGTTTTCTCCGTCAGTTACTGCAGCTGCACTCTGCTACTCTGCAAAACATACAAAAGGAAGTGGAGCTGCTGCATGCACCGGATCAAAAAGGTAACATGGGTCATTTTTATCATGATTAAAATACACACAAGGAAGGGCTGTATCGCTCTGTTTGTACACATGTTATTCGTAACACCCCCTGTTGTTAAATACCAATTATCTGTGGGACGAAACAAGGTATTCTGATTCTGATGTCCCCTGAAATAAAAGTTTACAGAATGATTTCAAAACATCTCAAACTACTGTTTCTCTACCCTTTTGCCTCTTAGCTCTGCTGTCCAGAGTGATGGAGGAGGATCAGAAGCTTCTGGAGTGTCTGGTACCGAGAGTCAGAGGCCTCACGCAGCGAAGCGCCCAGGGCCTTTCTTACGGGGTCCAAGTGAAAACTGCCATCTCCTACTGGTAAGGGGCATCACAGATCACATTGTGCATTTTTACAGTGTGTCATTTCATAAAAATGGAAGTTAGCGTTCAGTTATGGCTAAAAAAAAGTGTATGAAGATAAGTGCCTGGCTGTTTAACTTCATTGTTTATTCATTTTAAACTTTAAAAACGTTACCTTTACTTCAGTGTTAATTTTGGCAGCTATTTTAGATTTAGTCTTAGTCTTTAGACGAAAATGGTTATTAGCTTTAGTCACATTTTAGTCCTTTTTATCCTTCATAGTTTTAGTCTAGTTTTAGTCGATGAAAAATCATTACATTTTAGTCAACTTTTAGTCAAAATGTTTTCTCTTTAAACTAATTCAGTTAGGCAAATACAGGAATCTGAAATCTGAATCAAGGTGACAGCACCAAGTGTTGAAATTCATAAAGCAACATTTCACTGTCTTAACACTTCACTTGTGTAATATCTAGGGATGGGTATCGTTAAGAGTTTTTAACGGTACTACTACTCTTAAAAAATCTGTGTGCACGCCGCTGCAGCGTGTCTGTTAGGCCCCGCCCCCCGCACACACAGAGAGAGAGAGAGTTAGGCCCCGCCCCCCGCACACACAGAGAGAGAGAGAGTTAGGCCCCGCCCCCCGCACACAGACGAGACACAGGGAGATCGCTCTTCTGGAGTGAAGAGAGCGGAAATAATGATATTGCAAGTTAGAAACGTAAGATGCATTTTGACAGACAAGACGGACAATTGGGGGAAAATATCCTGCATTTTGAAAGTCCGATAGTCCACCATTAACATCTTAGTCCCGTCTCGTCTCGTCAACGAAAACTAAATATACATTTCGCCATAGTTTTTATTCTCAAGAATCTATTTTTAGCTCGTCATCGTCTCGTCTTAGTCGTGTAAAAAAGGTCGTTGGAGAACATCTTTCGTCATAGTTTTCGTTAACACTGCTATACTTGCATGTCTGTCTGATGATTTTGAATGATCACCTCAAAGTCAGTCAAAGTCAACTTTATTGTCAATGTTTCAGACAGAGATCGAAATACCGTTTCCCACAATCCCAAATACGAATATATATAAATATGTATATCCTCCTGTATACAATCAACAGACATATGCACACGTCAAGACATGAATAAAAGCACAACAATCAATATATACAAAACAAGAGTCACTTCAATGTCTTTGGGAACACCTTCACTCAGGAGTCTGGAGCATTTATCTGTTTTGTGTTTTTACAAATGTAGGTGGGATCAGCCAGCGCAGCATGTCCTCCCTGGGGTCCAGAAAGGAGGGATGACTTTCCAGCAGTGGCTTCAGAGGTGGAGACTTGCTGCCAAAGCCTCTTAGGGGAGGACCCTCATAGATTTTAAAGTATAAATGAGATTTCTAACTGCACCTTTCTGTATCATAATGACCATGCACACTTCTTTGTTCTGTGTTTATCATGCACATGGCTGCTGTTGATGTTTTACCATGTAAAATAAGTCACTAATAAATCATTTTGAATCCAGTTATGTGCTCATGTCTTCCTTGAAATGCATTTAAAGAAACAATAAAGTTGTTGAAAGCGGAATCTGTTCTGTATGTTGCTCTCATGCCCCTGAATGATCTGCAGAAATCCATTATTAGCACGGTTTCAGTTTCTCACACAGTTATGAATATTTATACTTGTGGTGGAACAGTGTAGAAGAATGCAGAGGTGAAGGAAGTACTCAGATCTTGTACTTGAGTAAGAGTAGAAGTACTCAGATGTTGTACTTGAGTAAAAGTAGAAGTACTCAGATCTTGTACTTGAGTAAGAGTAGAAGTACTCAGATCTTGTACTTGAGTAAAAGTAGAAGTACTCAGATCTTGTACTTGAGTAAAAGTAGAAGTACTCAGAGTGTAGGAATACCCTGTTACAGTAAAAGCATTCAAAATGTTCCTCAAGTAAAAGTAGAAAAGTATTCTCATCAAAATATAGTGAAAGTAGCGACAGTAAAAGTAGTCATTGTGCAGATTGGTCCATTTCAGAATAATATATATGATATGTTTTATAATGATTGATGCATTAAAGTGTTACTCTACTCTAGGTGTAACTTAAGTCTGATTTAAGACTTAAGTTACACCTCTGAATTGTAGTGGAGTAGAAGTACAGAGTAGCACAACATGGAATTACTCAAGTCCCTCAAAATGGTACTTAAGTACAGTACTTAGTAAACCTACTTAGTTACTTAATACCTCTGGAAGTATGTAGCTATCATTTAGCATGAAAGTGTTTTTGTTTTTTTCAACTTTATTGAACAATTGTTTCAAAGACATCAGAAAAAGGCACATCACATCACTGTTAAATCAATGAATTAAATCTGAGGGTATTATGAACAAAAAACAAAATACAAGTGATCAATCAGGAATGTAGGTGTGTAGAAATTGGCAGAACTGTTAGGCTTTTTTTAAATTATCGTGGAAGAAAGTTAGGAAATTATACCTACCTATCCTTCAGCTTTTAACCCTTGTTTTATTGTGTATTCTCTTGTATTAGGAATGAGTTATAATTCCGTGCATTTCATTGAGTCTTCGTATAGTTCCATGTCATTGAGAACACCGATAAACACTGGAGACATTTGGAGGAAGCGACATTTGTGGACGACATGTTAGGATCATCATTTCGCACCAGCGGTGTACTCAAGTACTGTACTTAAGTACTATTTTTGTCCTACTTGTGCTTTACCGGAGTATTTTAATTGTGTCGTTGTATAAACAACTAACTGAAGGCCAAATGTTGTATTTTATGTGTATATGCTTTATCACGGAGTAACATGGTCCCTTTGTAGCAGTGAAGGGGGAGTGTGTCTTTCTATCTGAATCATGTGGAAACTCCTCCCACTGTCGCGCATGCGCAGTTCAGTTTTCACCCCTCTTTTTTTTCACTCCTACTCTGGCTTCCGGACGCCAAGACAGACCGCTGCCGCCGAATTTAAAGAGACAGGCGATAGTTATTTAAAATACGATAAACGGCAACCATTGTCCCTTAGCTGATTTTTTTTTTAGCCTCTGCTTGTTTAACTCGATGGTGGTGGTGATGTTGACTCAAAGTCTGTCACCTCTTCCGTCATTTCTCTTCTCCTCCGACTGTACAGTCCACAGCTCCAGCTAAAGGCAAAGGAAAGGGTTTACTGCTCCAGCTAAAGGCAAAGGAAAGGGTTTACTGCTCCAGCTAAAGGCAAAGGAAAGGGTTTACTGCTCCTCGCTTTTTGGGCAGGCTGGCTTCCCGACCGAGAGGACGGTTTGTCGGCTAGCCAACAACCAGGAGGAGGGTTAATAACACCGAAGGAAGAAAAAAAGCTCTCAAGTTGTGGCTCTCTCAAAAAAGCCTCCCTCCTGTCGCCGGGATAATGGCGAAGATTCAGGCGCACAGCACCGCCAAGCAAATAAACCAAATCCAAGAGAAGCCTTACGTTATCACACAAAAGCAAGTGCAGCAGCAGCAGCAGCAGCAGCACTTCCAGAAGCTGAAGGTAAGACAAGGGGGGGAAAGTAGTCCCTCAGAGTCACTACCATTTTGTTCCTGTGTGTCGAGAGTAGTGAGACCAACGGCTGGCTGCTGGCCTGTTAAAAGTAATGCTGCAGAACATTGTAGAGGTTAAGATGTCTGTGTGTTTTATTTAATTCATTAACGAATGTGTACAGTTAGTGCTAGTTTCTTTATTTACGGTGCCTGCTAACTCAGACCCCGGTTGTGGGAAGTTCCTTTTTTTTTTTTTCACCACCCTGAACAAAGTGGAGGACGTCAGCCAGGCTAACAAACGGCTAAAATTCAGCTGATTAGCTGCTTCATTACACATCTCTTTGTTATCGCGATAGTAGGATATTATCCTGTTGTTTTTGTTTTACAGTCCAGCTGAGACTAAACGTATTTAATGAGTCAGTATGTAGGTTATTATCGACTGGCTGTTGGCTAACGTTAGCCTGAATAAACAACCCCTCTCTTCTACATGTTAGTCACAACGACCATTATGTCCTAACATAACATAGCTTCAGATGTAGTGAAAAAAACGACAGGTCCAGTAAACAAAAGCAGCCTAGTGTTTCTTTTATTTATTTATTTATTTATTTACACTTGGACAGCTTGTACAGCTAACTAGTGCATTTGTTGATATAGCACTTCAGATGACAATGGAGACAGAAAACATTGTCTATTTATGTAACTTCATATGAACCCGTGTTTTTAATGGCTGGTCCACATATAGTATTCAGGATTGCTAATATATAATGGCAGTATTACAGTGACTGAATGTAACTAAGTACATTTACTCAAGTACTGTACTTACATACTTACTTTACTTAAGTATTTCCATTGTTATGCTACACAAACTCTTTATTTAACACTTATAGTTACTTATCACATACAAAACACATCATATGAGATAAATGCAGTACTGTATTACTAATACACCCAGTATTTTAACTACCACATTTAAGTGCTCCTACATGTATATGTTAGTTATGAGAACAGGATAGTTTAATATTCTTTAATGATTTATTTATGTATACTTCGACAGCTTGTGCATTTGTTGATAAAGCACTTCAGCTGACAATGGAGACAGAAAGCATTGTCTCTTCATATAACTTTATATGAAACACATGTCCACATATAGTATTGCAAATATTTAATGGCAGTATTACAGTGGTGGAAAGTACTGTACTCACATACTTGTACATAACTTGAGTATTTCTATACTTCTACTCCAATACATTTTGGAGGCAAATGCAGTACGTATCTCTCCACTACATTCATACAAACACATGATATTTGATAAGATGCAGTACTGTACTGCCAACACACCCAGTATTGTACATGCTAAATTGGCTCTGCATTAAAAAACAACAGCATTTTAAAAGCCTCTACATGTATTTGTCACAATGGTATAATATTCTATAATGATATAATACATTTAAAAGAGTACTTTTACACTGAAGCTTGAAGTATATTTTGTCCATGATACTAATGCACTTCTAATTAAATAACATTTTCATAACAGGACTTTAATAGTATTACTACTTTTACTTAAGTAGACAATCTGAGTACTTCTTCCACCACTGCAATGTCACTACTTAAAGAGACACAATGAAAACAAGCCATTGTTCTTTTCAACATGTTAGAGCGGATTCTGTCATGAATGAAAAACTGATAACGTTATTTAAAAAGAGCTGTATTGACATCCCTGTGAAGTCCTAATTCATTAACATACACAAACAGTTGTTGTAAAGCTTTCTCCAAATATTACAAATGGTACTGATTGTTCTTTGTGCTCCTTTACTGATTGTATTTCGTCCTCTTTTCTCCTCTGTGTTCAGGTTGAAGATGCCTTGTCATATCTGGACCAAGTCAAGATCCGCTTTGCAAATGATCCCGGCATATACAACAAGTTTCTCGACATCATGAAAGAGTTCAAGTCACAAAGGTATTTATATAAGAAGTTACTAACTAAAGTAGTTTTAGCAATACTTTCCCCACCCTAATACGGTGTCTTTGGATACTGAATACAGACTACTGAGGGAACACATTTATCAATAACTAAGAAACAGGCGAACTATTCAGCCGTTTACTTCATCCTGAAATGTAATTGTGAGATTACAGAAGTTATTACGAGTAACTCCTATACTCGTTTTCTCTAAGTCATAGCAAGTTTTGTTTTATAAAGAACATCTCAGCAACAAAGGAATTTAAAGGGTTTACTTAAAACCTGAAAAGCAAGGTGCAAAAGTAACACATTAATATACTATTGATAGTCATTACTAACACAAGAGAATACACAATTAAAGGGGAATCAGCTTAAGGACAGTTTTCATTTCCTAACTTTCTTCCAGGATAAATAAAGTTTTTAGATAAAGGACTAAGATACTTAAGTACAATTTTGAGTGCTGTACGTTAACTTTTAAGGGTGTATTTGTTACACTTCAGTATTATTACTTTTACTTAAAGGTGGGGTAGGTCATTCACTTCAGAAACACTTTTTGTTATATTCCATGGAATGCTCTTAACATCCCGATAGCAATTAATATCTTAAATGCTTTGACAATAAATACATAAAAAAATGTCATCTGTGGAAGCCGTAGCGCTGTAAAAAGCACGACCACTTATCTGCCTCGGCCCGGCTAAAATAACTGGATGGCCTACCTGCCTGTCAGCCTTCCATCTCGTGCACAAACTTATCTCGTGCCCTCATTGGTCATGTGCGCGTTCGTGTGTGTTGGAGGAGGGGCTCTGTAAGGAAGTCTGAAGGAAGGGGCAGATTTTTTTCGGTTGTGTATTTTCAAATTCTAGCACACTCGAGTTGGTTTCGCCATTCTCACCTACCCTACCTTTTAAGTAAACATACACAAGTATTAGCAGCAACATTAACTTAAGCACTGAATCTAAATACCTCATTATCCAAAGTGGCCATTTGAACTATTCAACTGTTTATTTTATCTTGAAATGTTGAAATGTTGAAACTATTTTTCTATTAGTCAAGGCAAGTGTTTGACGTAAAACCTCAAAAAGCATAGAGACAAGGTGCAAAAGAAACACCTCATAAAAGGATCTTAATATACAGTTAATACACATTAGTAAGCCAGGAGAATAGACAATAAAAACAAGTGAGAATGGGTTCAAATGGGTTTAATCTCCTCCTTCTACAACACTCTTTTCCTATTAGTCAAGGCACGTTTTACTTAATACATCACAGTAACAAAGAAATTCAAGGTGTGTTAGATAACACCTCAAAGGCATCAAGTCAGGTGCAAAAGAAACGCCTCATAAAAGCACATTAATATACAGTTAATACTCATTAGTAAGCCAGGAGAATAGACAATAAAAACAAGTGAGAATGGGTTTAATCTCCTAATTTAACCCCAGAATAAATAAAGTATTCTGATTCTGATCAAGTACAAGCAGTGCTGGAAGAAGTACTCAGATCTTAAAAGTAATAATACTGCAGTGTAGAAATACTCTTGTTACAAGTAAACGTCCTGCATTCACAAATTATTAATTCAATTATGATTAGTTTCTTTTTTAACTCCTTCTACAACACTCTTTTCCTATTAGTCAAGGCACATTTTACTTTCTCAGTAACAAAGAAATTCAAGGTGTTTTAGATAACACCTCAAAGGCATCAAGTCAGGTGCAAAAGAAACACCTCATAAAAGCACATTAATATACAGTTAATACTCATTAGTAAGCCAGGAGAATAGACAATAAAAACAAGTGAGAATGGGTTCAAATGGATTTAATCTCCTCATTTAACCCCAGAATAAATAAAGTATTCTGATTCTGATCAAGTACAAGCAGTGCTGGAAGAAGTACTCTTAGATCTTCAAGTAAAAGTAATAATACCGCAGTGTAGAACGTAAATGTGCTGCATTCACAATGTTACTTAAGTAAAAATATAAAAGTGTTAGCAGCAAAATATACTCAAGCACCAAATCTAAAAACTACCCAAAGTGTCCATTCTAACTTTTCAGCAGTCTTGAATTGTAATTTTAAAACCACAGACATTAATATTGGTTTCTGTTTTTAACTAACAAAACTATTTGTCTATTAGTCAAGACAAGTTTGACTTTTTTATACACCAAAGAAATTCAACGTGTTTTTACATGAACACCACAAGAGCATTTTTTTTTAATAATCTTTGTACAGCTTCTTTGAGCACTTGTTAAATCGCCTGATAAATAACATGTATTATTACTCTGATTATAAGTACTATAATACACATACAGTTCTTCATGCGGCATATGACTGAGAAGCATACCTTTTTTATAGTTTTATTTATGTATACTTTGACAGCTTGTGCATTTGTTGATAAAGCACTTCAGCTGACAATGGAGACAGAAAGCATTGTCTCTTCATATAACTTTATATGAAACACATGTCCACATATAGTATTGCAAATATTGAATGGCAGTATTACAGTGGTGGAAAGTACTGTACTCACATACTTGTACATAACTTGAGTATTTCTATACATATACTTCTACTCCAATACATTTTGGAGGCAAATGCAGTACGTATCTCTCCACTACATTCATATGTTAAGATGCAGTACTGATCTACTAACACACCCAGTATTTTACAAAACAACAGCATAAGCATAGCTTTTTTTATAGTTTCTTTGCCTCCATCATCCACATCCTAATATGTCTCTTTCTGCGTCATGTCTGGAGCAGCATCGACACACCGGGGGTGATAAACCGAGTGTCGCAGCTCTTCCACGGACACCCGGACCTCGTGCTCGGCTTCAACGCCTTCCTGCCCCCGGGGTATCGGATAGAAGTCCCCAAGAATGGAGTGGCTTTCCTCCAGTCGCCCTTCTCTGCACAGGTGAGGCACTTTTAAAGTCACCTATTATACAAAATCCTCTTCTTCATGTCTCTTCTACATCAACATGTGTCCCCTCTTCATCATGTCTCTTCTACATCAACATGTGTCCCCTCTTCATCATGTCTCTTCTACATCAACATGTGTCCCCTCTTCTTCATGTCTCTTCTACATCAACATGTGTCCCCTCTTCTTCATGTCTCTTCTTCATCAACATGTGTCCCCTCTTCTTCATGTCTCTTCTACATCAACATGTGTCCCCTCTTCTTCATGTCTCTTCTACATCAACATGTGTCCCCTCTTCTTCATGTCTCTTCTACATCAACATGTGTCCCCTCTTCTTCATGTCTCTTCTACATCAACATGTGTCCCCTCTTCTTCATGTCTCTTCTACATCAACATGTGTCCCCTCTTCTTCATGTCTCTTCTACATCAACATGTGTCCCCTCTTCTTCATGTCTCTTCTTCATCAACATGTGTCCCCTCTTCTTCATGTCTCTTCTACATCAACATGTGTCCCCTATTCTTCATGTCTCTTCTACATCAACATGTGTCCCCTCTTCTTCATGTCTCTTCTACATCAACATGTGTCCCCTCTTCTTCATGTCTCTTCTTCATCAACATGTGTCCCCTCTTCTTCATGTCTCTTCTACATCAACATGTGTCCCCTCTTCTTCATGTCTCTTCTACATCAACATGTGTCCCCTCTTCTTCATGTCTCTTCTACATCAACATGTGTCCCCTCTTCTTCATGTCTCTTCTTCATCAACATGTGTCCCCTCTTCTTCATGTCTCTTCTACATCAACATGTGTCCCCTCTTCTCCATGTCTCCTCTACATCAACATGTGTCCCCTCTTCTTCATGTCTCTTCTACATCAACATGTGTCCCCTCTTCTTCATGTCTCTTCTACATCAACATGTGTCCCCTCTTCTTCATGTCTCTTCTTCATCAACATGTGTCCCCTCTTCTTCATGTCTCTTCTACATCAACATGTGTCCCCTCTTCTTCATGTCTCTTCTTCATCAACATGTGTCCCCTCTTCTTCATGTCTCTTCTACATCAACATGTGACCCCTCTTCTTCATGTCTCTTCTACATCAGCATGTGTCCCCTCTTCTTCATGTCTCTTCTACATCAACATGTGTCCCCTCTTCTTCATGTCTCTTCTACATCAACATGTGTCCCCTCTTCTTCATGTCTCTTCTTCATCAACACGTGTCCCCTCTTCTTCATGTCTCTTCTACATCAACATGTGTCCCCTCTTCTTCATGTCTCCTCTACATCAACATGTGTCCCCTCTTCTTCATGTCTCTTCTTCATCAACATGTGTCCCCTCTTCTTCACGTCTCTTCTACATCAACATGTGTCCCCTCTTCTTCATGTCTCTTCTTCATCAACATGTGTCCCCTCTTCTTCATGTCTCTTCTTCATCAACATGTGTCCCCTCTTCTTCATGTCTCTTCTTCATCAACATGTGTCCCCTCTTCTTCATGTCTCTTCTTCATCAACATGTGTCCCCTCTTCTTCATGTCTCTTCTTCATCAACATGTGTCCCCTCTTCTTCATGTCTCTTCTACATCAACATGTGTCCCCTCTTCTTCATGTCTCTTCTTCATCAACATGTGTCCCCTCTGTGGAAAGAGACTCTGAAAGTTTCAGGAACAAAGATTCTCTCTCTTTTTGATCCATTTCTATAAAAACCTGTCTGAAAATGAACTGATCAGATTTTGGCCACTTTATGATGTCATAACGATGTTTTGTCTTGTGTAACCATTAGCCAATCAGCAACCAAGGTAACCCCCCCCCCCCCCCCCACCTTATCACCTGAATCTCCTCCTAGAGCACCATTGAGTTCTTTGTAACCAAATCTCTCTCAGAGGGGCGTGGGGAGGGGCTCCTTATTTTCATCTAAAGTAACAGACAGAGAATCAGCACTTTTGAAACAGGGCTGAAACAGAGGGGATTATGGGATGCTGCACTGATCTGTTTGGTGTTTCAGCCAATCAGAGACAGGTTCTGTATATATCTGAGACCTGGAATTTATTGATGAAAAACAGTATAATAGGGGACCTTTAAATATTTGTATTGAAGTTTGGTACATTGATAGGAACCACAGTTACAAATGTCCAACAGTTCAAAGCTACTAGTGTTCAGTTTAGTCTCTACTATTGTACATCAATTGACAAGCCATACATAGTTGATCTTCACTTGAAGGCGTGCAATATTTAAACCACATTTATAACCAAAACAGACCATGTAGCCAAAATGTAAGAGAGTGTTGTACAGACTAACAGGACAACACAAGGTGAGACACTTGAATTGATAAACTCTCAACACTACTGCTGTATTTATCTTGAAGCTATCAAACGTTCAGCAGGTGCATCATTATTATTAACCAGTGTTTCCCATACATTGATTTATTTGTGGCGGGCCACCACAAATAAATATCGTCCGCCACAGATAATAATTTTGGTGGTCGAATGGATAGCGAGGTGGGCTGATGATCGGAAGGTTGCGAGTTCAAATCCCGCCTGGAACACCACTACTAGTGTGCCCTTGAATAAGGCACTTAGCCCTCAGTTACTCCAGGGAGAATGTCCCTGTAATTGGTCATTGTAAGTCGCTTTGGAATAAGGCGTCTGCTAAATGCCTAAATTATATTTTTGGGAGAATAAACCCCACAAATCCTCAACTCCGGTGTGTCTCACTCATTATGCAACAACACAGAACAACAAGAACGTTGCCTGCTGGGGGGGGGGGTGCGGTGCGGTGCCCCCACAAATAGAATTCAAATTCTGTGGGAAACACTGTTAACTCATGATGTGTAGAAAGGTACATTCTTAAGGTGCAGCTGCTACTTCTGCTTTGGATTTCAATTGCAAGCTTTTTAAAAAAATTGATAACATGGTTTTGAGAAGATGCAAAATGTGCATTGCTAAGTTACACACATACACGCTCAGTTGATTGGTAATTTATCACGTTGAAACAACACCTATTCAGAAACGGTTTCAACATAAAATTAACATTATAACTCCACAAAGCAAGGATAGTCTGAAGATTGGGACCTCGTTATTTGTAGTGGGGTATACCAAATAAACTGTAAAGTTGACAAAAACAAAATCATGACAAATGCAGGATCACCAAATTTGTATTTATGGTAACTGAAGTGCTTATGAAGACGAAAGAAAGTCACAAAAAGAAACTTCTTCAGTCACTCTTAAACACGCCACTGATGCTTGTTGTTGTCCAATAGCATGATGAATGTACCGTTGATTTGGGCATTCTCACAATAAGCAAGTGGAATGGATTTGATAATGAAGCACTGACACAGCGCTCTACAGAGAGTGGCGAGTGGATAGACCGATTCACGGACTTTCCGCATAGTAAAAGTGGGGGGGGTCTAAACTAATCATTTTAAAAGGTCCCACCTTGTCCCACCCTCATATAATGGCTGCGACGCCCATGGGTTGGTTACATTTTTAATAAACAAAATCCAACACACAACAACTTAGAAGGACCAAAACGGTCAACAGAAAAAATATCAGCACAAGCTCACCCTCTGTCATCCGCCCCCCGACAGGTAACAGGTGACCTAAAGTGACACTATTACTGGACATAAAATACACACTGTTTTCACACACACATGTAAATAATATGTACACATGACCAAATATGTATATATGTTCATTTGAATTCATTTCTTATTTTATCATTTTTGATTTGTATCTTTGATTTTATCCTTAATTGTATTAATCTGTGCTGTCCTGTTTTTCAATCTCACTCTGTTGTTGTTTAAACTCCTGAATTTCCCCACGGGGATTAATAAAAGGTCCATCTTATCTTATCTTATCTTATTTTAAATACACAAACCACGACCATGTGACGATTGCCGGAAGTGCTCAACAAATAAAAATAAAAGTGACGTAAACAAATAATAATAATACAAATAATAAACTCAGGCTAAGTAGCATTTAGGCTCCTGCACTCACTTCTTAACGTCCTTCTTCTCGCTCTTTCTGTGCAGGTGTCCCCCGGCCATCAGGGGAAGAACGCCCCCCTTTCTTCCGTGGTGGCCCCCTCAGGTAGTGCCTCTGGACCCAGCGTTGAATCTGGACCCGCTTTGACCTCTGAAATCAAAGTGACTCCATCAGAGTCCCAGTCCTCTTCCACCACCACCACCACCACCACCGCCACCACCCCCACAGGACCCCCAGACCCCCCCAGCAGGCTCTCCCTCCCCCTCACCAGCAGAGAGAACCAGCCCACCACCTCCTCTGTGTCTCCCCCCGCCTCAGAGACCAGCCCTGTGGAGTTCGACAGTGCCATCAGCTACGTAAACAAGATTAAAAACCGCTTCCTGGATCACCCCGAAATCTACAGAGCCTTCCTGGAGATCCTCCACACATATCAGGTAACTTGAGATTACACTTTGTGATTTAAGATGCTGGAGTGGTGCAGGAATGAGTCATAAAACCTGGAAATTACTAAGTGTTTTACCACTCATTACCGGTTTCCTTATCTCATAGTCAATAGTTTTTCGAACGCGTTTGTAGTTAGATGTCTGATGTCCTTTTTAAAAATGGCGGTTGCTTAAAAGTTTCTAAATGAGACGACTAAACGTCATCATTCCCAACATTAGCCGCCTTTAGCTTAGCGGTGGAGACGTGAAGTCATGTGACCGTGCTGTAGTTCCTTTATAGCCCAACATTAGCCACCTTTAGCTTAGCGGTGGAGACGTGGAGACGTGAAGTCAAGTGACCGTGCTGTAGTTCCTTTATAGCCCAACATTAGCCGCCTTTAGCTTAGCGGTGGTGACGTGAAGTCATGTGACCGTGCTGTAGTTCCTTTATAGCCCAACATTAGCCTCCTTTAGCTTAGCGGTGGTGACGTGAAGTCATGTGACCGTGCTGTAGTTCCTTTATAGCCCAACATTAGCCACCTTTAGCTTAGCGGTGGTGACGTGAAGTCATGTGACCGTGCTGTAGTTCCTATTCACCAGTGGGGTATTTACTGCCGTATTTTATGGACTAGATCAAAACGTTAAAATCTCTTCAGCTTGAGTTAACAGACTAACAACCAAACACACATTCTGAAAACTTGAGATAAGGGGACAGGAAGTGATACAATGTGAACTAATTCCTGCACCACTCTATTATGATGTATAAAAGTTCATGTTGGTATTTTTAGTTACTGATTTATAGTTATTTTTTGTACATTTCTCTACCGTATTGATCAGACTGTTCTTAGATTTTAGCATTAGTTGTTTCAGCTGTTAAACTAGTGATAACCTTTGCAAACATAAATATCATATTAAGCGTAAAGCGTGTAACTTGTTGCCATAGTTTTTCAGTTTTCTCTTAGCAGTGTGTTCCCATGAGAACAGTGTATATATATCCTCTGTACCCTGTCTGTATTTGACTTTGATTAAGTTTGATCCCTCACCTCTCATCAGCATTTTTTTACCTGCACCACCCCCCAGAAGGAGCAGCTGGAGGTGAAGGAGAGCCGGGGCAGCCGGGGCAGCAGCGGCATGACAGAAGATGAAGTTTTTTCTAAAGTTGCCAGTCTTTTCAAAGGGCAAGAAGACCTGCTGGCTGAGTTTGGTCAATTCTTACCTGACGCCAAAAGATCATTGGTGAGTGGAGCAGCAGCTGATGTGCAATGTAAAAATAAAAATAAAGGTTATTGCACAATCAGTCGTCTGTCGAGGATCAGAAAACTATTTTAATAACTTCTGCTTTGTTGTGTTTTGCATGCTAATGCTAATTACATTTTTTATTTTCTTGCAACAGCTTAGAAATGCTATTATGTTATATATATTGAAGTGTGTTAAGTAGGAATGTAAAACTGTAAGTAGTTGCAGGGGTGTCAAACTCAAGGCCCGAGGGCCAAATCCGGCCCGTGGCTTAATTTGATGCGGCCCCACAAGAGCTTGCAAATAATGTAATATGTTTATTATACGGTTACATGCCGATTTACAGAAGCACGTTGCCCATAAACTACATGTCCCACAATGCATCTCAAATATGACTTTTTTTCTCAGAATTTGACTTTTTTCTTAAAAATATGATTTTTTTTCTCAGATTTTGACTTTTTTTCTTCAAAATATTCCTTTTTCTTAGAATTTGACTTTTTCTTAGTATCTGACTTTTTTCTCTCTCAAAATGTCATTTTTTTTCCCTTTAAAATGGCACTTTTTTTTCTCAAAATGTCACTTTTTTTATTTTGACATTTTTTCCAGAATTTGGCTTTTCTTTTTAAATCATTTTGTGACATTCTCACTTAAGAGACTTATGAAGTTATTACCCTATCCGATAATAATCCAATGCAAAGGCAATAATGTAATATAATACATTATTTTATAAATATTAAATGTTTATATATGTATTTTTATCTAGTCTTATATATAAAACTGGCCCTTTGAGTGCAACCATGATGCTGATGTGGCCCGAGATGAAATTGAGTTTGACCCCCCTGAGTTAGTGGATCAACAGAATACAAATTGTAGTAGTTTGATGATTTATTTCAGTATTTTAACACAAAAACGGATTGAATTCTTGCTCCATGAATGCTAATATTTGCTGTTTTAGATTGGTTGTTAGTTAACGACATACCCCTTTAATTGGTCTTTTAATCTTTATTGTTATACCTATTTCTTTTGTATTGTTGAATGTAGTTTTTAATATTAGACTGTATCTATTAATTTAGTCTTATGCCTGTCTTACTTTTACTGACTTACTCTTACTTTTGGATTCTTATAACCACACTTTTTTCATTCTCCTGCCTGTTTTACCTCCTTATATTCTTTAAAATCTTATATATCAAATACAAATGCTGCATGTGTGTTAAAGGGTTTTAACATTTGACTTGATCTGTTTATCCTGAGTTGTGTGCCATTTCGTCTAAGCACTCAGCTGTATGAAAAGTGCAGCTTTATTATCATAAATATTATATATTTGTATCAAAAATCCCTAGAATTCATTGAGTTTTCTCCCTAAATGCTAATATTTGCTGTATTGTTTAACAGTTTTGGTGTTAAGAGTTGGTTGGTTGCATAAAACAAGCTACTCTAACATGTCAACTTGCACTCTAATAATAACTGAATGTGCATCTGACACTGTTCCCGTTTGCTTCATCTCCGTCAGTTCACAGGAAGCTCACTGACAGGAGGCAAAGAGCAGCTAAAAAGGCCGGAGGACGATGATTTGATATCCAAGCAGAATAAAAAGAGACCCAGGCCGATCCTTCTGCAGCACATGTCCCCCCTGCTCAAGGTAAACTCTCCATTTAGAATAAACGCCTCGGGGAGAGCAGCGATGTATGTATGCACGTCCTTGAAAACACTCGTATACACCTTATGCTTCGCCTGCTTTATGGCGCTTTCACATTGCCTCATTATGTGTTCCAGTTAGAGCGTTATTGCTATTATTGCATAGCGTTCCAGCTTTATCAACCAAATAAACTGCTCTTGAGCTTCTAAACGAACTGTAAAAACACTTTTAAAGCGAGAAACTAAACATTTAGCTCATCATATGTGATTAGTTTGTCCAGATAATGCTTATTTGTGAATTTACGGGGGTAATGTGGTGATGTGAAGAGCTTCTGACTGTATGAGAGCAGCTCAAAAAAGCCCAACACATCAACAACGTTTTCATAACTACTCTCACTGCCAAACAGGTAGACACATGTCCGCACTGTAGGTCTAACTTTAGGGTATACGTAGCTATAACTAGTTGGATAGATGGCAGATGTTAGTTGGCTTGTAAAGTAGATAATTAACTAGCTAGCTTGTTGAGAAGAGCTCATAGCTAGTGTCATAGATAGCCATTGTTTGCCAGCCAGCTTGTTGGCTAGATAGCTAACATAGCTGGGAATGATCCCAAATTAAATGAATTGTTTACAAAACTGTTCGTGCTTAACAGGAAGATCCACATTTTTGTTTGAACCGGAAGTGAGAAAAGGGGCAGCGCTACAGAAGGGGAATAAGCAACAAGTCAAAAGCTACTCATACAATGACTTCAATAACTAATGTACATATAAAGGTCTTTAACCATGTGTTCCCTTGTCTTATTTAGAAGAAAATGAAGTATTCCTGTACCAAAGATCAGTCTTTTGCTTCTGTCGGCAAACATGGCGTCTTAAGAGAATTCTCCTTCTTTGATAAGGTGAGCCTCCACTTTCTTATTCTGGTTTGTTGATCCACCGCCACAGATTTTGTCTTTTTATTTTTTAAATAACTCATTTTAGGGTTGTGCAATTAATCGTATTTTAATCTCGATTACGATTTTGGCTTGCAACGATTACGAGAACAATGTAATCGAAATAAAACGATTATTATTTTAAATTATTTTAATTTTAATTTTAATTTTTTATAGAGAGGCGAAGTCACGCCCATCTACTTCCGACCCATGGGACCTTATTTCGGAAAAATTATGTATTGAAGTCAATGGAGAGAGAAATATTATCTTTCGATCCCGTTTGAATTGTGCCACGAATTACACATATGATGTTTGTCAATCTTAAATAATAATTTCCATGTCAAAAAAGTCACAGTTTGTCGTAAAACTGTTGAAATATAAGACTATGAAAAGTACGCAACTAGAAAGACTACAAATCCCAGAGTCCCGGTCCCGCATGCTGGCTCTTAGGAACCGACTAACTCCCCTTGTGTGTATGCACAGCTCTCAACATGCCCAGACTTGGAGTGATTTTCATCTCTTTTAATACTTTCCGCCTCATTCTGAAAGAAAGAAGTGAAATGTGCCAACGTGACGGCCGTCTGGGTGTGTGGTGCGAGACGGGAGATGTAGTTCATTGAGCGCTTTCACACAAAAAAAGTGTTACTTCACAGTTTTACGACACATTTGTATTTTTTTGACTTGCAAAATTATCTTTTAAATTGACAAACATCATATGTGTAATTCGTGGCACAATTCAAACGGGATCGAGAGATAATCTTTCTCTCTCCATTGACTTCAATACATACTTTTTCCGAAATAAGGTCCCATGGAGGTCCCCCGGAAGAGGAGGGACTTCGCCTCTCTATTGTGTTTTCAGTTGAATTATCCTTAAAGTTCAGGGTAATCAACTGTTAAAAACATACTGTTCACATTTTTTTTCAATAAATGGATGTTTTCAAAGTAAATGGATAATCATTTTTAATAATCATGATATCAATTATTGTCCAAAATAATCGTGATTATGATTTCTGCCATAATCGAGCAGCCCTAACTCTGATCTGACGTTCCTCTCCATCTTCTCATCCTTCAGGTCCGCCGCCTGTTTAAAAGCCAGGAAGTCTACGAGAACTTCCTGCGCTGCATCGCCTTGTTCAACCAGGAAGTAGTTTCGGGAGCGGAGCTGCTGCAGCTGGTCACGCCTTTCCTGGGGTGAGTGCACGGGAAGATGATGGAGCTGAATATCAGTGTTCAGTGACAACTCAAAACGTTTTAGTCAAAATGTTTTCTCTCTTTAAACCAATTCAGTTAGGCAAACACAGGAATCTGAAATTGGAATCAAAGTGACAGTATCAAGTGTTAAAATTCGCAAAGCAACATTTCACTCTCTTAAAGGTGGGGTAGGTAATTCACTTCAGATACACTTTTTGTTATATTCCATGGAATGCTCTTAACATCCCGATAGCAATGAATATATTAAATGCTTTGACAATAAATACATAAAAAATGTCATCTGTGGAAGCCGTAGTACTGTAAAAAGCACGACCAATCATCTGAGCCGGCCCGGCTAAAATAACTGGATGGCCTACCTGCCTGTCAGCCTTCCATCTCGTGCACAGACTTCTCTCGTGCCCTCATTGGTCATGTGCGCGTTCGTGTGTGTTGGAGGAGGGGCTCTGTAAGGAAGTCTGAAGGAAGGGGCAGATTTTGTCCGGTTGTGTATTTTCAAATTCTAGCGCACTCGAGCTGGTTTCTCCATTCTCACCTACCCTACCTTTAACACTTTACTTGTGTAATATGAGTGACGTGTGCAGATTCCCAGAATCCCAACTAATTCAACCAATAACAGGGATGCTTTTTGACGGACAAGACGGTCAATTGGGGGAAAAATATGCTGCATTTTGAATGTCTGATAGTCCACCATTAACACCTTAGTCCCGTCTCGTCAACATAAACAAAATATACATTTCGTCATAGTTTTTATTATCAAAGATCTATTTTTAGCTCATCATCGTTTCGTTTAGTCGTGTAAAAAAGGTCGTTAACGAACATTTTTCGTCATAGTTTTCGTTGAGGAAATTAACACTGCTGAATATATGATGTGAAAAAGGTTTAAATAAAATGAGAAAGATGGATGCAGTAGCTGCAGGGAGCTGACATAAAGTTGCTAATATCTGTCGTTGTAGAAGAGACATTATAGTATTACTGCCGGATACCACTTATAATAATGTTGTGACCATTTAAAGAATTGTTTTAAGATACATGAACAACACTTTTAAAATAAAATCATCAATAGGCGCTTTCACACCAAGTACTTTGCCGTACTTAGTTCATGAGAACTCTTTAGTAGTTAGCAGATCGCGTTATAAGTCCCTGAGGGAGGGTTAGGTAAATGAGCCGATGACGTCACTTCTTCTTCTTCTGCTTTGGGTTTACTGGCAGGCCGCAAACAACTTCACGGCGTATACTGCCACCCGGAGTCCCCGGCCGGAAGTCCCCGGAGTTGGGGACTGGCTTCAGTAGAAGCTGCTGGGACTCCCAGCAGCTTCTACTGAAGCCTTCCGAGTAAATCGCCAGAACGCCGACACCTCCTCATCTCCACCGCTCCCATGTTTTCTTTTGTGTTGCCATAAGTTAGTCTCACTCCATTGGTACGCTGGGCTAATGCTAATAATGCTAATGCGAGCAAATAAAATGGCAGCTTCACAAACTTTTTGGGAGTTTTACGGGGCGTGGTTTGCAATCCGCCCAGCCAATCAGAAATGGGAACCTTTTTCTCCCATGAAAGTACCTGCTCTCTAGCAGGGACTGAAAAGGGGGTGGAAAGGGTTCTCATGAACTAAGTTCTAGTTCCGGATTTTTTTGGTGTGAACGCACATTTTCTGAACTATATCGGAACTATACTGGGAAAAGTACTCCGGTGTGAAAGCGCCTAATATTGTCTATAAGCCTGAGCTTATTGTTAGCTTATTACTCAACAAAGCGTGATCCCAATTAATCCAAAACAGCAGAAAATAGATTTAAATCAAGAACCACAACATCATAAATAGGAGGTTGATAAAGAAAACAGACAATAATTATCAGTCTTTTCTCAGCATTGGTAGGAAAAAACAAAAACATTGGTCAAAGTCTTTGTATCTTTAAACTATGTTTCTGTACAGTATTTCACAAACTGATCCCTTTAAAGAGAGAGATATATGATATATGATGCTGTCGGTTATAAACCTCTGCTAAAATAAACTAAACATACCATAGTTGAGCTCTTTGTGAGGATTCTTCCCTCATGCTTTCTGATCAGCTGTTCTTCTCCTGATTTATCTGCCATTCATGATTATATTTCCTCCTTCTCCTTGCAGGAAGTTTCCCGAGCTGTACACACAGTTCAAGTCGTTTCTGGGGGACAAAGAGCTCTCTCATGCGGTGTCCGGGCTGTCGGATCGCTACATGGAGGGGGGGGGGGGGCCGCGAGGTGGATTACGCCTCCTGTAAGCGCCTGGGCTCCAGCTACCGAGCGCTGCCCAAGACCTACCAGCAGCCCAAATGCAGCGGACGCACCGCCCTCTGCAAGGAGGTACAACTACTGCTCTTTACTTTATTTGCCATTGTAATTTCAGGCTGATATTTCCTCACAGCAGCAGCCGCACACCTTTAGTTAAACTGCCAAAAAGGCCACATTATTAACCCGAAAGTACACAAAAATTACACTTCAGATACTCAACTTCCTTGCCATGCTTCACGTTTTGAAATTTCACAGATATCTGTTACGGTTCTTCCACAACACGTTCACATGTAAGAGGTTTATCTCTCATTCAGAACAATGGAAACCTTTGATCTCTGCAGAGCTCGTTAGCTCAAATATAAACACCTGTGTCATGGAACATGATGATGTCATCACTCCAACTGACATGCTCAGAGCAGCAGACTTCAGATAAAGGTTAATGGTCCTGCCCTCAACAGCTCTACGTCAATTATGGGGTGTCATCATCATATGCCGAAGATCAAAAGGGCGATCAAGAGAAGAGAGAGAGTAATGTAACCTCCTAATGTAATGTATAACTCCTATGAAAATGTTCAAAAAGTGCTCAAACTTCACATGTGTGCTAACAGTCCAGCCGTGAAGACATCTACGGGACAGTTTTGAGATTTCTTCAAATGCCGTTGCCATGGCAACACAATGCTCGCCTTGAAACACGGTTTTATCATAACTTCAGTGAAAATACTCCAAACAGCCCAAAACTTCACAGGTTTGGTAACGATGCAGCCATCAACGCATCTAAGCGTATTATGGGGTGTCATCAAATGCCGTTGCCATGGCGACAGACAACTCGCCATGAAACACGATGTCGCTGTAAGTCCAATCGACACGGTCCAATCGTCCCCAATCTTCACTTGTATATCACCGGTCCATGCCTCAACAGCTCTACGCCAAATCTGAGATCTCACCATATGCCGTTTCCATGGAAACGCATCCCTCGCCATAAAAGACGATGTCGCTATAACTCCTATGAAAATGTTCAAAAAGTGCTCAAACTTCACATGTGTGCTAACAGTCCAGCCGTGAAGACATCTACGGGACAATTTTGAGATTTCTTCAAATGCCGTTGCCATGGCAACACAATGCTCGCCTTGAAACATGGTTTTCTCATAACTTCAGTGAAAATACGTATTATGGGATGTCATCAAATGCTGTTGGCATGGCGACAGATCATTCGCCATCAAGTTAGTTCAAAAGTTTGCAGTTCAAATATTCTGCTGCTTTTCCAAGCCTTTTACTTTCTTTTCTTCTCTCATCACACATTCAAGCCCCCAGTGTTCATGTATCATTTCAATCTAAATTATTCACTTTCTTCTTACACATTACATTTCGGCATAGCAGTTTAGCGTCAGCTTTTCAGCATAAAGCATTCCCACTAGCAATTTCTTCAGGAATTGCATTCTCTAGTTTATTTATGGCATCCCGTTGGATTTGACGTCATCTGAACAGGACATCGCACGCTCACTGCTTGATAGCCCGCGAAGGTCCGTTTACGCCGGTTGTTAAACAACATCGTTATGGGGAAATGCAAGTCTGCGTCCAAATGGTTGGAAGATAAGGAGGAAGGACAATCAACACTGTATATAGTCAATGTGAGGTAAAGTGTGTCGCCAATGTAACCGGTTAAAACTCCAAGTGGCGATGAGGTCTTAAAATGTATGGAAAGGGTCTTAAAAAAGGTCTTAAAAGGTATTACATGGTATTACATTTGACTTCAGGATTCCTGCATATACCCTGTCCAGTGTGTGCACGGGGCACAGAATGTGCAGAGGGGAGTCTCCCTCCGCAGCCGGTTGGCGTAGTTTTGGGACAATTCCGTTTTACAGACAGACGTTAACAGATGCCCCGCCCCGTCTGTGCACACGGAGTCCGACTCTAGAAAAGCTTCACAAGTACGTCGGTACGCAAAGGCGCTTAGTGACACAAGTGATGGTATGCATTTCAGATTTTTGACGCGCAAGTAGGTACGCATTTTGCGTACCTGCTTACCAGTTAGGTGCACCCCTGGATATAGGAGTTACAAGACAAGTGCATACAAGTACAGTGTCACAGATACACAGAAGACAGTAAGGTGAAAGTAAAGACAAATAAATGACAAAATATACATGGAGACAAAAAAGACAAAAAAAACAAAAAGAGAGTAATACATGACAAAATTATAATTAAAATGATATGAGTAACAATATAATAGTCATGTTATTGACCTTAAAGGAGTAGAAAGGGGTTTTACTTTTACTCGTTAATCAACCGTTAGGACGGGATCGGGGGAGCTTTCCTCTTCAATATGTTTTATTTTCAGCAGTGATTCAGCTACGATACGAGATTTCTAGTAAAATAAACAAGTTTTCTAACCAAGACAATCAGTATGCCTCTTAAAACATTTGCAGATTTTCATTTGAGCTTTGATTCAAATATTTACACAAGGAGTTTTCTGATAATTAATCCTCAGTAATGTGGATTTAATGACTTATTAGGTGAGGACAAAAAATACAAATGACAGAATTACACCACTTTACTTTTACAAGCATCTTGTTTTGGTGTCTAATGGTGCACACAAACACAATTAGAGGAATTAAGTTGTAAAAAACATGGCTATTTATCATTTATGGATCTGTACCAAACAAATGTATTTTATAAATTCTGTAGAAAATATATTTTTTAAAACATATCTATTGAATATTTAATATACATTTACAGAATGAACGTCACTGATATGTCTGTGTTTTCTCGATGTTAGAATAGCATGTCATTGTGAAATATTTTACTGTAAAAGGTACGTTTTCCCATTGATGATTTTACATTTCTGTGTGTGTGTGTGTGTGTGTGTGAAGGTGTTGAACGACACCTGGGTGTCATTCCCCTCTTGGTCGGAGGACTCCACCTTCGTCAGCTCGAAGAAGACTCCCTACGAGGAGCAGCTGCACCGCTGCGAGGACGAAAGATTCGAGGTGAGATTTAATTTACTCTTCTCTCCGCAGAGGGAGCTTTGTGTAAACATCAAAACTCACCCGGTGTGTGTTTTCACCTTTATCGAGGAGATGATAGGCTTTCACGCAAAGCAAGGGTTTTCCTCGCAACCTAGAGAAACATGAAAACATTGAAAACACTTCGAAAAAAATAAGACAATAAGACAAAAATAGTTTTCTTGATTTCAACATTCTCTTATTTTCTTTTAGCTGATAATGAGCTACTTAGCTATCAAACCCCCCCAAAAAAGTTAAGTTCAGTTCAGGATCATATTAGCGTTCAAATGATTGTTTATTGCCGAAAGTATTAATATAATAACTTTACATACATCGGCTTTCTTTCAGTTTTTAAACAGTTGCTAAATGTTAACTTTTGTGATTCAGCTCTGGTTGGGAGCATTTCAATCAGGAGAGACAGTGTTGATGTAAGAATACATATTTATTGACAGGAATATACAAATGAATGTAATGGAGTTTTGGCGATTAGGCCCCGTTGTGCGGGAGTATCATTCGGGAGGGGAGAACCGATCCGATGAAACCCCCCGGGGTCTAGAATCCATGGTGAATGGATAGTTGGGTTCGGTCTGAAGGGGAGGGGCTTAGCTTGACCCTGGTGGTGGTGAATGGATAGTTGGGTTCGGTCTGAAGGGGAGTGGCTTAGCTTGACCCTGGTGGTGGTGAATGGATAGTTGGGTTCGGTCTGAAGGGGAGGGGCTTAGCTTGACCCTGGTGGTGGTGAATGGATAGTTGGGGTCGGTCTGAAGGGGAGGGGCTTAGCTTGACCCTGGTGGTGGTGAATGGATAGTTGGGTTCGGTCTGAAGGGGAGTGGCTTAGCTTGACCCTGGTGGTGGTGAATGGATAGTTGGGTTCGGTCTGAAGGGGAGGGGCTTAGCTTGACCCTGGTGGTGGTGAATGGATAGTTGGGGTCGGTCTGAAGGGGAGTGGCTTAGCTTGACCCTGGTGGTGGTGAATGGATAGTTGGGTTCGGTCTGAAGGGGAGGGGCTTAGCTTGACCCTGGTGGTGGTGAATGGATAGTTGGGTTCGGTCTGAAGGGGAGTGGCTTAGCTTGACCCTGGTGGTGGTGAATGGATAGTTGGGGTCGGTCTGAAGGGGAGGGGCTTAGCTTGACCCTGGTGGTGGTGAATGGATAGTTGGGGTCGGTCTGAAGGGAGGGGCTTAGCTTGACCCTGGTGGTGGTGAATGGATAGTTGGGGTCGGTCTGAAGGGGAGGGGCTTAGCTTGACCCTGGTGGTGGTGAATGGATGGTTGGGGTCGGTCTGAAGGGGAGTGGCTTAGCTTGACCCTGGTGGTGGTGAATAGAGTGGCGAAGTCCCTCCCCTTCCGGTTGAGCCCCATGGGACCTTATTTCGGAAAAGTTATGCATTGAAGTCAATGGAGAGAGAAAGATTATCTTTCGATCCCGTTTGAATTGTGCCACGAATTACACATATGATGTTTGTCAATTTAAAAGATAATTTTGCAAGTCAAAAAAATTAAAATGTGTCGTAAAACTGTGAAGTAACACTTTTGTTTGTGTGAAAGGCTCAATGAACTACATCTCTGGTCAACCACACACGTCACCAAGATGGCCGTCACTACTGTCTTGTCAACAAACGATTGACTACCCTCACTATCACCACAATGAAACACGTCCTGAAGAATGTCATGCAAAGCCTGCCTTCCTTTGATTCTCTCTGAACTGCCTGGTCGTTTTAATGTTTAATGTCAACCATTTGTGCAGATAGCATGAAGTAGAAAAGATTGCCGATGCTAACGTTAGCGTTAGCATTTCTCCCCCGGAATTAAATGGTGTATTATAGAATGATCACACCGGTGACAGTACTATTCAAAGGGTTCACGAAATATGACTACTACTCTTACTGTTTAACATTTTGGGTTACTTAATGTTACTTCATGTTAAGGGCTAATAAAAATGACAAGGCTGTAATGCTAACTAACGTGCTAGCTACTAGCTAGGTAGCTAACTTGATCAAGCCACTCCTGGTCCTTTCATCAGACGGGAAGCGAAAGAACGAGCAAGACCCATTGCTGGTATGATAACAACCTGGTACTAAGCACACAGGCATCTTGTTAAAGTTATCTTATCTTAGCCAGCGCCATATAGATAGATTATATCTATATTGCGCTGATCTTAGGTATCTGAATGGTGGAGGTAAACAATTGTGACATCACTTACTCTGGGATTTGTAGTCTTTCTAGTTACGTATTTTTCATAGTCTTATATTTCAACAGTTTTACGACAAACTGTGACTTTTTTGACATGGAAATGATTTTTTAAGATTGACAAACATCATATGTGTAATTCATGGCACAATTCAAACGGGATCGAAAGATAAGTTTTCTCTCCCCATTGACTTCAATGCATAACTTTTCCGGAATAAGGTCCCATACCCCGGAAGTAAGTGGGAGGGACTTCGCCACTCTATGGATAGTTGGGGTCGGTCTGAAGGGGAGGGGCTTAGCTTGACCCTGGATTCAGAGGGACAGGAGGTGAAAAGGGGTGGAGAAGGGTTGTGTCGAGTCACCTGAAATGACAGCTGTCAGAGAGGAGAGAGCAGATTTAAAGGTTTAGCGGAGCGCTGTGATAGGCTTGTGAGAATAGAGCGAAGTGATTGGTTAAGCTGGGGAGTGACGCCCCCGATCACTTATTGAGAGGAGAGAGAGTAGTAACATGGACATAGTAAATGAATGAGAAAAGACGGTCTTCCTGGTTGAACTTGCGCTGAGCTTCATTAGTTTCAATTGGAGATGGATAATAACTAATGAGAAGCTGGGGGTCTAACACTGGCTAAATACTGGATTCATGGTACCTTGTTTACTTTGCCAGCACTTTCTCTTTGAAAACACAATGCTGGATTGTTAAGTTTAACGGACCGTGACATGACATTTGTCCTGTAAGAGATGATAGATAAGTTAGAGGAACATGTTTGGTGCAGTTCTTGTTTTGGAAACCAGCTAGATCATCTCTCATCATTCCTCAAAATGATTTATAGAGAAGAGAGGGAACCCAGATGGAGAACTTCACTTTATACTGTAGTTGATGGCACATTTTGACACATTTTGAAATTAAAACATGAGCTAAATGTCCTGAAATCTACTTTCAAATGTCCCAGATTTAACAACCAATGTCCCAAATTGAAGTGTGTATTTTCCTTCTACATTATAAATATATTAATGACTTGCAGAACTTGTGGTCACTTATTCCCTGCACCTAATTCTGAATTAAACATATAAATTATCCTAGGTGTTAGGTCACAATCAGGTATCATTGTTTTAATAATTGGTACTTACCCTTTCTTGCGTATTTCTAACTGTTCGCCTCAAATTACATCCCTTTTAAACCTGGTTGATTCATGCTGGCCTCAAAGATGAAGCCGTGCACGTCTAAATACACACAGAACCTGTACAGTGCAACTTCAAAATAGCTCATTAAATCAGAGAGTTTGTCACCTGCTTTTTCAGTTGTCCTTGCTTTGTCGCCGCCTCGATAAAGTTTAGCCACCTCAACGCTTTGATGGCCTTGAGGCTGTCGAGTGTCTCTCTGTAATTGATTTAGTGTGTGTGTGAGAGTGTGTGAAAGAGTTTGTGTAGGAGTGTGTGTGTGTGTGTGTGTGTGACGTAGCATAGCGCTCAATCTAAGCAGCACTTGTTTCTGAATTTGAACACTGAAGTATTAAAGTGATTAATATTCAGTGATGCAATAATCATTTTCAATTTTCTCCCCTATTTAATTGTGGGATTCTGTTGGAGGGTCTTAGTATTATTTAATTTGTAATAAGAAGTGTATTTACTATCCTACACACTGTATCTTTGTGTCCTAAGTGCTATTTCTTCTATTACTCACCTGTTCACCATGGCCTTTGACCCCTAACCCATTAGTCGCCCTGCTTCCACTCCCACTGCTATTTATTACATTTTGACTTTATTTTTTGCCCTTCTTGTTGGTTTGTTTGTTTGTTTTTCACACCATGTAAAGCGGCCTTGGGTCCCTTGAAAGGCGCTATACAAATGTAATGGAATATGTTAGAAAAATCTCACTGGTCCCCGGCTTGAGCTTCAATCTCAGGATCCATGTATTTATGATCCTCTCCAGAATGGAAGTAGTCATCACATACAGAGCATCAACTAGTTCCTGAACAGTGTCCTTCACATGCTACATAGTTCCTACAGTTGTCCTTCACATGCTGATATCCAAGAGAAGGGAGTTACACAGTCACAAGATGGAGGAATAGAAAGCAGTATTCAATGTTTACTTCAGATTAGCTCCACGTCAGAAATGATCATGCTTGTCATATGTCTATCTCCATAGAGGCTGAATCATCATGTTAATCACATAGCTATCATATGCCTCAAACAGTCCTGATGCTCTTCTAGGTAATCACACATCCTGTCATGCACACAGCTACAGTTGGGATACCTTTGTTATCATGTTACTCTCATATTGGAAGAGGACATTCAGTATTTTCCCAACATATTATTATTATTATCCTTAATACCTGTAGCAGTTTGGTGCCTGTCTTCTAACAGCTCTGTGTCTCTTTCCAGCTGGACGTGGTTCTGGAGACGAACCTGGCCACCATCAGAGTTCTGGAGAGCGTGCAGAAGAAGCTGACCCGCCTCTCCCCGGAGGATCAGGACCGCTTCCGGTTAGACGACTGCCTGGGCGGCACCTCGGAGGTCATCCAGCGCCGCGCCGTGTACCGGATCTACGGAGACAAAGCGCCCGAGATCATCGAGGGTCTGAAGAGGAATCCTGCCACCGCCGTGCCTGTGGTGCTCAAGAGGTCAGGACCATGTCTTCATTTCAATGTATTCAGTAGATGTGTTATGAATGTAAATAATATCCTACTTTTATATTGTGTAAACTGTCATTTGGCTCTGGATTATTTGACAGATAGTCTCCAGACTTTCACTGTCAACATGTATATATTTTACTTTTTAGTCCTGTTAAGGTGTAACTTAAGTCTTAAATCAGACTTAAGTTACACCTAGAGTAGAGTAACACTTTAATGATCAATCATTATAAAACATATCGTATATATTATTCTGAAATGGACCAATCTGCACAATGACTACTTTGACTTTTGGCACTTTAACTATATTTTGACTTTTCTACTTTTTCTTGAGGAACATTTTGAATGCAGGACTTTTACTGTAACAGAGTATTCCTACACTCTGGTACTTCTACTTTTACTCAAGTACACGATCTGAGTACTTCTACTTTTACTCAAGTACAAGATCTGAGTACTTTTACTCAAGTACAAGACCTGAGTACTTCTACTTTTACTCAAGTACAAGATCTGAGTACTTCTACTTTTACTCAAGTACAAGATCTGAGTACTTTTACTCAAGTACAAGACCTGAGTACTTCTACTTTTACTCAAGTACAAGATCTGAGTACTTCTACTTTTACTCAAGTACAATATCTGAGTACTTCTACTTTTACTCAAGTACAATATCTGAGTACTTCTACTTTTACTCAAGTACAAGATCTGATTACTTCTACTCTTACTCAAGTACATGATCTGAGTACTTCTACTTTTACTCAAGTACATGATCTGAGTACTTCTACTTTTACTGAAGTACAAGATCTGAGTACTTCTCCCACCATATTTCAGTAACACATGAATGCAGTATTCAGTGAAGTATTTGTATTAAAGTGTGTGTTTGTGTGCAGGTTGAAAGCGAAGGAGGAGGAGTGGCGGGAGGCTCAGCAGGGCTTCAATAAGATCTGGAGGGAGCAGTACGAGAAGGCGTACCTGAAGTCTCTGGACCACCAGGGGGTGAACTTCAAGCAGAACGACATGAAGGCTCTGCGCTCCAAGAGCCTGCTCAACGAGATCGAGAGCGTCTACGATGAGGTGAGAAAACGCTATTCCCCTCTGTCATCCCATAACAACCTCAAGTAGCGTTTATTTTATCTGCTATTCTCATTTATTTAGACCTAGTGTCCAAATGTTCTTGTTAACCATATTTAACTTCATAATGTTTTTTTCATTCAAGTTTTAGTCTGAGTGTTTTTAGGCAGAACATTTGAGAGGTCTTTAACAAGCAAGCAAGTAAAGAAGTGTGAAATAATATATGTTTGTACAGCACAACATAATAGCTGTGTATATATAGCTGCAACAAAATTGCATTTTTCCCTTGAACTTTACTCTGAGACGCTTTAAAACACATTTTTTGTCTCGGTGTGTGTTTCTGAAACAGCTTCACTCACCTCGTTGTGTTTCTGTCTCTCAGCGTCAGGAGCAGAGCACAGAGGGAAATGTATCTTATTTTCCCTTAAAACTATTCTAACATCTCGGAGATCAGTGAAGCACATTTAAAAAGATTATTTGTCCCAGTGCGTGTTTCTAAAGTATCCTTCCTGTCGCTCAGCGTCAGGAGCAGAGCCATAGTCCTGTGTCCATTTCTTGTTAGTTTAAACCATATTTAGCTTCATACGGTTTTTTTCATTTTAGTCGGAGTCTTTTTTGGCAGAAAAATCGAGAGCTCGTTAACAAGCAAGCAAAGAAGTGTCAACAAATATTTTGTTGTTGTTGTTTTTGTGCTGTTTGAGAAAAACTTTATAGCAGCAACAAAATTGAATTTTTTCACTTAAAGGAGACCCATCATGCAAAATGCACTTTTTGATGTCTTTTATACATAACTATGTGTATAAAAAATAAATATAAAATAAACCCTCTCTCTTTTCCTCCGTACCCAAATCTCTAAAAACGGGGGAACAACGGAGCTGATCCAGGTTTGCGTCCGATATGATATAATATCTGAAATGTGGACCCGGCCCTATCAGAAAGTTGCTATCAGAAACAATGCCCGACTGTTTTGGACGTAATATGGTCGGTGTTTACATTAGCATCGCTAACACTCAGAGCTAACCTGTACTGGAGAGCATGTGTGTGAAGAAGCAGGAAATAAAAAGGAACTCACCTTGTGGTATAACCGGCAAGAGAGAAAGCCTTTGAGCTCCATACTGTTTCAGAAATAATCCTTGATAATCCATGATATGGCGTTTCATCACGGCAGCATTTAGTTTAGACAGTAGCTGCCGGGTCCCGCATGAGCTCAGACCCCTCCTTTTTTATTTGTTATCTAATTCTTTTACCCCAAATCAGCACTTTTGAAACAGGAAGTGAAATAGAGGGATATGAGGCATGGCTAGAATGGGTGATCTGTTTGGTATTTTGAGCAAAACACTTCATAGACATGTTTTTTATATATTTGTATATATCTGAGACCTATGCTATTGCCTAAAAATAGCATGATAGGTGACCTTTAAACTTAATTTCTCTGAGACACTTTAAAACAGATTTTCTGTGTCAGTGTGTGTTTCTGAGACAGCTTCACTCACCTCGTTGTGTTTCTGTCTCTCAGCGTCAGGAGCAGAGCACAGAGGAGGGTGGAGTCGGCCTGCAGAACCGAAACGGCTCCGGCACCTCCGTCACCAGCGAGCCCCACATGGTGTTCACCTACAACGACAAACAGATCCTAGAAGACGCCGCGGCGCTCATCATCTACCACGTGAAACGCCAGCCCACCATCCACAAAGACGACAAGGACCACATCAAGCGCATCATCCAGCACTTTGTCCCCGATCTGTTCTTCTCCCGCCGGGGCGAACTCAGCGACACCGAGGACTGGACTGACGACGAAGTGGAGCCAGAAGAGGGTGGAGAACGAGTAGAGAGAGGAGGAGAAAGAGGTGGAGAAAGAGGAGTAGAGAGAGGTGGAGAGAGAGGTGGAGAAAGAGCACCAGAAAGAGCGCCAGAAAGAGCGCCAGAAAGAGCGCCAGAAAGAGCTCCAGAAAGAGCGCCAGAAAGAGCGCCAGAAAGAGCGCCAGAAAGAGCGCCAGAAAGAGCACCAGAAAGAGCGCCAGAAAGAGCACCAGGAGGAGATGGAAATAATAATAATAATGTATCCTCAGCAACAGGAAGTCAGCCTCAACCCCAACAACCACAGCATCTGAACGGAGAATCCAGGCGGAGGCGATGCAGCCCTTCTCAACTCGTAGAAACTGAAGCTTCCACCACCTCCATCACTTCCTCTACCATCACCTCCACCATGACCTCCAGCCAGCCTTTAGGCCCCGCCTCCTCCTCCACCCCGGGGTCAACTCCCATGGGTGGAGTTGGAGGTGGAGGTGGAGGAGTGCCGGGAGAGAAGGTGGACCTGCGGGACCCCGAGGCGGAGCACCAGAAGGAGATGGACGGCGTCTACAACCTCTACTTCGTCAACAACAACTGGTACTTCTTCCTGAGGCTGCACCAGACGCTGTGCTCGCGGCTGCTGAAGGTCTACAGGCAGGCGGAGCGGCAGCTGCTGGAGCATCGGGCGGAACAGAGCCGCGAGAGGCTGCTATTGGCCGAGGGGAGGCGGGAGAAAGCATGTGACCTCGCCATGGAGCTGCGCCTCAAACAGCCCAGTGAGTACAGCTGATTGTTGGTTATACCCTTCCCTTACCTTAATCTGTCCTTTTTTGATATGCATCTTAAAAAAAATACAAGTCTGCGTGTACATACAATCTTCACAGAGGGATGTATAGTTACACAGGTTTATATTTAGATAGTGCGAGACAATCCAGCACATTTTAATACAGGGAGTTTCTCTCCCACACACCCCTACTTTGGACTACGTTTACTTCTGTAACAGAGTGAAATCAATATGGAACGCTCCTATTGGCTAGCGCTCCAACACATTGTACGTGATAGGCTAAGGCGGGACATCTCTAAGCGGTTGACCAATCACAACAGAGCCGGCCAGCTAACCAATCAGAGCAGACTGGGCTCTGGTTTCAGACAGAGGGTGAAAAGAGGTGCAGCAGCACAGGCAGTATGAGAAAAATAAAGAGCTTTTTGAACATTAAAGCATGGAGACATGTAGAGACACTACATACTGATATACACCTGAACATCAGCAGGAGAGGACTCTTTAAAGTAGAGACACTACATACTGATATACACCTGAACATCAGCAGGAGAGGACTCTTTAAAGTAGAGACACTACATTACTGATATACACCTGAACATCAGCAGGAGAGGACTCTTTAAAGTAGAGACACTACATACTGATATACACCTGAACATCAGCAGGAGAGGACTCTTTAAAGTAGAGACACTACATACTGATATACACCTGAACATCATCAGGAGAGGACTCTTTAAAGTAGAGACACTACATACTGATATACACCTGAACATCAGCAGGAGAGAACTCTTTAAAGTAGAGACACTACATACTGATATACACCTGAACATCAGCAGGAGAGGACTCTTTAAAGTAGAGACACTACATACTGATATACACCTGAACATCAGCAGGAGAGGACTCTTTAAAGGTCGAGACACTACATACTGATACACCTGAACATCAGCAGGAGAGGACTCTTTAAAGTAGAGACACTACATACTGATATACACCTGAACATCAGCAGGAGAGGACTCTTTAAAGTAGAGACACTACATACTGATATACACCTGAACATCAGCAGGAGAGGACTCTTTAAAGTAGAGACACTACATACTGATATACACCTGAACATCAGCAGGAGAGGACTCTTTAAAGTAGAGACACTACATACTGATATACACCTGAACATCAGCAGGAGAGGACTCTTTAAAGGTCGAGACACTACATACTGATACACCTGAACATCAGCAGGAGAGGACTCTTTAAAGTAGAGACACTACATACTGATATACACCTGAACATCAGCAGGAGAGGACTCTTTAAAGTAGAGACACTACATACTGATATACACCTGAACATCAGCAGGAGAGGACTCTTTAAAGTAGAGACACTACATACTGATATACACCTGAACATCAGCAGGAGAGGACTCTTTAAAGTAGAGACACTACATACTGATATACACCTGAACATCAGCAGGAGAGGACTCTTTAAAGTAGAGACACTACATACTGATATACACCTGAACATCAGCAGGAGAGGACTCTTTAAAGTAAAGACACTACATACTGATATACAACCTGAACATCAGCAGGAGAGGACTCTTTAAAGTAGAGACACGACATACTGATATACACCTGAACATCAGCAGGAGAGGACTCTTTAAAGTAGAGACACGACATACTGATATACACCTGAACATCAGCAGGAGAGGACTCTTTAAAGTAGAGACACTACATACAGATATACACCTGAACATCAGCAGGAGAGGACTCTTTAAAGTAGAGACACGACATACTGATATACACCTGAACATCAGCAGGAGAGGACTCTTTAAAGTAGAGACACGACATACTGATATACACCTGAACATCAGCAGGAGAGGACTCTTTAAAGTAGAGACACTACATACTGATATACACCTGAACATCAGCAGGAGAGGACTCTTTAAAGTAGAGACACTACATACTGATATACACCTGAACATCAGCAGGAGAGGACTCTTTAAAGTAAAGACACTACATACTGATATACACCTGAACATCAGCAGGAGAGGACTCTTTAAAGTAGAGACACTACATACTGATATACACCTGAACATCAGCAGGAGAGGACTCTTTAAAGTAGAGACACTACATACTGATATACACCTGAACATCAGCAGAATAGGCCCCTTCAATAGTAATGAAAGACTGTCTGCACAGTATCAGATGATCTCATTGTAACGTCCCTCTCCTCTCCAGGTGAGGTGGAGCTGGAGGAATATTACCCCGCCTTCCTGGACATGGTGCGCAGCCTGCTGGATGGAAACCTGGACTCCACTCAGTACGAGGACACGCTGAGGGAGATGTTCACCATCCACGCCTACATCGGATTCACCATCGACAAGGTCATCCACAACATCATCCGCCAGGTGAGCCAAGTTTACTCGTTACAGACACACGGAGATCTACTGCCTGTTGTGATTTGGATGTAGTTTGGTGCAGGGAGGAGTCCTAAACTGGTGTTGGGGTTATAGCCATTCCCTCATCTGGAGGTCAATGGTTTTCTGAATGTGTTTTTGTTGTTATTCTGAAATAAGGTATGTGGTTAACTCAAGCTGAAGAGATTTTAAAGTTTTGTTCTACGACATAAAATACGTCGGTAAATACCCCACTGGTGGATTTAGTGTCTAAATGAGACGACTAAACGTCTTCACGCCCAACATTCGCCACCTTTAGCTTAGCGGTGGTGACGTGAAGTCATGTGACCGTGCTGTAGTTCCTTTATAGCCCAACATTCGCCTCCTTTAGCTTAGCGGTGCTGACGTGAAGTCATGTGACCGTGCTGTAGTTCCTTTATAGCCCAACATTCGCCTCCTTTAGCTTGGTGGTGCTGACGTGAAGTCATGTGACCGTGCTGTAGTTCCTTTATAGCCCAACATTCGCCTCCTTTACTTAGCGGTGCTGACGTGAAGTCATGTGACCGTGCTGTAGTTCCTTTATAGCCCAACATTCGCCTCCTTTAGCTTGGTGGTGCTGACGTGAAGTCATTTGACCGTGCTGTAGTGCCTTTATAGCCCAACATTAGCCTCCTTTAGCTTAGCGGTGCTGACGTGAAGTCATGTGACCGTGCTGTAGTTCCTTTATAGCCCAACATTCGCCTCCTTTAGCTTAGCGGTGGTGACATGAAGTCATGTGACCGTGCTGTAGTTCCTTTATAGCCCAACATTAGCCACCTTTAGCTTAGCGGTGCTGACATGAAGTCATGTGACCGTGCTGTAGTTCCTTTATAGCCCAACATTAGCCACCTTTAGCTTAGCGGTGCTGACATGAAGTCATGTGACCGTGCTGTAGTTCCTTTATAGCCCAACATTAGCCACCTTTAGCTTAGCGGTGCTGACGTGAAGTCATGTGACCGTGCTGTAGTTCCTTTATAGCCCAACATTAGCCTCCTTTAGCTTAGCGGTGGTGACGTGAAGTCATGTGACCGTGCTGTAGTTCCTTTATAGCCCAACATTCGCCTCCTTTAGCTTAGCGGTGCTGACGTGAAGTCATGTGACCGTGCTGTAGTTCCTTTATAGCCCAACATTAGCCACCTTTAGCTTAGCGGTGCTAACGTGAAGTCATGTGACCGTGCTGTAGTTCCTTTATAGCCCAACATTAGCCACCTTTAGCTTAGCGGTGCTGACGTGAAGTCATGTGACCGTGCTGTAGTTCCTTTATAGCCCAACATTAGCCTCCTTTAGCTTAGCGGTGGTGACGGGAAGTCGTGTGACCGTGCTGTAGTTCCTTTATAGCCCAACATTCGCCTCCTTTAGCTTAGCGGTGCTGACGTGAAGTCATGTGACCGTGCTGTAGTTCCTTTATAGCCCAACATTAGCCACCTTTAGCTTAGCGGTGGTGACGTGAAGTCATGTGACCGTGCTGTAGTTCCTTTATAGCCCAACATTCGCCTCCTTTAGCTTAGCGGTGCTGACGTGAAGTCATGTGACCGTGCTGTAGTTCCTTTATAGCCCAACATTAGCCGCCTTTAGCTTAGCGGTGGTGACGTGAAGTCATGTGACCGTGCTGTAGCTCCTTTATAGCCCAACATTAGCCGCCTTTAGCTTAGCGGTGGTGACGTGAAGTCATGTGACCGTGCTGTAGTTCCTTTATAGCCCAACATTCGCCTCCTTTAGCTTAGCGGTGCTGACGTGAAGTCATGTGACCGTGCTGTAGTTCCTTTATAGCCCAACATTAGCCACCTTTAGCTTAGCGGTGCTAACGTGAAGTCATGTGACCGTGCTGTAGTTCCTTTATAGCCCAACATTAGCCACCTTTAGCTTAGCGGTGCTGACGTGAAGTCATGTGACCGTGCTGTAGTTCCTTTATAGCCCAACATTAGCCTCCTTTAGCTTAGCGGTGGTGACGTGAAGTCATGTGACCGTGCTGTAGTTCCTTTATAGCCCAACATTCGCCTCCTTTAGCTTAGCGGTGCTGACGTGAAGTCATGTGACCGTGCTGTAGTTCCTTTATAGCCCAACATTAGCCACCTTTAGCTTAGCGGTGCTAACGTGAAGTCATGTGACCGTGCTGTAGTTCCTTTATAGCCCAACATTCGCCTCCTTTAGCTTAGCGGTGGTGACGTGAAGTCATGTGACCGTGCTGTAGTTCCTTTATAGCCCAACATTAGCCGCCTTTAGCTTAGCGGTGGTGACGTGAAGTCATGTGACCGTGCTGTAGCTCCTTTATAGCCCAACATTAGCCGCCTTTAGCTTAGCGGTGGTGACGTGAAGTCATGTGACCGTGCTGTAGTTCCTTTATAGCCCAACATTCGCCTCCTTTAGCTTAGCGGTGGTGACGTGAAGTCATGTGACCGTGCTGTAGTTCCTTTATAGCCCAACATTAGCCTCCTTTAGCTTAGCGGTGGAGTTGTGACCGTGCTGTAGTTCAGAAATCATTAAGTCGTGTTAATATGTGAATAATTTCCTGACATAATCCAAAATCACATGGAGAAAATCCCATTGGACCAGGGAGATGCTGCCTTCAGGGTCCAACAGAGAAATACAACATCCCTGCAATACTCTAAAGCAGTAGTTCTATAAAATGTCGATGACTCGTTCATCCCTAACCCCAGTGTCTCTCCGTCCTCAGCTGCAGCACCTGGTGAGCGACGAGGTGTGTCTGCAGGTGGTGGATGTTTACCTGGCGGAGAGGAAGAGGGGGGCAGCGGGGGGGAACCTGTCCTCGCAGTGCGTTCGCTCAGCCTGGGAAACGAGCTACCAGTGGAAGGCTGAGAGAGTCATGGCGGAGGAGAACTGCTTCAAGGTGAGTCACGCTGCTGCTGGAGGGAAAATCCTGTTCGCTTTGAGACGTTTCTTTTATTCGTCCCTCAGAGGGGAAATGTACATTTGTTACAACAGAAAGGATCCAAAGACAGCTTAATGTTAACTCACTGCATGAGTGTAATCTAGCATATTCATCATCAACAAACAATTTGACCAAAGCTTTTTATTTTTTTGAGATTTCAGCAGCTTTATTCTCCTGGTTTTGTTCTGCTGTTGTAAGTTGATTTTTGTTTTGTAATTTAAATCTTTATTGTCACATTATACAATAACATGCAACATTTTAATATTGTAACAAAAGGCCAGCAAGGCAATACAAAATAAAAGGCTAGGGATATGCCGTCATGAAGACACATGTAGCTATTGTTCCAGTCTAATGTCTTTGTTTTGAGTCTTTTTCCCACTTTCTGTTGAGTTGTGTTTTTTTGCAATCTCAATTTATGTCCGTTTTTCCATCAAAAAGATTTCTTCCACAATTATTGTTGTTGTAAGTTCATTTAAATCTGTGTGTCTTTGTGTCTCCAGGTGATGTTTCTCCAGAACACGGGTCAGGTGACGATGACGGTGGAGCTGCTGGACACAGAGGAGGCTCAAGCCGACGACCCGTTAGACGTACAGGTAAACACGCACGCACACACACGCACACACACGCACACACACGCACACACACACGCACACACACGCACACACACACGCACACACACGCACACACACGCACACACACACGCACACACACACGCACACACACGCACACACACACACACACACACTGACACACACACACTGACACACACACACACTGACACACACACACACACACACACTGACACACACACTGACACACACACACACACTGACACACACACACACTGAAACACACACACTGACACACACACACACACTGAAACACACACACTGACACGCACACACACACACACACACATACTGACACACATACTCACACACACATACACACACACACACTGACACACACACACACACACACACACACACACTGACACACACACACACACACACTGACACACACACTGACACACACACTGACACACACACTGACACACACACTGACACACACACTGACACACACACTGACACACACACTGACACACACACTGACACACACACACACACACTGACACACACACACACTGACACACACACTGAAACACACACTGAAACACACACTGAAACACACACTGAAACACACACACTGACACACACACTGAAACACACACACACACACTGAAACACACTGACACACACACACTGAAACACACACACACACACTGAAACACACACACACACACTGAAACACACTGACACACACACACTGAAAGACACACACACTGAAACACACACACACTGAAACACACACACACTGAAACACACACACACTGAAACACACACACACACACTGACACACACACACTGACACACACACTGAAACACACACGCACACACTGACACACACTGACACACACCCTTTCTAAATAAACTGTTACACATGTATTAATGTAAAACACACACACACACTGACACACACACACACACACACACACACACACACACACACACTCACACACACTGACACACACTGACACACACTGACACACACACACACACACACACACACACACACACACACACACACACACACAGACACAGACACACACACACATACTGACACACACACACACACACTGACACACACACACTGAAACACACACACACTGAAACACACACACTGAAACACACACACTGACACACACACACATACTGACACACATACTGACACACACACACACACACACACACACACACACACACACTGACACACACACACACACACACACACACACACACACACTGACACACACACACACACACACACACACACTGACACACACACTGACACACTGACACACACACTGAAACACACACTGAAACACACACTGAAACACACACACACACACTGACACACACACTGAAACACACACACACACTGAAACACACTGACACACACACACTGAAACACACACACACTGAAACACACACACACTGAAACACACACACACTGAAACACACACGCACTGAAACACACACACACTGACACACACTGACACACACTGACACACACTGACACACACCCTTTCTAAATAAACTGTTACACATGTATTAATGTAAAACACACACACACACACTGACACACACACACACACACACACACACACACACTGACACACACTGACACACACACACTGACACACACACACCGACACACACCCTTTCTAAATAAACTGTTACACATGTATTAATGTAAATGTGTGTGTCCTCAGTGCCTGTCGAGCTACATGGAGCAGTTTGTAGGAACAGAGTCCAGTCTGTGTTCTCAGGAGGGATACTTCTTCAAACCTGTGTTCCTGCCCAGGTACAACACTTGTTCATCTCATTTTAACATGTGCATGATCAAATACTACAGCTCATGTCTTTAGGAGATAATAACAGCCATTTGTATCAACATCTAGAGGAAGTGTGAGTTTCCTGAACCTTATCTGCACAGAGTTTATTGAACGTTCAATGTTTGATGTGTTTTTGTGGCTCACGATGTGCAGGAATTCATTTTACAATGCACCTGTCTGATGTGGTGTTATCCAGTAGCTTATATAAAACTTACACACAAAGAAACACAGAGTAAACACACTTTAATTTATCCCAACATCAAGTTTTTAACAATCCAAAATATCTCTAAATCCCAATTGTATGAAATAATAGGAGACAATAAATAGATCCCTCACATTCATTACATAACAGTACACATTGAAAGTAAATAATAAACTAATACAACTACTACTGTTAACATTACCTTGGTTACAAAGATATGCCCCCCCTTGTGGTCACTGAGTGTATGTTCAAATGGAGGTATTGCAAATGTTAGGTATTAAAAACACTGCATTTGATGATGAGTTAAACCAAAACCCGGTGAGGTGGTTTTCTTGAAGTGTCTTTGTAATTACATTTTTTTATCATTTCATATTCCAGCTATTCCTCAAAAAACATGTTTTGGATATCACGCCATTCACATTTTAAATTTAAATTTTAAGAAATTGTAGTTTTTGTATTTCTACCCCAAGCTTCCATAAGTGGGTCAAAAATGACCCGCATGCATTTCCTATGGGATCCTATGGGAACCTTTGATTCTTATCACCTGTTGCTGTCAGGAATACATTCACTGTAGACCACACAGACTACATCACAAGTGACACCTCTGAGGAAGATTATTTTACACAGCAAGATCTGATACCTGTCAGTATAATAATAATAATAAGAATACATTATATTTGTATAGGGCTTTTCAAGGACTCGCAGTCGCTTTACAATATGAGGGAAGGTTAGGGTGGGGGGTATAGGACTATCAAACTTGATCAACCGGCATGGATTGATGGGGGGTGGGCCTATGAGTAGACAAGAGGAGAAGAGATGAGTTTTGAAAAGGGACTGGAATACTGTGAGGGTCTCAGAATAGCAGAGATCTTTGCATCAATATGTTCAAAACGTTTTTTTTCAAAATGTAAAAAAAAAAATCTAAAATTATAAATAGTGAAAAATTAAATATAAAATATTTCTAGTGTGAACCAAAATATAATACTAAATATTATACAAGTGATTTTTCATAACCAAAATGACAAAAATGGCATAAAAACACATATTATTCTAATACGGGTCCTTTTTGACCCTCTTATGGAAGAGAGTAGTCACTCGGGCATCTAAGGGTTAAGAACATAGCGTTAAATTAAAAACCTATTTCTAACAAAGGGCTGATGTGTGTGATTAAATTAAATTCCACAGATCTTATCATTTAAATGTGTGTCAGTGTTAATCTAAAACACATGGAATTTGCACATTGTAAAAATCTATTTCTTATACACTTGCATTGATTGGATTTAGGGACAGTTGAGCCATCATGAATCCAACGTTCAGTTTCCTCAACAAATATAAAAATGAATATTCTAAAAGTATTCCACAGTGATTTCTGATGGAAAAAACAAAGGTGTTTTTATTGGTGTTTTAAATTGACCGGACTTCTTTCTGCGGATTGATACGACTGCATATAGTCCCTTTTATCCTCCTTAGCAACAGTCTGCTATCATTAGCAAAAGATAACAGACCTCTGGAATCTCCGAACTGACCAATCAGTAGAGACACTACATACTGATATACACCTGAACATCAGCAGGAGAGGACTCTTTAAAGTAGAGACACTACATACGGATATACACCTGAACATCAGCAGGAGAGGACTCTTTAAAGTAGAGACACTACATACTGATATACACCTGAACATCAGCAGGAGAGGACTCTTTAAAGTAGAGACACTACATACTGATATACACCTGAACATCAGCAGGAGAGGACTCTTTAAAGTAGAGACACTACATACTGATATACACCTGAACATCAGCAGGAGAGAACTCTTTAAAGTAGAGACACTACATACTGATATACACCTGAACATCAGCAGGAGAGGACTCTTTAAAGTAGAGACACTACATACTGATATACACCTGAACATCAGCAGGAGAGGACTCTTTAAAAACATTCTACGTTGCCGGTTACAACAACATTACAATCATGTAACAAAAGGCCAGCAAGGCTATACAAAATTAAAATTAAATAAAAGGCTAGGGATATGTCGTCATGTTATTATACTCTTAAAGATACATGTATCTATTAGCTATTGTTCCACTCTAATGACTTTGTTTTGAGTCTTGTATAGAGTCCATTTTTCCCACTTCCTGTTGAGTTGTGTTTCTTGCAATCTCAAATCAACCCAGCTTTTAACACATTTCATTTAATTTCTCTCTTCTCAGGAATCTGCGGCGTTTCCGGCGCTGGCAGGTGCGCCAGGTGGAGGCGATGCGCTGCCGGAGGGAATGGCACCGGCAGCTCGGAGTGGAGAACGCCGGCAGCCTGGACTGCCGCTTCAAACTCAACACTCACAAGATGGTGTTCGTCATGAACTCCGAGGACTACATGTACCGCAGGGGGGCGCTGGTCAAGGCCCGCAAGGTACGAGGACGCTTTTTAAATAACTAGGGATGTGTACTTCATCTGCTTTTTAATCCCGTTTGTCCTGGTGGTCATCGTTTGGTTATTTTCAAAATCTTTTTATTTGGTTTCTGGCAGACATGCCGCTTTCAGCACATTATACCAAGTACAGGACACTTTGTCTGTTAAAGGAAATACAAATACCCATCCCCTATCCCCACCCCCACCCCATTAGGTCAAGGTCACAGAAAAAATTATAATAATACAAATAAATAAAATAATAACTCAGGTAGCAGGAATACAAAAGTTCACATTGAGTCGAATAATAAGGGATCCTTTTAGCGAGAATCTTAGCTTCTTCTTTGAGAGCCTACCAACGTTAACATATCACTTTTTATTTGGGCAAAGGAAATCTTATTTGATTGACAATTTTGATTTCTCTTAAGAAGTGGAAAGTGCATTTTCTGCTATTTTTATTTTAATAGTTGCTAATTATTTTCCTGCTAATCGACTGTTTGAACACTTCCTACCTGTTGGATCCTCTTCAACGCGTTCTCCTTTTTCTCTTATTTTGGATTTTTCAGGGACGTTTTATTTATTAGTTTTGACTGGTTGTTTTTTTGGGAAGATTTTGACTGAAGAAAATGTTCCTTTTAATTTTTTTAAATACATTTTTGCAGTTAACTATCATAACAATTATTATCCTGTGATTTAACTTATCCTTACTGCTCTATTTGCACTCTTTCTACCTCTTATCCCCTTCTCCCTTTCCTTTCATTTTGTTTTTTTTGGTGGTTTCTTTTCAGATTTTGACAGAAAAAAAGTGAACATTTGTATTAGATTTAAAAAAGAAATACCTCGAATCAATAACCAATATACTTGTTCTATTGATCTCCACTGCAGCTCTTGAAAGGTGCAAGGTTCAAAGGGCTTTATTGTCAAATCCAATGAAAAACATCCCAGGCTCCTCCAGGAATGAAACCTAAATATATATAAGACATAACACAAGACTAACGTGCAGGAGAAGTTAAATACACGCCAGTAAAATAGAAAATAAAATACTGCTTATTGTAATAATAGATACATTTGTGAGATGCCGACAGATCACACTTTCTCCTCTTCCTCCACAGTCGCAGCACAGAGTGGCAGCCAATCAGCACGACCGCTTCGACAAGTGGCACCAGGGCTGGCTGGCCAATCACGTGACGGCGCCGGCGGATCGGGCCGTTCAGAACTGGCTTCTGGGAGAAGAGACGGACGACATGATCCCCTGCAAGACCACCTGCCTGCAGACCAAGCTGAAGGGCCAAGCTGTGAACAGATACCAGGTTCATTACAGCGGTAGCAAAGCCCCCGCCTCCCCGTAGACACACACACACACACACACACACACACACACACACACACACACACACACACACACACACTTACACACACACACACAGACACACAGACACAGGTAAATGCATGGACGTACAGGACATTCACTAAACAGACAGTTCTCTCTAAGAAAAAATAACGGGACAAACACAGACAGTGAAGTAATCACGGAGCGTGGACTCGGCCCTGTTTACGGCACGAGTCGGCACAAAATGGCGACCTTCATCATCCTCCTTATCGTCCGGCTTCTCTGGCGGCACTCAAAGTTGACGGACACACAGACGAGAAGTTATGAAATCATGAAATCATGAAATTTGTTTCAGAAAATGTGAATGTCTGTTTCTTTTTTCTCCTTTTTTCTGTTTTATTTTTTTAAAGTCGTGTAGTTTTTAGCTTCTAAAGCCGGAGAGCCTTCTGTGTGTGGGTTGGTTGGTTAATGCGTGTTTATATGGAGAGATAATGGTAAACGTGTGTATGTGTGTGCTGCTCTCTTCCTCTGTCTGTTTGTATGCCCAGTACAGGCTCTACAACTCTAGTAATTGCATTATTACTGTACTGTATGTGCATATATATATATATAACAGGGATCCTGTATTTTTATATATGCATCTACACATCTTAAGATCACGTGGTTCTTTACAGTGTTTGCTGTCAGCCAACTCTTGATGTTTTGCATTATTTTTGTTTTCCTTTTTTGTGTTGTAGCTAAACAAGTTATCACCAAGGCAACAAGGAGTCCTTAAAATGATTGGTTTAAAATGGACGACGCAGTCAGATTATGTATCATGGTCATGATACTCAATGTTTACTTTGTACTGTCTTTTTTTTGCATACTGACATTGAAAATAAAAGCAAAATATCAGTGTTAAAATAGAATGTATAACATTTATCCTGTATCAGTTATCATGAAATAAACAACCTGGTTGTGACCTTCTTAGACGTGGACTGGCAGGACGTTTGTTTGTTGGCGTGAGAAAGATTTCATGTACAAATGCAACACGTTTCACTACAACAGGGTGTCCGCGGGGTCTTAACAAGTGTTACAAGTTGATCAATCAATTTAGCGAAAATTAAGGCTATTAAAAAGTATTAAAAAGTATTAAAAAGTATATAAATTGTCCAAAGAGGTTGTATTCTACAGTCTGTCTGAATGTAATCATTGCGTAGGTGTGTAGTGTGATTCTGTGTAGTTTATTTATGGCATCCCGTTGGGTTTGACGTCATCTGAACAGGACATCGCACGCTCACTGCTTGATAGCGTGCGAAGGTCCGTTTACGCCGGTTGTTAAACAACATCGTTATGGGGGAATGCAAGTCTGCGTCCAAATGGTTGGAAGATAAGGAGGAAGGACAATCAATACTGTATATAGTCAATGTGAGGTAAAGTGTGTCGCCTGGTTAAAACTCGAAGTGGCGATGAGGGAAAGGGTCTTAAAAAAGGTCTTGAAAGGTATTAAATTTGACTTCAGGATTCCTGCATATACCCTGTACAAACACCCGGGTTCATATTATTATATAAACTAAACATATTTAGTTTTTGGATTGTTGAATGAACAAAACAATAGAAAACATTTTTTCTGTAATATTTTTCCCAATTTTCCAATATATTTTCTATAATTTCCAAACTTTAGTGTCGTTGAAAAAGTCAAAGTGTAGTGCATCATAAATAAAAAAATATTGTAAAAAACATAAACAGTATGCCAAAGAAAATTACATAACATACAATTACCTTTTGTATAAAAATATATAACTTTTATGGCATACTAAACTATGATAAAACAAAAAAAAGTATATTTATATAATTTTTAATTGTGTTTTTTTGATGTGATTGTTAGGGAATAATTTGCTTAGGTATTCGACCTTCGACCCAGTTCATCGTTTTCTCCTCTCACTGTCTCCTTTCCCATGGCATAGTTCTACGGCCTTGGGTTCTGCTGCTATCTCTCTTTAGGAGGAGCAGCTTGGGCGCATTGTTGTTGCCAGTCTATGACAGAGCACAAGCCGCCATGAGGTAGTTTACTGTTCAGACGAAGGTTCCCTGGCGCACATTCTTTCCTATGGACGAGAGCTCTAGTTAGATTCAGGGTCCAGGGTCTCGCTGATGAAGAATGTTGATTATTACACTCTGAACTAGTTAAAACCTCGAGCTGCAGAAAGAGTTCTTCAGAATTGGTTTGGCAACCGCTGTGTGAACTCGTGACACACCACCTGTCTCGTCAATTCTCCGGCCGTAACTCCAAATAAACCGTCAGTGTTTGCCATCAAAGCTCCAGCTCTCCTCGTGTCTCTCTGAGTCCTGACTCTCCATTGCTACAGAAGTTTCCCCCACAGTATTATTATATTATTATATATATACTGTTGTATATTATAGAAAACTTAATATATTTAGTTTTTGGATTGTTTAATGAACAAAACAGACTTTTTCCCCAATTTTTCAAATATTTTCTCTATAATTTCCAAACTTCAGTGTCTTTGAAAAAGTGGAAGTGTAGTACGTCATAAATAAAAGAATGTTGTAAAAAACATAAACAGTATGCCAAAGAAAATGACATAATATACAATTACCTTTTGTATAAAAATATATAACTTTTATGGCATACTAAACTATGATAAAACAAAAAAAAGTATATTTATATAATTTTTTATAGTTTTTTTTAAAAATGGCAATTTCATTTGGACTTTTTTGACAGTTTAAGAACATATAATACTTTGACATTTGTATAGATATTTTTATAGCTACTTTATTATTTTGTATGGCATACCATACTCAATGTTATGACATTTAATGATATGCTTTAATATGACTTAATCATGACTTTTGTGTAAGAGAAGCAGAAAAAACGAGACGAGAGACAGAGCGAGTTTTAAAAATAACCGTGGTTTATAAAACCCAGATATGACAGGATCACCAAAGTGTTTACAGAAATACAAATACCATCAGAACCATCGCAGGACGGAGTTTTACACGCAACATGTACAAACTACTCTGGAAAAACTGACTCTTTAAAATCACATTTAGCCACGATGTATTTATCTAATATCTGTCTTATCAAAGTACAGCCTACCAAACTACAGTACTATCATTACTGGATTAGAGAAACAACATCGAGAGAGGAAACATCGAGCACTTTAACATCATAAGGGGGAACAACTGTACAAAATAACCCTGTTTTAGTTTAGTCACAGGGCTACACACACTTTGTTTTACAGAGAAGCACCTTTAGAAATGCTTCTGATAAAATCCAGGCAGGTTTTTTTGGAGTTGACAGCATGATGTGGGTCAAAGTGCTTCTGCTTTTACAACACAGTATTTTTTTTCATGCACATTCACAGATGTACACACAGTATCACAGCTCCTCCTGGACGTAAAAGCTTTGAAAAAAGACGACGAGAAAAACAACCAATCACAGTCTCCACTTCTCCATGGATCTATTTTTTTTTTATACAAACACATTGTCAACAGATTTCCACATGAGTGCAGGATCAAAAACAGAAAAACCTCTTCGTTCACCTTAAAAAATACTGCTTGTCTCGAAGTATGAAATCAACCATTGTCACGGTGGCCACAATGATCGCTAATATACATGTAATAAATTAAGAACTATGTACAATGGGGAACTAAAGCAGCATGCAGGCAAGACAACAGCCTTTGTACAAAACTATCTGCTGTGTGTGTGTGTGTGTGTGTGTGTGTGTGTGTGTGTGTGTGTGTGTGTGTGTGTGTGTGTGTGTGTGTGTGTGTGTGTGTGTGTGTGTGTGTGTGTGTGTGTCATGGTGTGTGTGTGCAGTGTGTTATAATGACCCTTCTTCTACATTTTTTACATATTTTTCTGGCTCTTTGCACACAGAAGCTGTTCAGTTTTTTACAAACAGAAGTATTGTTGTGCTGCAGCTGGGGGGGGGGGGGTCAAACAGGAAGTCAAACAGCATTTAAATTAGCATCTTTAGCCAGATAGCAGGAAAACACTTTGAAATGATAAGAAACAGCTCTTTACGTTTGAGCTGCTGGTTTAAAAATAACTTATAGGGGCTAATAATGGATATCAGATGTACAGCACGTTTCTCCTGGTTCCTTATCTTTAATCTAACATTTAACAAGACTTAAAATTGTTTAAAAGTGCTAACATGAGTGAACATTAGCGACAAACAAACAAACAACATGATGTGGTGAAAACGTGTTACAGTTTTTACATATTTTACTGTTAATGAGAGATTGGATTGCAACCGAATGTATTGAAAAAGAGCCTCAAAGTTGCCAAATCCTCAAAATATTAACCACATTGTTTTGTTTCAAATATTGGCTGGGAATATTGTGCATGTGCATTTTGTTTAAAATCGAATTGGGTGAATTTATTTTAGTTATAGAGGTACGTTTTGTTGGAGCCAACCACCCATGTGCTACACAAATTAGCCGTAATTAGCATTAGCTTCCCAAAAACGTTTTTTTAATACGCATAATTAAATAAAAAAGTAGCCCATTCTGGCAACACACACTACAGTCTTAATATACAAATGGCTCTTTTCTGTCATGTCACACTTTGAAGATTCATTTTGGGGAAATTAGGGATAACATTTCAATGTAATTGCTAACAAGGCTAGCTAACTTATGCTAGCTAACCTTGATAGCTGATGCTAACAAAGCTAGCTTGCCTTGGTCGGCTATTTAAACCTTCATTAATCAGACTAATTCAATAAAAGCGCTCCAAATGTGTGAACCATTGGCATGTTAACAATTAAACTAAACATTTAAAGCAGTAAATCACATAATATTTGACACATTTCTCCTCATATTACTGGGATTTCCAACGATACAGCTGCGTACATTAGTAAAAACAACAATCATAAACGAGCGTTGTGCAGTCTGCATGGATTGGACACATTCATAAAAATAAAGCTTTGGTAGTTAATGCAAAAGAAAAGCTAACGGGCACTTTAAGATGATTCACAGGTCGCTTCAATCTGAGGTCTAACTATGAGCGTATTAAAAACGTGGCGGAGAAAAACATTCAGAAGTTTAAAAAACACATCGACAATCATCGTGCGGACGCTCGACACAAGTCTCTCTAGTACAAACAACACATGTAGAAGAACAACAGAGTAATAATGCATGTTAAAATGTATTAAATATATTACAAAGCAACTTCACAGACATGTTTGAAGCAACCTTTTGTGTACAAGTTGTTGTTTGTTCGTGTGTTAAATGCACTTTTCCTGCAAGTGCCTCCAGGGTGTGATTGTACTCTGAGGTTAAAACTCAAGAAGAAACAAAGATGGAGTATAAAAGAATCAACAAGCTGAACGCAGTTGATTGGTTTTGATATGCTGTAGTTTCTTCCTCGGGTGTTTAGAGGTTAATATCCAGTGTTTTGATTGGCTTGACTTCTCCCTGTTGATCCTAGTGTCGTTAGAAAAAAGGCGTGTAAACAGTCGTCAATGCAGCTTCAGGAAAAGAAAAGGAAAAACCTAAAGAAATACAAATATCTCAAAATAAAAAAAGTCCTTTAAAAAAACAATCCCAGGCAGTGTGTGTTTCCCTTCTCGTCCGTCTGTAGCTATTACACCGTGTTTGTGCTTCAGCAGGTTTATTTTCACGTGTTTCTACATTAAAGTGTGTGTGTGTGTGTGTGTGTGTGTGTGTGTGTGTGTGTGTGTGTGTGTGTGTGTGTGTGTGTGTGTGTGTGTGTGTGTGTGTGTGTTTCTCTATACTTATAAAGACCGAGGATACTCAAAGGGATGTAGAATGAGGTACATTATTCAAAGATACTTAAAGGTTTTAGCTGAAGGTCACTACTATCACTATAAAGGAGGTCTTTATAAGTATATCATGTGTGTGTGTGTGTGTGTGTGTGTGTGTGTGTGTGTGTGTGTGTGTGTGTGTGTGTGTCTAATGTTGACTCAGCTGAAGGCCTCATCATCCGTATCTTCGATTAGCACCTTTGTGTCCTTTTTTGATCTAGAAGAGGAGGGAAAAGCATTATTATTATCCTTCATTTCAATGCATATTATTAGCATTTCTACAAACATGCTAAAGGGTACATTTGCTACCTTGAATGTGGATAAAGTTATATATATATATTCAAAAGTTTGCAGCTGCAGAATCTGTACTTCTTGCTGCATCCAGCTCTGTTATTTCAGATGATGGTTATGTGTTTGGATGCAGAAAGAAAAACACAGTACTTCAGCTTACATTTCTACTCTCTCTCTCTCGCTTAAAATCATAAGTCTTGTTCGCTTCATTTGCATTTCAAACTAGCTACGTTTTCATCTATATATAGCCGACAGTGTATGGTGTTTGTCAGTCTACAGCTCATAATAACTCTGAAGGGAGACAGAGGTCAACAGTGATGACATGAAAACAAGTTAACCTAGAAACTCAACTCCAGCTAACGAGCAAATGATAGCTATATTTAGTCAATGCTATATAAATGTAAAAGTTACAGAGATGTCAAAAGTACACACATCCTTTACTCAAGTAGAAGTACAGATACTCGTGTTTAAAAATACTCTGGTGAAAGTAGAAGTACTGACTAAACTTCTTTACTCAAGTCAAAGTAAAGAGGGCTTTGAAATGTACTTCAGTAAAAAGTACCCATAACTAGCAGCTGTTTTAAAGAGTACCTGACCTCCCTTTATATTAATAGAACAATAATGTCATTGTTAGCTAATGAATGTTTCCATGCTGAACAACGGCAACATGACAACGTTTTCATTGGTCCCTCTTCTTTAGAGAAGACCAGGAAATGATGGATACACGGATCGTGTTCAAATCAATAGGCACGCAATGACTCTAAATAATAATGATCACGCCACCACACACACATTCAAACTAAAGGAACCAGCCTGTTTGGGAAATGTGAGAAGTAGAAAGTACAGGTATTTGGGTTCAACATGTAAGAAGTAGAAAGTACAGGTATTTGGGTTCAACATGTAAGAAGTAGAAAGTACAGGTATTTGGGTTCAACATGTAAGAAGTAGAAAGTACAGGTATTTGTGTTCAACATGTAAGAAGTAGAAAGTACAGGTATTTGTGTTCAACATGTGAGAAGTAGAAAGTACAGGTATTTGTGTTCAACATGTAAGAAGTAGAAAGTACAGGTATTTGGGTTCAACATGTAAGAAGTAGAAAGTACAGGTATTTGGGTTCAACATGTAAGAAGTAGAAAGTACAGGTATTTGTGTTCAACATGTAAGAAGTAGAAAGTACAGGTATTTGTGTTCAACATGTGAGAAGTAGAAAGTACAGGTATTTGTGTTCAACATGTAAGAAGTAGAAAGTACAGGTATTTGTGTTCAACATGTAAGAAGTAGAAAGTACAGGTATTTGGGTTCAACATGTAAGAAGTAGAAAGTTCAGGTATTTGTGTTCAACATGTGAGAAGTAGAAAGTACAGGTATTTGAGTTCAAAATGTAAGAAGTAGAAAGTACAGGTATTTGTGTTCAAAATGTAAGAAGTAGAAAGTTCAGGTATTTGGGTTCAAAATGTAAGAAGTAGAAAGTTCAGGTATTTGGGTTCAAAATGTAAGAAGTAGAAAGTACAGGTATTTGGGTTCAACATGTAAGAAGTAGAAAGTACAGGTATTTGTGTTCAAAATGTAAGAAGTAGAAAGTACAGGTATTTGGGTTCAACATGTAAGAAGTAGAAAGTACAGGTATTTGTGTTCAAAATGTAAGAAGTAGAAAGTACAGGTATTTGGGTTCAACATGTAAGAAGCAGAAAGTACAGGTATTTGTGTTCAAAATGTAAGAAGCAGAAAGTACAGGTATTTGTGTTCAACATGTAAGAAGTAGAAAGTTCAGGTATTTGTGTTCAAAATGTAAGAAGTAGAAAGTTCAGGTATTTGTGTTCAAAATGTAAGAAGTAGAAAGTTCAGGTATTTGTGTTCAAAATGTAAGAAGTCAAAGTAAAAAGTCGTCAGAAGAATAAGTAGTGGAGTAAAGTACTGATACCAGAAACATGTGCTTAAGTACAGTAACGAAGTACTTGTACTCCACTATTTCCCACCTCTGAAAAGTTATAGTTAAGTATTATATGAAAAAGAGTCAACGTATAGTATGTTGAAAAAATGTAATGTAATGTTATACATGTATTTATAAATCTATCAACATGTTGACAATAATCTAAATAAAGTGTGCTCTGTCTTACAGTGATGTGCCCAGCAGGGGGCGCCGCAGCGACAGGCTGTACGACCTTTTCCACGTCTTCTTCCCGGAGCGGTTGCGGACGCCCTCCTCAGAGTCCATCATCTGCTCCAGCAGCGTCTGGTCGTCTGCGTTCAGAGGAGCCACCGAGATGTCCCTGACGGCCCTGAACTCACCGCAGTTATTCAGGTGTTCGTTCTCCAGCCGGAAGAAGTTCCACACGAAGCGCCTGCAGGGAGAGACGGTATGTTTTATAGATATATTATATTAGGTATTATATCAGGGCTGGGAGGGGCACTTTAAACATGTGTTCCATTACCTGACGATATCCAGATATATCCTGCACAACAACCAAGAACTCACCTGTATGATTTCTGAGGTTTGAGAGGCGCTGTGTGTGTGTGTGTGTGTGTGTGTGTGTGTGTGTGTGTGTGTGTGTGTGTGTGTGTGTGTGTGTGTGAACTTGGCTTACTGCAGCATTTCTAGTGTTTCAGGATGTGTTGTCATGAACACGTCTCATTAATGTTTGCCATAGATACACTGTATTGAGGTACTGAATAAAACAGTGTCCTTTAATGAAGCTGAATGGTCTCGTTGTCCAGTGTGATGACTTAAAGGAGTGTCTTCAGGTGTGTGTCTTCAGGTGTGTGTAAACAGGAAGTAGTGTGACCCCACCTGAAGACCTCCATGGGGGCGAGCACGGTGGAAACGATGTCTCCCACAGAGTGGATCTTGGTGGTCGTGGAGAGGGAGATCTGGATCGTCCAGGCGAAACGCAGAATCACATCTTCGATTATCGCACAGTAGTAGTACGCCTGGAGACACAGGGGAGGGAGTATTATAGTATGTAGAAAAGTTTAAATACATGTTAAAGGTCTCCTATTATACTTTTCTTAGGCATATATTATAGGTCTCAGATATATGTAAAACATGTCTCTGAAGTGCTTTGCTCAAAATACCAAACCGACCACCCATTCTAGCCTCAAACCCCTCTATTTCAGCCGTTACTAAAGTGCTGATTCTGGGTCTGTAGCTTTAAATGTAACCAGAGCTGCTGCTGGCCACGCCCCTTTTGGAGCGCCCGCATGCAAGCAGTGAGCTCTGTGAAGAGAGCAGTGTCTACCAGCAGATACTCAGCTAAATGCTGACGTGATTAAACGCCATCATGTTCCAAACCACATCAAGGATTCTCTCTGAAACAGCATGGAGCTCAAACTCTTTCTCTCTCTCAGGTTTACCACAAGGTGAGTTCCTTCTTATTTCCTGCTTCTTCACACACACTCTCTCCAGTACAGGTTAGCTCTGAGTGTTAGCGATGCTAATGTAAACACAGACCATATTACTTCCAGAACACGTCTCATTGTTTCTGACAGCAACGTTTCTGATTGGCCCGTTGGTGTAAAGCCCGCCCACATTTTAGTAATGTTGTCATGACGCAGCAAATCTGGATCAGCTCCGTTGTTCCCCCGTTTTTAGAGATGTGGGTACGGAGGAAAAGAGAGAGGGGTTTATTCTCTGACACCTTGTGAGTCTGCTGACACACCGGGGATACACCGGGGACACATAGTGATGTAGAGAAGACATCAGAAATGAAATAAATCATGCTTCAGTGTGTTGAAACTGTCCTCTCTGTACCTTGTGAGGGTAAACGATCTCCTCCCTCAGGAAGGTGTTCTCTCCGGCTCCGCGGTCGAACAGACCCCAGTCCATCCGCAGATCCCAGATCAGAGTGTAGAGCGAGCTGATGCTGGAGAACACGATCAGCAGGTAGAAGAACATGTCAGCGTCCGTGTGGCCCTGCTCTGAAACACACAGGAAACACACACGATACAGATTACACCCTCTGAGTCATTTAAATATAATCTCTTTTTACAGATTCTTCATCAAGAGATTTTCTTCGGTAACATTGATCTGTCTTTGGCTCTTCTCTGCTGTGACAATGTAAATGTCTCCTCTGTGGGACTAATGAAGATTCTGATCATTACTGCAGAAACACTTTGACCACTAGAGGGAGCCCTGCTGCCACCAATACACTGTGCTATGATTACATTACATTTTAATAGTATGTCAGAAAATATTTTAAAAAGGTAATGGTAAAGTATGTTACATTTTTTTTGTCAAAGTGATAGTATGGCCATTTTAGAAATGTCAAAGTATAATAATGTCATTTTTCTAATTTCTCTTATAACTTGAACTTGTAAGCCTTGAAATCCCTAAGACATGCATGTGTAGCATCAAAGGAAACTATTTCAACATACAAACTCTATCATGTTAGACATGTTATGTTGCAACACCACCTTTAACACCGGTTTGCCCAGAATGCAGAATTGCAAGACTCACACCCCTTATTAGCAATGCATGTGTGTGTCTGTCTGATTGTGTGTGTGTGTGTGTGTGTGTGTGTGTCTATCTGAGTGTCTACATGTGTGTGTGTCTGCATGTGTTTGTCTATCTGAGTGTCTACATGTGTGTGTGTGTCTGTTTGTGTGTGTCTGTCTGTGTGTATCTGTCTGTGTGTCACTGTTTGTTTGTGTGTGTGTGACGTATGTGTGTCTATCTGTGTGTGACGGGATGTGTGTGTCTTCAAGTGTGTGTTTGCAAGTGTGTGTCTGTCTGTGGGTGGGATTTGTATTGCAACATAACTCAGCACCATGAGGCCTTACAGACTCTCATACACATAGTGACTCTCTCACACACACACACACACACACACACACACACACACACACACACACACACACACACACACACACACACACACACACACACACACACACACACACACACACACACACACACACACACACACACACACACACTCTCCTCCAGACAGTCTCCAGTAGCAGTGTTAACATTTCTAACGTAGAGTTACTGCCTGCTTTATTCTCCTCTGAGCGATGGAGGGTCTCCGGCCGTAGATTAAACTCCGTCCTGAACAAAGACCCTTCTCACCGGAGAATAATCAACGATGAGATTCCCTTCAGCTCGGAGAGGGGGGGAGTAGTTCAGTATTTAACCCTTCAGTGTGTGTGAGGCTGATGTGACGGTTACCCACCAGACCACTAAAGGTTAAACACCGGGAGAGGGGCATTGATTGGACGCTCAGTGAGGGTTAACTGTGGTCACTTAGTCCTGTCACACACACACACACACACACACACACACACACACACACACACACACACACACACACACACACACACACACACACACACACACACACACACACACACACACACACACACACACACACACTCTCGTTGTCCACAGGCCCTTATGAGTATAAACACTAGCAACGGTAGTACATGTCACAGTGGAGGCAGACAAATACATCAGCAGAATAGGGGCCCTTTAATTATAAAAATGTTAAATATTGATAATCTAATATTGGTAATAAGAAGCGGGTTATACAGTTATCTGTCACCAGCTGGTGTTAATATGTAAATATATGAAGAGCAGCAGGAGTGTGTTTGGCTCAGCAGGTGAATTAGAGTTCAAGCTGAGAGCCGTGTGTGTGTGTGTGTGTGTGTGTGTGTGTGTGTGTGTGTGTGTGTGTGTGTGTGTGTGTGTGTGAGCATGAGCTGAAGTTATGAAGCTGTCAGCTCATCTCTATTCCAGCCGAGTCCAGCAGACATGTGTTCAGACCTGCGCCGGTAATTACTCTTCCTCCTCTTCCTCCTCTTCATCCTTCTCCTCACGTCTTATTTCCTCTCCTCTGTCCTCTTCCCTTTACCTCTTCGTCTCTCCACTTTTCCTTCTCTTCAAATCTTAATTAAATCCTTTCTCTCCTCTCATTCCCCTCTTCTTCCGTCTGTCTTTCTTTCCAGTTCCTCCGTCTCTCTCCCAGCCTCTCCTCTTCACGTTTCTAGTCTGTCCTCTCGTCTCTTTCCTCCTCTTCCTCTCCTCTGTCCTCTTCTTCCTCACCTCTTTGGTTTCCTCCATTAATGTCCCTCTTCATCCCCGCTGTCTTCCTCCCTCAGCTAGGTTCTGATGTACACACTGAGGCATGTCTCAGCTCAAACCCTCTGTGTCCCCTGCAGACAGCTGCCTGTCAGAGGCTTGCTCTCCCCACACTTCTACATCCTGGTCTCCTTCCTCCGCCTGTCCATGAAATAAATCCTGTGGGGTTGAATCAGCATTAAGGCTGTAACTCTGCATCTGAAACAAGCACTCAGTCTGAAGCCAGTGAACATAGAGCTGAGTCTGAATCGATCCTTCAATGTCAGGCCTTTGAATTTATATACAACTGAAAACCTGGTTAGTGAGGAATCAGCTCAGAAACACTGACTCCATCTCCTGCTCCTTACAACGCTCCGTCTGTGTTTCAATGTTCAATTTTGTTTTGTTTTTGTTCTTTAGGGTGACTCTCAACATCTGTCCAGGGACTACAGGTGAAAAGTAGCATTTACAGAAATGTTGATTAATGTGAACTGTCCCTGTTCAAATACATGAATAAACAAGGCCTCAGCAACAGGGTTTCTGATGTTCAACTAAACCAGGAAGTATCCTCCTCCGGTTACAGACAGGCCTCTGCTGGAGTACAGTTTAATAACTCCAGAAACAAGTTTATTCCTACAAAAAAGCATCATCATTTTACAGATTTAGATTTACTAACGGGAACACCCCGACTCCTTCCTCTGCAGAGACACACAGGATCAGTTTTTATGATTGAAGTATTCCTGGTTTCCTGGAGCAGTGTGTGTTCAGTTCCTGGCAGAAGTGAAGCAGTGAGGTGAGGTCACACACACACACACACACACACACACACACACACACACACACACACACACACACACACACACACACACACACACACACACCATGAGGGCTGTGAGCGGGCTATTAATGAAGGTGACACATCCAGACAGAGTGGGAGCGCTGCCAGAGACACACACACACACACACACACACACACACACACACACACACACACACACACACACACACACACACACACACACACACACACACACACACACACACACACACACACACACACACACACACACACACACCTAACAGCTGGGTGACACGACCCTGCAGAGGCTGCTGAGCATCATCTGTCCTGCTGAAGTTTACACTGCAGACGACAGTGAACCAAACCTGGTTTTATCGCCCCCTGCAGACACAGGGATCTTAGCCTCTGCAGACCATTTACATGCACTAAAACCTACAGTACTCACTACAGGAGACGGAAAACCCCCCAAATCATAACAGGGCCTCTTTAAAAAAAAAGACAGTAGTCCCAAGTAGTATTTGTGTTGCAGTGTGAACAGCGTGAGGTTCAATACAAAAAACATGGCAAAATGTCTTGGAGATAAGCCCCGCCTCCTCTCCAGCTCCAAGTAAACACAAATGATGCCACGCTAAAACTCGAGCGAGTAACTCATCAAATCTTCACTTCCTGTCCGCTGTGATGCCTCTTAAGACTACAGTAGAGGGTAATGTCATACTTCTATTGCATTGGAGGCCGTCAAATCATCATTTACTCATTTGGATTGAAGATTTGTCTTTATCTAAGGCTAAAAGAATTCACCAGATCTTACATTTCTGCAGCAGAAACATCAAATATGTGCACAGTGGGATATTTCCTCTCCTCTACTCCTCAGTTAACCAGCGACAGGTCCATTATGGTGCAGGATGAAAGACAGCTTCTTACAGAATAAGACATGAAGAGAGGCCATTAGTCTGCCGGCCGGAGGAGGAAGGAGGAAATGGTTTAATGGACGCCTCTCCTACCTTCAGAAACCTCTGTCTGTCTGGGTCTCTTTCCTGCTTCATTTAATACCAGACCACTGGCGGTCAGAAGAGGAAACATTGATTTAAACGTGTATCGGAAAGGAATAAAGTCAAGCTGGGAAATAACATTTAGCGGTTTAAAGGTTGAAGATGAATATCGAGCATTTTGCTGCAAAATAAATATACAATCTGGCGCGTGAGGAGAAGAGCTTTCAAACGGATACATATCTGAATCACTGCCGCTGTCTTTGAACATGAATCCCTTTGTGATATGGGAAATGAATCAGAATAATTACAGGCTAATTGAGAAGCCGTCACAGAGAGAGAGAGAGAGAGAGAGAGAGAGAGAGAGAGAGAGAGAGAGAGAGAGAGAGAGAGAGAGAGAGAGAGAGAGAGAGAGAGAGAGAGAGAGAGAGAGAGAGAGACTGGAATGGTAACCACTCTGTGTTTTTGCACTTCTTAAACGGGAGAATGTCTCTTTCTTCCTCTCTGTTCTTTTCCCCCTCCGTCTCTGCTTCACACATTGAGTTGTGAGAGCAGAGCCTTGTTTTTATCCGAGTCGCTGTTTGACAAACCTTTCCCCCCCGTTTCCATTATAAAGCTGCAGGCTGACAGGAAACACCAAGGCCAACTTTCAGAGTTTGCTCTGAAGGTCACCTCTGAGCACACACGGCTCAATTCAAAGCCTCCAAACGGCTACACACACACACACACACACACACACACACACACACACACACACACACACACACACACACACACACACACACACACACACAGAGACACAAACACACACACACACACACACACACACACACACACCTTTTTTGATGTCTTAAGTATTGTTTGTTGCAATGTTTTGGGGGCCTGGTACTTAAAATGTGCACTGCCAATTCTATGCCGTAGCTGTTGTACGTAAGAGAATAATAATAATTAACATAAATAATCATAATTATTAGAAAAATAACAATAATAATTATAATAATAATAATTTACCTAGGGGGGTACATGACACATAAAACTGTTTTCACACACACACACACACACACACACACACACACACACACACACACACACACACACACACACACACACACACACACACACACACACACTCGTTGTTTGTAAATGTGGGTGCTATTCCTTATTCTTCCCATTTCTCAACATCAACTTCTTATTAACTTAAAAAAAATACATGTATACATTATATATTTTGAGTTCCTTGTGTCCTACCTCTGTGCGTGGCGTACAGCGCGGCGAAGGTGACGACGAAGAAGGTGGTGGAATATTTCCCAGCGTTCACCAGGTGGGGGAACGCCCTCTTTGTGTCTCGGTAGCGCCTCAAACACTGGACGAAGCGGAACCAGGCGGGCAGGCACTGGATGACGGCGCGCAGCCCGTACGAGTAGCTGTGGCACACGTGACCTGCAGAGTCTGAAGAGAGGTAGAGAGGTTAGGGTATTATGGTATTTAGAGGATTTAGAAATATACAAAACAGAAACAATTATTAACAGTAGAGAAAGAGGCAGCAAACACACTCGGCCTATTCGAACCCTCCACTTAAATAATTGCAATTTTATAGAAACCACAAGATCAATATGCAAACAATAGCTTACATTCAATAGTGATGGAGAACTTTAATGCACTAAAAACATAACAAAGACAGGAAATGTCAATATGAAAAGTGTTTTAGTGTGATTATATAGAAAGACAGTTATTAAGGGTGTTTGCAAAAATCTAAAACACACAAAGATAACAGAAAACAAATGACAGAGAAAGAAAAGAGGCAGCAAACACACTGGGCCTACTTGAAGCCTCAACCTTAATCATGTTAAAACTCACAATTTTATAGAAAACACAACATGAAAAGTCTATTAGTTTTTGTGTTTATACAGAAAAGCAGTTATAAGATACGATAAGATACGATAAGATGTACTTTATTGATCCCAATTTGGGATATTTTGTTAAAAACAGCAGATACATCATATTTCAGGCCTTTTTTGTGATTGGTCAACCAGCTTAGCGATGTCCCGCCCCTTAAGCCTATCATGTACAATGTGTTTGAGCGCTAGCCAATAGGAGCGTGAGTGTTCCATAGTGATGTCACCATGTTCTGGAAGTAAATATAGGAGTCCAATGGAGGCGTTTCAGGCCATTGACATGCACTAAAAACCTATATAACTCACTAGAGGAGAGGGAAAAACCCAATTAAGAAAAACACGGTCTTTTTTAAACTCATAAATGATAGGAATCTGAAACATCTGAAATAAAGGGGCAGATGATATTTAGGACTCCGAGCAGTAGGGAACGTTTTAACCCAAACGATATGACAGTATTAAAGATCGTGGATTAATTGGATTGTAATAAAGAGTAAAGAGACCACCTGTACGACATCTCCGTCTGATACCATCCATTCATTTATTTATTTATCTCAAATAGTTTCCTCCTCCTCTCTCCATTCTCTTCATTATGAGAAGCACACATTGACCTCTGAGCGGCCAAACACAAACGATCCATTAGCTGCGTGTTAATTGGCTGCTGGAGGCCGAGGTGTCGCTGTGGATGAACAGCAATTAAAAGCTCGTTCACATTTCATCCGCTGACAGGACACGTCCACTTTCTGGCTCGCTGTCAACTTATTCTGACAGGTTTATAACCAGGAGGTCCATGACTTTCTCTCCTGCTGTAATGGAGGCATCAGGTAGAGAACACACTGTTATTCAATATATATTAGTGCATTAAGCAGCTTTTTAAGAGTGATATTTAAGCACTTTAAAAGGTACCTTAATGAAAAACGTTGAGACTCTCAAAGCCTTTTCCTTAATACAGTACATATTGATCAAAGTGTATTATTATGATTGTTTTAACCGGTTTTCACTTGACTTTGAGTTCTGATCATGATTATTTAATGCTTAGCTCACTTAGCTTCTCTTAAATGTTTAATGAAATGCATTTATTATTGTGGTTTGGCCATTAACATCAGTTTGCTTTCAGCGTAGGGCAATTTGGATTTAGGACTTTTTAATGTCATTTATTTGAAGAGCAAGACATTTGAAAGATTGATTTAAAGAGGTCCTAAAGGGGGTTTCCCCTTCCTGTGTGTGTCCTATAGTTTTTTGTGAATGTAAAATGGTCTGCGTTACTTTGTACGTGATAGGCTAAGGGGCGGGACATCTCTAAGCGGTTGACCAATCACAACAGAGCCGGTAGAGACACTACATACTGATATACACCTGAGCATCAGCAGGAGAGGACTCTTTAAAGTAGAGACACTACATACTGATATACACCTGAACATCAGCAGGAGAGGACTCTTTAAAGTAGAGACACTACATACTGATATACACCTGCACATCAGCAGGAGAGGACTCTTTAAAGTAGAGACACGACATACTGATATACACCTGAACATCAGCAGGAGAGGACTCTTTAAAGTAGAGACACTACATACTGATATACACCTGAACATCAGCAGGAGAGGACTCTTTAAAGTAGAGACACTACATACTGATATACACCTGAACATCAGCAGGAGAGGACTCTTTAAAGTAGAGACACTACATACTGATATACACCTGAACATCAGCAGGAGAGGACTCTTTAAAGTAGAGACACTACATACTGATATACACCTGAACATCAGCAGGAGAGGACTCTTTAAAGTAGAGACACTACATACTGATATACACCTGAACATCAGCAGGAGAGGACTCTTTAAAGTAGAAACACTACATACTGATATACACCTGAACATCAGCAGGAGAGGACTCTTTAAAGTAGAGACACTACATACTGATATACACCTGAACATCAGCAGGAGAGGACTCTTTAAGTAGAGACACTACATACTGATATACACCTGAACATCAGCAGGAGAGGACTCTTTAAAGTAGAGACACTACATACTGATATACACCTGAACATCAGCAGGAGAGGACTCTTTAAAGTAGAGACACTACATACTGATATACACCTGAACATCAGCAGGAGAGGACTCTTTAAAGTAGAGACACTACATACTGATATACACCTGAACATCAGCAGGAGAGGACTCTTTAAAGTAGAGACACTACATACTGATATACACCTGAACATCAGCAGGAGAGGACTCTTTAAACGTATAAAGAAATATAAAAAACAAAGTGTGCTTCAGAATCCTTCGTAACTGGGCAGAATTGACCTCTCTATGTTCCATCTGTTCACAGACAGAGGAGTTGAAAGTCTCACCCTGGTCGCGGGGCAGCAGCCCTCTGCTGTTGCTCCACTGCAGCTCGAAGATGTAGTAGCAGACGAGATACTCCAGGTCCATCAGGACGAACACCAGAGAGTTCAGCTGGTCGGCCAGCCAGAAGTCTGCAAACTCCACCCGGTGGAACGGAGCCGTGACCACACGGAACTGAAGAGGAGGGAGAGAGTCACGTCAGTCAAAGTCAACTGTATTGTCAATCTCAAAATATGTTTGTACACACAGAAGGATCGAAATACTGTTTCCCACAGTCCCGAGGTATAAAAAACTCACACATTAAAATGCAAGAGCACTCAATAATTTACAAAAAAAACACAAAATGACCGTTTACTTCAGTAAGCAGGATATATATAAAAAAGGATGATAGCAGCGTAAAAGTGACTGGTGCTGGATGGGGAACATATTTATCGTTATTTATAATAACATTTTGTCACGGTGTTAGGTTTTGTGTTTATAGTTTCCTGTTTTATTTAAAGTGGACCAATCATGCTATATTTGAATAATATATTGTAGGACCATACCTATATAAGGCATATTTATACGTTTTCTTTTTCAAAATACCAAACAGATCATGCATTTTAGCCATGCCTCATTTCGCTCTATTTTGCTCTCCTCCACCCTGTCTTTGCATGCGCTGCAGCTGACCACGCCCCCCTGCAAAGGAGGGGGCCGAGTTACGAGCGTCGTGTTACCATGCTGTTACCATGCCACGGCAACCTCTCATTCCCCTGATAGGTGGAGAGTTGCCCATATAGGCGGAGCTCCTCCGTCCTGACGTCAGAGAAATGTTCAAATCTGGATCAGTTTTTATCAGATCCGTTGCAGCCCCTTTTTTAGAGATTTGGGTATGGAGGAAAATAGAGAGGGTTGTGTTTTCTGACACTTGGTGAGTTCCCTGGAACACCGGGGACACATATTCATGTATAAAAGACGTACAAAAGTGCATTTTGCATGATAGGTCCCCTTTAACATGTATTTTCTCCTGGTTTCTTACGTCCTGTGTTTTCCCTCCTGTGTGACGGTGTGATTGTGTTTCACCTCCCCTCCCCAAGGTGTGTCTTCATTACCCTTGTGTGTATTTAGTCTTGCTTTCACCAGAGTTTCTTTGTCTGTCCTGTCTGTGATCCTATCTCGTGCTCTCCGGTTTGTACCTGTTTAGTTTCTCAGTTACCAACTTTTACTTCTAATAAAGCTCGTCTTTTGTTTATATTCGTTTATCTGCCTCCCCTGTTTCTGTACGTCTGGGTCCTGCATCCTTAGCCTCCAACGCACACTTTACTATAATTAGCTTTTCCCTGTTCCCTCTCACAACGTCATATTTGACTGCTTTCTGTTCTCATGTTTCTTTGTATTTTCTCTTCATTCATGTGTTTTTTGTCATTTGTGTATTTATTTGTGTTTAAGGCTTGTTTAAAATGTATTTGTAAAGAAACTATTGTTATCAAGTGTTTAAATCATACATCCTTCCAACACTTGAACCTAATTAGAAACTATGAATTAGTGTGCAGTTAATCAGTAAAGGAGGGTAAGGCGTGCAACAACCTCCTTTAATGATCAGTAACACATGAGAGGTCTGAGCCTCCTGCAGGACGCCCCGATAGTGTGTGTGTGTCTATGTGTGTGTGTCTATGTGTGTGTGTCTATGTGTGTGTGTCTATGTGTGTGTGTCTATGTGTGTGTCTATGTGTGTGTGTCTATGTGTGTGTCTATGTGTGTGTGTCTATGAGTGTGTGTCTATGTGTGTGTCTCTATGTGTGTGTGTCTATGTGTGTGTCTATGTGTGTGTGTCTATGTGTGTGTGTCTATGTGTGTGTCTCTATGTGTGTGTGTCTATGTGTGTGTCTATGTGTGTGTGTCTATGTGTGTGTCTATGTGTGTGTGTCTATGTGTGTGTCTCTATGTGTGTGTGTCTATGTGTGTGTGTCTATGAGTGTGTGTCTATGTGTGTGTCTCTATGAGTGTGTGTCTATGTGTGTGTCTCTATGAGTGTGTGTCTATGTGTGTGTCTCTATGTGTGTGTGTCTATGTGTGTGTCTATGTGTGTGTGTCTATGTGTGTGTCTCTATGTGTGTGTGTATGTGTGTGTCTCTACGTGTGTGTCTACGTGTGTCTCTGCGTGTGTGTCTATGTGTGTCTACGTGTGTGTCTACGTGTGTCTCTACGTGTGTCTCTACGTGTGTGTCTACGTGTGTCTCTGCGTGTGTCTCTATGTGTGTGTCTATGTGTGTCTACGTGTGTGTCTACGTGTGTCTCTGCGTGTGTGTCTATGTGTGTCTACGTGTGTGTCTACGTGTGTCTCTACGTGTGTCTCTACGTGTGTGTCTACGTGTGTCTCTACGTGTGTGTCTATGTGTGTCTCTACGTGTGTGTCTACGTGTGTGTCTACGTGTGTCTCTATGTGTGTGTCTCTACGTGTGTGTCTATGTGTGTCTCTACGTGTGTGTCTATGTGTGTCTCTACGTGTGTCTCTATGTGTGTGTCTCTACACAAACACAGGGTGTGTATCGTGCTCTCATGTTATTTGGGATTTGACTTTTGGCAGCAGCTCCGTTATTGACCGAGCTTTGTAAAATGATCTGTTTCCATTCCCCCCCTCAGGCCACATGTGACATTCAGGAGCCACTGCACGCCTCTCACCATTCAAACACTTCTGGAAATGTCAGAGAAAATGGATATTTTTTCTCTTATACATATCCACCCATTACCCATCTCTCTCCACCTGTCAATCAGAGGCTGTATTGATCTCTTCTATACTCCATCTGTGTCTCAAGGCTAAGTCCTCTGCAGAGCTGGAGGGGTTTCATTCCTTCAGCAAACAGCAGTAATCTGCAGTTTGTCCTATAAAGAAATCTCTGTCCTCTGTCTGGTGTTTATGATCAGAAGAAATAATCACGCCTGGCATGAAAGCATTTTAAAGCACCGCGAGAAACAACAACAGATTGTTTCATCGGATAATGAACATTGCTTCTAAAGTGTCGTAATGAAAGGCATATTTACATTGTGACAGCGGCACAATATGACAACAAGGTAAGTCATCAATTGCAATAGGAGACACATATAACCCTTAATTGTTTTCCGAGGCCTCAGTGATGAGATTTCAATGTCCTGTACCCTTTGAACTTTGTCAATAGAAATTATTCTTAGTGCCTATTTTGGTATTTATTTCTTTAAGTGTGTTCAAATGTTAATATTCCGCGAATCTGTTCAACCAACGCTTAAAGATTCCGAAAGCCAATAACAATAAATAATTGTAATAACAATGTGGTATTGAATAGATAGATATATACGATAAGATTCAATAAGATACGATCTGACACGATACGATATGAAGCAACACCGTACGATCCGATACCATATGATAGAATACGATATGATATGATACGAAATGATACGATGCATTACGATATGTTCTGAAATGTTACAATATGATACGATATGAGACCAGAAGAGGCGATACACAACCGTTTGATACGTTACGTTACGATATGATGTGATACGATTGATATAATATGATCTGATACGATACAATCTGGTACTACGACACAAAACGATACGATACTGTACGATACTATCTGGTACAATACGACATCGAACAATACGATACTATACTATCTGATACCATACAATGCGATATGACACAATTCGATACAAAATGATCTGATACGATACGGTCTGATTCAATGCTATACAATCTGATCATAACACAACATCAAAATAACTGAAGGCAACATGTTCAAGACCCCCTCTAACGTCCATTTGATCTGGGATTGAACCCTGTATTTATTCTCAGATTGATCAGTAGGACAGGATACGACTCCTTTAGGGATTGTGTACGACGGCCTTGAAAAAGAAACAGCTCCTATCAGCTTTTACGATTACTGAGAGCCAATAAAAACTGAGTATGATTATGAAGCCGCATGAGTGGAGGAGGGCTGAGGGAGCGATATTCTGAGGAGGATGGGGAGTTGTAAAGGGAAGGACAAGAATATGAGGAGGGGGAGGAAGAAGAAGAGGAGGAGGAGGAGGAGGAAGAGGAGGAGGAAGAGGAGCTCAGGGCATCAGCATACTGATAGATCTGTGCCTGTAATGATTGCACAGTCACAACCCTCCACCTCCCCTGGGACCAGGCTGCTTTCTATTATCTCTCAACCCTCTGCCCTCTGTCTCACTACACCCCCCCCTACACACACACACACACACACACACACACACACACACACACACACACACACACACACACACACACACACACACACACACACACACACCCTGCAGCTCGGCTTAGACAAAGAACAGTCACACAGGAGGGTTTTGTAAACATGAGGCTTGAGATACATATCTGAATTTTACATGCGTTCATTGTGTCTGATAAAGATACAAACACAAACACATGCACACGCACACGCACACAAACACACACACACACACACACACACACACACACACACACACAATATTCAAATTGTGTCAGCAGCACAGTGCAGCAGCTCGAAAACAAGATAACAGGACACATGTATCTCCAGTAATTGTTTTCTGGGGCCTCAGTGACCAGTTTTAATATCTTTTAATCTAACATACTAATTAAACTCTGTGACAGAAATTATCTTTTTTTAGTTTTTTAATGCTTGTTTTGTTTTAGGAGTATCTTTAAATGCTTCATATCCCTAACAATTAATATAGAAGATAGAATGGGAGGGATGAACCCCTCTCTAATGGTCACACATGCAGAGCACACAGCACACACAGTGACATGTGTTCTCTGCTTTTAACCCGTCCTAGTACAAGGAGTCTAGTACTAGGAGCAGTGGGCAGCTATTGTACAGCGCCCGGGGAGCAATGGGAGTGGGGGGGGGGTGAGGGGGGTGTCTGGTGCCTTGCTCAAGGGCACCACGGCAGGGCAGGAGGTGAACTGGGACCTCTCCAAGTAGCAGTCCACACTCCATATTTAGGTCTGGTCGGGGACTTGAACCGGTGACCCTACAGCTTCCAGTCCAAGCCCCTACTGACTGAGCCACTGCTGGACATCGTAATAGATACAAGGATTCATCACATTTCACAAAATAAACACAGAACATAATGATCTAAGATATTTCTAAATCTTAAGACATGAACATAATATTTCTTAACATTTAAAAGTTATCTCTATATTTTAAGATGATGATGACTTTCTAATCTATTGTATGAGTTTCTGCAAAACGCCCTAATACAGTTTTGTGTTATGGACAAGAGAATTGATGCTGATCATGTTTATTTTTACACTGTATACCCTTTTTTTGAAATTGTATAGTCGTATCATAATTGGTGAAGTTTTCTGTCAGTTATTTGAGCGTTAAAAAGGTGGAAATATGACTTGGTTAAAGGTCCCATGTCATGGCAATTTCTACTGATCATAATTCCATTGTTGAGGTCTACTAACATACATTTACATTGTGCAATTTTCCAAACTCACAGCATCTCTGTATAGTATGTGTATTCACTCTCTGTCCTAAACGGCTTGTTGGAGCTCCTGCCCCCCCTCCTCCCTGTGAGCCCAGTGGCCGTCTGCGAGACAGAGAGACACCGCGGAACTCTGCCTGGGCACACACACACACCCGCAGTCTGGCTGGGAGTTTGTGTGTGTGCCCAGGCTGAGTTCCGCGGTGTCTCGCCGACCCCACACCAGTGAGCCAGCTCACAGTGTCCCGCTCCTCGCAGCAGCGAGCCTCGCAATGTCCCGCTGAGTGTGTGTGTGTGAGGAAGTCCGCGGATTGGGCCAAACCTAACGGATTGATCCATTTGGACCAATCTGCGGAGCCGTTACGTTACGTCACTATAGTCGAAATACGTCACTATACCCAAGAAGTAAACAATGGAAAAAGAGAAATGTCCAACGAGGCGTTCTGGAGCAGCATAGACAGGTATTTTCTGTGTTAGAGTTTTACTCCCTACAGAGTGTACTTTGAGGGTTTGTGACTCTGCAGAAAAACCTTCATAACACACAAGGGGACGGGTAATAACCAGAAAAGCATGACATGGGACCTTTAAGGTAAATTATCTGATTAAAAAGTGGGGTTACTTTTGTTTGAGTAATTGTGCTGCAATTCAAATTTACTCCGTGTTATTACCATATGCAAATCTCCAGCCCACACACTGATCTGTTATCTCACATTGTCTCATCTTGTTTGCATTTATTTTGGTATGGCAGTCCTATAAAAAGCCTGTTTACATCTGACTCAGCAATTCCCTTTGTGTATCCATTAACCCTGACTGTTTGGCTCAGCTTTAATTAAATCCTTCCTTTTACCACGGCCATATAATTGAATTACGCTGCAGTAAATAATCGTGCTACTGACCAATAGCTTGAGGAGCCAGAAGCGAGACTTGTAGTATCCGGTCTTGAAGGGGTTGATGAGGAAGAGCAGCATGAAGCCGTAGAGGATGAGCGGGTTGATCTGCATGGGGAGGTAAGTGTAGTCCGAGTAGAGGCAGGAGAGGATGCTGAGGCACCACAACACTCCCAGGAAACCCGCAATCTGCACAGAAACAACACAAAGAGGTATTAGGAGAAAGCACTTTTTGATTGAAGACACATAGAAAATACATTTGGTACATTGAGGTTCAAAGCTCAAAGGTACTAGTGTTCAGCTTAGTCTCTACTATTGTACATCAATTGATCATCCATACAAGAAGAAAGCACTTTTGACAAATAATAAAAATAATAATAATACATGACACTTATATAGCGCTTTTCTAAAAACTCACAGACGCTTATCATCACAATTAACAAGGCAATCTGAATAATTATATGCAAACCATGTTGTGATTTGTTATTCCAGAGTATAAATCAAACCCTGTGGACATTAGGTATGTTCAGCTGAATGGAATAAAATCTGCATATTTCAGAAAATGCATGATCACTCATTTTTAACTAAAAAAACAAAGCTGTGTTTCTTTATGTATCCCATAAGACTGTTAAACACCTGAACCTTTGAAAGAACATCCATAACACTAATCTGTTTGTAACTTAATACATCAATATTCCAATTACTTGTATATAGACTATTCTGCACTATTTCTACTATATTATATTTTATTTTATTTACTTGCACTATTTTATCTGTGTTATTGTGTTGCTCTGTTGGAGGAGTCTGTGACCTCAGATGTTCATTGACATATCTACATCGTAGCTAATGCACACATGACAATAAAAGCCTTGAATCTTGAATTTCAGAGTAAAAAACGTTCCAGTCCTGACCTCGAACAGGTGTTGGTGTGAGAGGTTGTTTCGGGGGTTGATCTCGAAGATGAGCACGTGGTTGACTCCGGCCTGCCGCCATCCGTAAGTGTTGATGCCCAACAGGAAGAGGAACTGGATCAACAGGAAGCCGCCGCGGTAGATACGCACCAGAGGCCAAACGTTCTCAAAGCGGACGAACACAGCACCTGAAAAAACACAGAGGATGCTTTCATTTGATATATCTCAAACCCTGAAAAGAGTCAGCATTTCATTACTTCCTGTTCCCTCTTCAATGTGTATTTGGTTGTTATCCTGAAATAAGGTGTGTGGTTAACACAAGCTGAAGAGATTTTTATTCTACAACTTGAAATACGTCAGTAAATACCACACTGGTGAATTAAAAAACGTTGGTTGCTAACAAGTGTCTGAATGAGCTTAGCGGTGGTGACGTGAAGTCATGTGACCATGCTGTAGTTCCTTTATAGCCCAACATTAGCCTCCTTTAGCTTAGAGGTGGTGACGTGAAGTCATGTGACCATGCTGTAGTTCCTTTATAGCCCAACATTAGCCTCCTTTAGCTTAGCGGTGGTGACGTGAAGTCATGTGACCGGGCTGTAGTTCCTTTATAGCCCAACATTAGCCACCTTTAGCTTAGCGGTGGAGACGTGAAGTCATGTGACCGTGCTGTAGTTCCTTTATAGCCCAACATTAGCCACCTTTAGCTTAGCGGTGGAGACGTGAAGTCATGTGACCGTGCTGTAGTTCCTTTATAGCCCAACATTAGCCACCTCTAGCTTAGCGGTGGAGATGTGAAGTCATGTGACCGTGCTGTAGTTCCTTTATAGCCCAACATTAGCCACCTTTAGCTTAGCGGTGGAGACGTGAAGTCATGTGACCGTGCTGTAGTTCCTTTATAGCCCAACATTAGCCACCTTTAGCTTAGCGGTGGAGACGTGAAGTCATGTGACCGTGCTGTAGTTCCTTTATAGCCCAACATTAGCCACCTCTAGCTTAGCGGTGGTGACGTGAAGTCATGTGACCGTGCTGTAGTTCCTTTATAGCCCAACATTAGCCTCCTTTAGCTTAGCGGTGGTGACGTGAAGTCATGTGACCGTGCTGTAGTTCCTTTATAGCCCAACATTAGCCTCCTTTAGCTTAGCGGTGGAGACGTGAAGTCATGTGACCGTGCTGTAGTTCCTTTATAACCCAACATTAGCCGCCTTTAGCTTAGCGGTGGTGACGTGAAGTCATGTGACCGTGCTGTAGTTCCTTTATAGCCTAACGTTAGCTTTTTACTTCAGAAATCATAAAGTGGTGTTAACATGTGGAGCGTATCCTGCTGAACTAAACGTGTAAATATCATAAACGTTTGTTTGCCACAGAGATTATTTTCTGCAATAATCCCAAATCACATGGAGAAATCCCATTGTCTTTTTATAGAGAGTCATGCTGCCTTCAGGGTCGGCCTAAATAAATACGTCACGGCAGCACAGGATTTCCTGCTTTTAAAAAAATCTAACATTAAAAAAATTAATGAATGTCAACGAGATTTTTGCTCACCAGAGAGAATGAAGGCGATGGCGAGGATGATGAAGAAGCCGCAGTAAAGTCCAACACGAAAGGTCGTCCAGGCCAGAGCGGGCTGCAGCAGGAAGAGAGCAAACACAGACATTAATAATGGAAAAGACATCAAATAATAACACATAATGTATTGTATTTTACATATTAACACATTATTATGCAACTACAACTCTTCATCAAACACATCTCCATATAGAGCTGCTTTTATCTGCTTGATCATATGTATATTATACACACGCCTGCAGGGTGGACGTAGAGATCAATAGTCACAAAGCACATATATTTCAAAGCTGACAGTAATTAATGCATTAATAACAGTAGATATTACATATGGAGGTAAAGTGCCACTAGCTTCTGAAAGATATCCTGTTCAACATTAAGAAGGCACTTATAAAATCAATGAAAGCCTCTTATGGTTTCTCCTTCTTTCCATCTCCATCCCTCTCAAAACAAACCTCTCACCTTCTGTTTTCAACCTGTACTCACCAGCAGCGTCTTAAAAACAACGATACAGTGAGACTCAGATATCAACGGTGGGATATTCAGAGACATGGAGAGCATACTGAGGTCTTTTATAACTATCCAGTAACAGATGGAGACTAATAATGTCATGATGAGAGTGACAAATATGACACACTATTGCTTCAGTTACCTAATAGATGAGAGTAACACACTTTTGGGGGAAAACATTCGCTGTGATTTGAATGGCGGTAAATACAGATTCTGAAGTTTTCAACAATCACATCAAAAAATTAAGAAAATTATGATGGTCAGACAGACAAACTATTAGAAAATGTCCCTGGAGATCAATGATCTGCGTCGATTTTTTGTTTAATTTAAATAAATAGGGAAATTATGTCAGGCACTGAAACTGAGATTTCTGAGTTTCTTTTACTGTCCTTTTTTCTGTAGAGGAAGCAAAGAAACCGTAACTCTGGATGTATTTGTTATTTGAGGTGCAATATATGACTCAGCAGCTTTAAGACATGAGGACACTATTATTTTCAGCTTCGCTCTGATGCAGTATTGTCCCCCGAAAAGTTGGCGGGCCGTAAATTCGCCAGGAAGTGTCATATGTGTTCCCTATTGATTCAAATTAACACAGATGATGGATACCTAGTGACATTTTTTAACAGTTCGCATGTATGACCATCACAATTGGGCTTCTTGTAGATAAAAAAAAGCGCGTTTTTCTTAATTCTTTTATGTGATTGCTGAAAACTTCTGAATCTGAAGTGTGTTTTCCCCCAAAAGTTGGGCGGGGGCCGTAATTTCTCCAGGAAGTGACGCATGTGTTACTCTCATCTATTGCAGCATCCCTGCCTACTTGTAAATGAACCAAATGACACACAGACAGATGGCGGATAGTACTTCCTGTTGTGTATCAGCTGAACTGACCTGAGCCGCCCCCAGAGGAGGAACTCTGAGCCTCTTCATGGCCTTCTGACGGTCGCCTCCCTCCAGCTCTGTGGTCACGATAGTCTGCAAACACACACAACAACATATCATGAGTTTATCTGTGTTTAATAGTGTGTGTGTGTGTGTGTGTGTGTGTGTGTGTGTGTGTGTGTGTGTGTGTGTGTGTGTGTGTGTGTGTGTGTGTGTGTGTGTGTGTGTGTGTGTGTGTGTGTGTGTGTGTGCACCTCTGTCTCTGAGATGAGCTGAGTGATCTTCTTGCAGGTGTAGAAAGGCGCCACCTCCACATGAGCCACGCGCCAGTCGGCCCCGCGGGGGGTGTCCAGGATCTTATCGTGCTTCTTCAGGATCTTACGGAAACCCGTGAAGTTCAGATTCTGTGGACGACAACGAGGATTCAACAGTTAGAAACTCACTCAGAGATAGGAGGGTTTATTTCATTTCAGACCAGGGGGGAACAATACACTTACTAAAAGAAGCCCTGTATGCTTTTTAGGGATTTTTGGTTTCCTGTATTGTGTTTTATAGGTTTTTGTGCAAGTAAAATCTCTGTGTTCCCTCCAGATTGAGGACTCTTTAAAGTCGAGACTACATACTGATATACACCTGAACATCAGCAGGAGAGGACTCTTTAAAGTAGAGACACTACATACTGATATACACCTGAACATCAGCAGGAGAGGACTCTTTAAAGTAGAGACACTACATACTGATATACACCTGAACATCAGCAGGAGAGGACTCTTTAAAGTAGAGACACTACATACTGATATACACCTGAACATCAGCATGAGAGGACTCTTTAAAGTAGAGACACTACATACTGATATACACCTGAACATCAGCAGGAAAGGACTCTTTAAAGTCGAGACTACATACTGATATACACCTGAACATCAGCAGGAGAGGACTCTTTAAAGTAGAGACACTACATACTGATATACACCTGAACATCAGCAGGAGAGGACTCTTTAAAGTAGAGACACTACATACTGATATACACCTGAACATCAGCAGGAGAGGACTCTTTAAAGTAGAGACACTACATACTGATATACACCTGAACATCAGCAGGAGAGGACTCTTTAAAGTCGAGACTACATACTGATATACACCTGAACATCAGCAGGAGAGGACTCTTTAAAGTAGAGACACTACATACTGATATACACCTGAACATCAGCAGGAGAGGACTCTTTAAAGTAGAGACACTACATACTGATATACACCTGAACATCAGCAGGAGAGGACTCTTTAAAGTAGAGACACTACATACTGATATACACCTGAACATCAGCATGAGAGGACTCTTTAAAGTAGAGACACTACATACTGATATACACCTGAACATCAGCAGGAAAGGACTCTTTAAAGTCGAGACTACATACTGATATACACCTGAACATCAGCATGAGAGGACTCTTTAAAGTAGAGACACTACATACTGATATACACCTGAACATCAGCAGGAGAGGACTCTTTAAAGTAGAGACACTACATACTGATATACACCTGAACATCAGCAGGAGAGGACTCTTTAAAGTAGAGACACTACATACTGATATACACCTGAACATCAGCAGGAGAGGACTCTTTAAAGTAGAGACACTACATACTGATATACACCTGAACATCAGCAGGAGAGGACTCTTTAAAGTAGAGACACTACATACTGATATACACCTGAACATCAGCAGGAGAGGACTCTTTAAAGTAGAGACACTACATACTGATATACACCTGAACATCAGCAGGAGAGGACTCTTTAAAGTAGAGACACTACATACTGATATACACCTGAACATCAGCAGGAGAGGACTCTTTAAACACTACATACGGATATGGCCCAGAATAGGGCCCCTTTAAACCACTAAAACCCACATGTATATATCTGGACATATCAGTGTTTGTTCCTCTAAAGGAGGTGTTATCGTCCTGGTACCTGGTAGTTCTGCAGCAGGATGAGGCTGAGGTAGAACTCGCTGAATGCCAGCTTCAGGTCCTTGATGTTGTGGTGTTTGCAGCGCTCCTCCTGGGACAGGTGGAACATGGTCTTACGTCTCCGCAGGCCGGGCGGAGCGTTGCTCTCGCGCTGAGCGTCCAGAGACGACTGCAGCTCATTCTGCAGCGTGGCTGAGCGACGCTGAGCCTCGGCTAGCTTCTCTGCAGGGAGGGAGCACGAGAACATGATTAAAAAGAGGTTTTAGACCAAAAGATTGAAGTCTATAGTTGCATATGGAGATTAGTCTGCCCTGCTGCTGTCTGTTCCAGGAAATGAAGCGTGGAGACTCTCAGGCTGAGCTGACGTGTAAATGTTGAGAGAGAGGAATCATTACCTGGGTCAGAGACAGGTTAATATACCCAGAAGAGAGGAAAAGAGAGGGCACACACACACACACACACACACACACACACACACACACACACACACACACACACACACACACACACACACACACACACACACACACACACACACACACACCCACACACACACACACACACACACACACACATACATACACACACACACACACACACACACACACACACACACACACACACACACACACACACACGGTTTTCTCTACATGTTAGTGACAGTGATCCTCGGATGAACACATGTGAGCAGCTGGAGGCGTGAGAATGTCCTGAGCTGTAGATTAAATCTGAAGACGAGGTGACTCTTCACAACAGAGTTCGTGTGTGTATGTGTGTGTGTGTGTGTGTGTGTGTGTGTGTGTGTGTGTGTGTGTGTGTGTGTGTGTGTGTGAATGTGAGTGTGAGGCTAATGGACCATAAAGGGGCAGGTGTGGGGGGTCAGGTTTCACTGGTGAGAGGGGAGTTGGGAAGAGTCTGTCCTTCCTTTAGCTTTTAGGAAGATATTCAATGGCAGTCTGCAAAAATGTATTTTCTTGTGCCTATTTTACCAAAGGGTCTTCATCATTTTCATGCAAAAGGTTTGTAAGTGAAAGAGAGACAAATAGCGACAACCTTTCCCAAAAGAAACCCACTTAAACACATCGGTTATTTTCAACTTTTGAATAAAAATAACCTTTTAAAACATGATCAAACAATCATTTGGTGCCCCTGAAACCCCCCTGGTGAACACCACTGGTAGATCTAACCCGTGAAGATGGAAGTGTTGTGCAGCTTTTAAAAGTCAGAGGACTCTTTCATGCTTTTTTATAATGCTAAGGTATTTAAATAGAATTAGGTAGGTGTAGCTAACCAGTTTTTCAATATAGATAAGTGCAGCACGGTGATTTAGCACAAGCTAGCTTTTCTTTTCACTTATAAGCTGATTTAAGGTCCCTTAAATGTTGGATTTGGATTACTTGGATGTGTTTTCTTATACACATTTTGATTTCTGAATAAAAATACACTTTCATGCAGTAACTCTTCGGCCCCCTGTTGAAGACCCCTGGTTTTCTTTAACTCATGAAGAAGGAGGTCTGCAGGATTTGAGCGCAGCGCAGCTTTCAGAGGTCAGAGACCCCTTTCAGAGCAGAGAGCCTTATGCATAGTCAGCACACCATCTATCTGCCACACACACACACACACACACACACACACACACACACACACACACACACACACACACGGTGAGTGGCATCAGATAAAGAGTGTACAGTCTGTGGAGGGTAAACACGATGCTGAAAGCAGGAGATGTTTTTATGAACAACACAGCGCTCACACACTGATGAGGATCTGCTGACCACAGATTCAACATGCAGCGCTGAGATCAACATTACAATAACATCTATATGTATCTGTTTTTATTCATATGCACAGACTCTGACATCAAATATTTACTTTCGAATGTAAAAAATCTAAAGGCTCACAACTCAAGAGTGATAGGTTGAGCACTGATTCATATTTTTCATGCAACAGATGTCAGAAAATGTGTATTTGTTAGCCTCTATAATATGTAGATTAAGTCCTGCCTTTTTCTATTTAACATCATATTAAAGTGAGAATGTTTGAGCTTTGGACTTCGAGAAACAGGGATGGACGATTTTCACTCATTTCTGATATATTAAACTGTTAAATATTGTGTTTTCCACAGATTTTCTCATTACTTTCTTGGAAGAAGACGACGAATCAACTTGATGTACTGAACACCAAAATGTACTGATTAGTCATATCATTGATCAAGGGGCGTCGTACATTAGAGTGTATGAGTAACCCACAAACACATTTTTACTAGGCAAAGGAATGTCCTCTGCAGCAGGAAGCTTCTGGACTTTCTTAATAATGAAAATATGTATAAAACGTAAGGGTCAAACCTTCAGTGTTTCGGTAAATAAACCCCCCCGCTAACAAGATCTGTCATGATTTATATCTGGTTTATTCACTGACATGCATCTGCCCGTTACGTCTCTTTGAATACACTCTATGGTTATGATGTCCCATCATTAAGAGCTGGGACGATCTGTCCAGTTCACCTTGGACCTCAGCTGACCTGCAGTTCCTCTGACAGCCTGTAGAGGATGTCATCACACACACACACACACACACACACACACACACACACACACACACTCAAACACACACACACACACACACACACACACACACACACACACACACACACAACCCAAAAACTACAGTGTTATGTATGCTAGTTAAAAACCTAAGTCCCTTACTTCTGCTCCATGCAGCATACTGTACTTAAGACGTACAATGAGAAAATAAGAGTGCAAGACACATAATGGTGCAAGTAAATCCCAGTTATAATGGAATATGCACGTATACAGTATAATGAGAATGTACATGTAATACAGAACAGTAGAACAAATACTGTTTACTGTGATACTGCCCTTCTGGAAGCAGAGCAACACCATGATGTTTTATGGCTTTCATCTCAGGTTACACACACACACACACACACGCACGCACACACACACGCACACACACACACGCACACACACACACACACACGCACGCACACACACACACACACACACACACACACACACACACACACACACACACACACACACACACACACACACACACACACACACTGATCCCTGAAATACACCGCGCCTCAACACGACAACCACTGGCGACTTCAATCACACCAACACAAGACACAACGTAAAGAGAGTACATCATGCAACAACTCTGAAATATATATATTGTTTAAACCTGATAGCTTATGCCATGTATATTAACATTTAAAATATGATTAAACGCCACATGTTGAATGTTGAGGCAATAATAAGGTAATTAAATAAGATTTAGGATGCAGAAGGAGGGTTATTGCAAAACAAAATCAACCAAATATTGAAATAAAAAGGTTAGCATAGAGTAAAATCTCCAATAGTAGTAGCTTATAGCAGTAACAGTCTTTATATCAATATATTATGTTACACCATATGTAAAATGTTGATGTTTTATACAATGTTAAAGTTATTTAAGGTGATTTTGGAAAGCTTATTTGCAATAAATCATAAAGTATTTTGTTTATATTAAATGATGGTTTGGAATTTGTACAGGTTTTAATTACATACTTAATTCAATAGTCTATTTAACTACGATCTCAATTACAACACTTTAACGATTTCACAAAAACCATAATCTAATTATATATAGTTGTTCACTTCTGGAGTAAAATAATGCAACGTAGAAAGAATAAAATAAAACGTAAGGTGGGAAATAAGGGAAAATAAGAAATAAGGAAATAAAATAAAACGTAAGGTGGGAAAAAGCTATTATTGAATCTAAAAAATGACGTGTATAGGAAACATAAATATACAAAAAAGGGAATTCAATCAACATCTGAAACGGCCCTTCATCCTTGATTTCACTCATGAACCGTTATGTTATAAATAAAGTAATAAGTACCTGAGTAGAAGGTGTTGATTTTCAGCAGCTCCTTCTCGCAGGTCTGGAAGAAACGCTCCTCAAACTTAGCGTAGTATCTCTTCACCGCGTCTTCATCTGTGACTGGAGAACAACAACAGAGACAGAAACTTAAACCTGATGCATGATGAAAGGCATGTAAACATTAATAGCACTGCTGCACTTTAAGTCCTTCTAGGTGTCAGGCTTTTAAACGTTTATCTGTACAGAGACATCAACACCATGCTTAAATTTGATCAACAGCTTCCTGTCCGTCTGTCTGCACTCTGCCCAAACCCTGCACGTCTTTTTTCAGGACATAATAAGGAATACAACAGCTAGAAAATGTAGATAAAGTGAAGAAATGTTAGCACTTTACTGTAAAGCAGCCTGTGCAACGAGACTACACTTATTTCACATTAGAATATCACCATATCTCATATCACTAAAATATAACATCCATATATTCCCTGGCTCTACGGTGTGCCTCACATGTTATTTCCATGATCAGCTGACCTTCTCATCACTCAGACCCGTGTCTAAATGTCGAATAAAGACCTCAGAATAAAGAGAGCAGTGTGTGTGCAGGGTAAAGGTGATCCAGTAGTGATACAGAAGCGGTGGCAATTATATAAAGTGAGGCCTGACTGGACGCAGAGGTTTTTCTATTCAACACGGTAATAAGAAAGTGACGCCGCAGGCAGCAGCTTGTCAATATCACTGTTTCACACACACACACACGTACACACACACACACACACACACACACACACACACACACACACACACACACACACACACACACACACACACACACACACACACACACACACACACACACACACAAGCGCTGTGATGAAAAGGTGAGAGAAACTTTAAAGTCCAACAGTTTAACAAGAAAAACAAATGAGAAACCGCCTCCACCAGCCGTGAAGATAATCAATTATGAGTTAATTAAACTGCGCTGTGCAGGAGAAACACTGTGAGGTGTTCTGTAGAAGGACACATCATAAAGGAACATAAAGATCCTGCAGCAGACGAACGAGACAAAACACCCTTCACTCATCGTTAGATAAAGGAATCTAAGAAGTGCCCATTAAACATCCAAACAGGATCATTATGGTGAATACAAATGGGAAATAGGACGACATTATGGGAGAAGTCTGTAGAGAAGAACAAACATCCACTTAGCATCAGCAGTGACCTCGCAGTACAACGATTATTGTACGAGAAAGGAGAGCAACCATTCAGAAAGACGTTTATCCTGCATGTATAGGAGCTCAAAGCCACTTAAATACAGCGCAAGAGAAGAAGAAAAGTCCAGGTTATATAGGAGGACAATAAAGCTACTGCAAGAGGAGGTGAAAGAAATGTAGACTGATGTGAAAAATGTGAAGGTCGATTGCTTTTGTCGTGTCAAATGATCATATAATCATTTAAAACATATAGTCTTATACTCTGATTGCCCTTTACTCTGTTAAATTGTATTTGTAGTCTTGTATGTGTTTAACAGAGACATATGTTTAGGGTTTATAGGTGGATTTGCAAATGGGTAAGAACTAGGGGGTTTTATGGTTTAATGATGGGATGTTTACAAATGCCTACAATTATTTATGGGACCAGTTGGCTGTTTCCTGTCATGAATATGTAGCGGGACTGTAAGCTGTGTTCTGGGGGCAGAACTTCTTTATCCTAAGTAGCTCTGTTCCTGCATTTGAGATCGATTTCAATTGTATTACTTTAGTTCAGTCAGACAACTCACGTGTTTCTTAATATGTTTATTAGAAGCAGCATATAGTTTGGGTTTGGCGTCTAGGCTCGGGCCTCATCACTCCACAGATTTACAAAGAACATTGAGTGATGATTAGATAACTATCCCCCCCGAGCCTACAGATGGGAGCTGGGGTGGAAGCTGGGGTGGGAGCTGGGGTGGAAGCTGGGGTGGAAGCTGGGGTGGAAGCTGGGGTGGAAGCTGGGGTGGAAAGCTGGGGTGGAAGCTGGGGTGGAAGCTGGGGTGGAAGCTGGGGTGGGAGCTGGGGTGGAAGCTGGGGCGGAAGCTGGGGCGGAAGCTGGGGCGGAAGCTGGGGCGGAAGCTGGGGCGGAAGCTGGGGCGGAAGCTGGGGCGGAAGCTGGGGCGGGAGCTGGGGCGGGAGCTGGGGTGGAAGCTGGGGTGGAAGCTGGGGTGGAGCTGGGGTGGTGGTGGGGTGGAAGCTGGGGTGGGAGCTGGGGTGGAAGCTGGGGTGGAAGCTGGGGTGGAGCTGGGGTGGAGCTGGGGTGGTGGTGGGGTGGAAGCTGGGGTGGGAGCTGGGGTGGAAGCTGGGGTGGAAGCTGGGGCGGAAGCTGGGGCGGAAGCTGGGGCGGAAGCTGGGGCGGAAGCTGGGGCGGAAGCTGGGGCGGGAGCTGGGGTGGAAGCTGGGGTGGAAGCTGGGGCGGAAGCTGGGGCGGAAGCTGGGGCGGAAGCTGGGGCGGGAGCTGGGGCGGGAGCTGGGGCGGGAGCTGGGGCGGGAGCTGGGGTGGAAGCTGGGGTGGAAGCTGGGGTGGAGCTGGGGTGGTGGTGGGGTGGAAGCTGGGGTGGAAGCTGGGGTGGAAGCTGGGGTGGAAGCTGGGGTGGAAGCTGGGGTGGGAAGCTGGGGTGGTGGTGGGGTGGAAGCTGGGGTGGTGGTGGGGTGGAAGCTGGGGTGGAAGCTGGGGTGGAAGCTGGGGTGGAAGCTGGGGTGGAGCTGGGGTGGTGGTGGGGTGGAAGCTGGGGTGGAAGCTGGGGTGGAAGCTGGGGTGGGAGCTGGGGTGGAAGCTGGGGTGGAAGCTGGGGTGGAAGCTGGGGTGGAAGCTGGGGTGGAAGCTGGGGTGGAAGCTGGGGTGGTGGTGGGGTGGAAGCTGGGGTGGAAGCTGGGGTGGAAGCTGGGGTGGAAGCTGGGGTGGAAGCTGGGGTGGTGGTGGGGTGGAAGCTGGGGTGGAAGCTGGGGTGGAAGCTGGGGTGGAAGCTGGGGTGGAAGCTGGGGTGGTAGCTGGGGTGGAAGCTGGGGTGGAAGCTGGGGTGGAAGCTGGGGTGGTAGCTGGGGTGGAAGCTGGGGTGGAAGCTGGGGTGGAAGCTGGGGTGGAAGCTGGGGTGAAGCTGGGGTGGAAGCTGGGGTGGAAGCTGGGGTGGAAGCTGGGGTGGAAGCTGGGGTGGAAGCTGGGGTGGTGGTGGGGTGGAAGCTGGGGTGGAAGCTGGGGTGGAAGCTGGGGTGGAAGCTGGGGTGGAAGCTGGGGTGGTAGCTGGGGTGGAAGCTGGGGTGGAAGCTGGGGTGGAAGCTGGGGTGGTAGCTGGGGTGGAAGCTGGGGTGGAAGCTGGGGTGGAAGCTGGGGTGGAAGCTGGGGTGGAAGCTGGGGTGGAAGAGGGACGAGGTGCGTCACGTGTTAATGTATCATTGGTGCCCGAGTTGACTGCCTGAACTAGCTCGCAGGCTTCGCCCCATTAATTATAACAATAGACAAACATTGTCCATTAACCATTTATCAGTTTCTCTCCCCAAAAGCTTTTACCTACCTGCTATAACTAAGAGGCAACACATGCTGTGTGCTTGTTCTGGAAGTGTCTTTCAAGATTAGATTTTCTTGTGTTTTGTTTATTTCTCCCAATATATCAAGCATGCAGGTAAGTCAGCATGTTGTCAGTAAAAGCAAAGGAATCTAAACACGCACAATAAACGTTCTATTTCCTAAGTGTTCCTAACCATTACATGGAAGGATATGATGCACATACGTTGAGAAAATGAATACAACTTTTTTAAATTCAGTGTTACAGTATGACCTCGTCTCCAATGTACAAGGTGTTCCTTTCAAAACATTGTCTACCGTGCGACAAAAAAGAAAAATAGCTGTTATTAATTCCAGATTTTTGTCAGCAGAGAGGCTGAAAAAGGCGTGGGTTGCTTCCACTTTAGAAAGAGGTATTTCTGCTTAAATTGTAGACCAATCAGCTGAATGTCTGGTCAGTGAGTGTGTGTGATGACAGAATGAATAATGGTCCAACATGCAGACCTGCAGGCGAGCAGCAGGCTGATGCTGTGATTTAAAGTAAAAGGTTAACCCTCTTATGAACACTGTGTGAAGGAGCACTGAGGGAACAGAGAGGAGGAGCAGTGGAGCATGTAACATATGTCCCCTATATATCAGTATTTGTTTAATTCTAAATGTCCAGGAAATTACTGTCTATTCACCTTATGTAGCCTGTGGAGTCTATTTTTATATAACATTACAAGAGGGATTCTTATTATTACATGATATGCTTATTGTGTTCATGAGATTGCTATGACTATAAAATAAATAGACACAATCACTAATCCCAAGTTCTGATGGGTTAGATACCAACGAAGGGAATAGTCAGAAGAAAGTTTTCAGCTTGCAATACTAATGTAGCAAAGCCAGGTGTAGACGCAGTAAGAAGACAGTGAGTTACTGAGACTCTGACCTTGAGCTGTGGGTGAGCTCCGCTCCCACACATAGCCAGGAATCAGTATAACCAAGATTCCACTATATCTGCAGAAAGCTTCAGCAAAAACAAATTACGTATGATGGTGCCAGAGTAGGGAGGGACTTTCACAGGCCGGCCGAATGCTGATTGGAGGATTGTGTTGCCAAGAGACTTTTTTCAAAGTCTGTGCACCTACCAAAGAGAACCAAGTCTAAACCACGGTATCTCTTCAGCTAGTCTTGACCAATCATAAATGTACGGGCAACGCCCTGTGTAATACAAATGTATGCACGCACAAGGTTCGGGGCTCTTCCCGGAAATAGTGGTTACAGATTACAGCTTTGCTGCCTGTGATTTCTATGACGTGACGGAGTCCTTGGCCAAGTGAATATATATCTTTTGCTACCTTATAATAAATAGTTGAACTTAGAAGTTGTTTGTCTTTCCTGGAATTTTGAACACAACTAGCCCCGCCTGTTTCCCCACTTCCTGTTTAAATGCTTGTGTGTTAGTTCTTCCAGCAGCTTTGTAAACGAGGAGTTTTATTCAAGATCATTGTCAGCTACACTGAGGCGATTGGATGGTTTTACAGCATCAATTCTCTGTTAGTGACTACAGGATGACATATGACAAGCTAGCAAAACGTTAGCTATCTATCTAATTAGTTAACTAGCTCACATTAGCATTAACATGTCAGCTATCTATCTAATTAGTTAACTAGCTCACATTATCATTAACATGTTAGTTATCTATCTAATTAGTTAACTAGCTCACATTATCATTAACATGTTAGCTATCTATCTAATTAGTTAACTAGCTCACATTAGCATTAACATGTCAGCTATCTATCTAATTAGTTAACTAGCTTACCTTAGCATTAACATGTTAGCTATCTATCTAATTAGTTCACTAGTTTACATTAGCATTAACATGTTAGCTATCTATCTAATTAGTTAACTAGCTTACATTAGCATTAAAATGTTAGCTATCTATCTAATTAGTTAACTAGCTCACATTAGCATTAACATGTCAGCTATCTATCTAATTAGTTAACTAGCTTACCTTAGCATTAACATGTTAGCTATCTATCTAATTAGTTCAATAGTTTACATTAGCATTAACATGTTAGCTATCTATCTAATTAGTTCAATAGTTTACATTAGCATTAACATGTTAGCTATCTATCTAATTATTTAACTGGCTTACATTAGCATTAACATGTTAGCTATCTATCTAATTAGTCCAAATTTGCGACTCTCGTAATTCAAATTAGAGTTTAATTGAACACCCTAGGTCAGACTTAAAGTGCTGACCTGTGTCTGGAGTTACGGCAAATCAAATCAAATCAAATCAAGGTTTATTTATAAAGCACATTTAAAAGCGATTTTTGGTCAGGCCAAAGTGCTGTACATGTAATAACTACAATCACATAAAAACACATTTCTATAATCACAATAAAAGACAATAAATTACAACAGATATTTAAAAAGAAAACACAGGGTTAAAGTCAGGAGTCGTGCTCCGCTCTGACTAAAAGGCCAGGGAGAAGAAGTGTGTCTTAAGAGTAGACCTCACATGGAGGGGCAGAGTGTTCCAGAGCCTAGGGCCAGCTGCTGCAAAGGCTCGGTGCCCTTGGGTTTTGAGCCTGGTCTTGGGCACTATCAGCAACAGCTGGTCAGCCGACCTTAAAGCTCTTACGGCAGTGAGAGTCTTTATAAAAACACTGTTTTACAGATTGTCAGTGGGATGCATTTACATGGATCTTTCAGAGGAATACATTTCTATATATGAAACACCTTCCTTTATGCTTACTGACAGAGTGTGTGTAGATTTGATATAACAGAGGTTATGAAATGGCCTTGCCCCCCGTCTCTTTGTTCCCTGCTGACCTTGTGCACCACTGGGAACATCAGTGGAGGTGTGTGTGTGTGTGTGTGTGTGTGTGTGTGTGTGTGTGTGTGTGTGTGTGTGTGTGTGTGTGTGTGTGTGTGTGTGTGTGTGTGAGGTGTGTGAAGTGAAGAACAAAGCCCCCAGTCCTTACATCCTCACAGCTGTTTGACTGAAACTGAAAATATATCCATGCCACTCACTGTAGCTTCATCCAGGTAACATAAGCATCAACATGTCATAATTAAAAACTCCTCACCTGTCTTCTTAATTGAAAACAGTCTGAATGCATGCAGCTTTATGGTGTTCTCTGTGTCTTTAATTGAATCTAAGGCGTCAGTGCTCATGTGAATCTGAAGGCTTCTCCTACAGACAAACAGTGTGAGTTCTCATTATCACAGGTCTGGGTGGATCACAAGAGAAAAGGCTTTCTAGAGTCCAACAGCGCTCACAAAGGGATTCAAAGGCAGGTAAAAGCTTGGACGTCATGGGAAAGGAGACACTCAAACTCAGTGACAAGATGGAAAAACTTTAAGTCATTTTCTAAATCTACAAATGAGTTCAGCCACAAAATGTAGCATTTATTATTTTGTAAAACAGATACCATAAAACCATCTGAATTTCACAAAAAAGATAAATCTAGGTGTACGGAGCGGCTGAAAAGTTTCTATGTACATCAGCTGGTCTGAACTTCCACTTCCTTCCAAGGTGTTTATTAAACTATAATTTACTTTATTAGGGCCATACAGTTGATGCATAGACTGTAACGTTGCTACTGTAAACGGGTGCTTGGATTTACTTCGAAACACAAGAGGCAGAAGAACATTTCCAACAGGCACTGCACTACTATTTGTAGTTTGGTTTTCTACTACAACGTGTTTACATGTTCAAAAAACACATTCATTTTCACATACTGTCTGAATGTACCTCTATTTACCCTCTGTCTGAATCTCACTTTTTTGGTGCCTGTCTCTTTAGAACCTCCTTGTCAATCTTAAAAAATTATTTCCATGTCAAAAAAGTCACAGTTTGTCGTAAAACTGTTGAAATATAAGACTATGAAAAATATGCAACTAGAAAGACTACAAATCCCAGAATCCCGGTCCCGCATGCTGGCTCTTATGAACCGACTAACTCCCCTTGTGTGTATGTACAGCTCTCAACATGCCCAGACTTGGAGTGATTTTCACCTCTTTTAATACTTTCCGCCTCATTCTGAAAGAAAGAAGTGAAATGTGCCAACGTGACGGCCGTCTGGGTGTGTGGTGCGAGACGGGAGATGTAGTTCATTGAGCGTTTCACACACAAAAAAGTGTTACTACACAGTTTTACGACACATTTAAATTTTTTTGACTTGCAAAATTATCTTTTAAATTGACAAACATCATATGTGTAATTTGTGGCACAATTCAAACGGGATCGAAAGATAATCTTTCTCTCCCCATTGACTTCAATACATACTTTTTCTGAAATAAGGTCCCATGGAGGTCCCCCGGAAGAGGAGGGACTTCGCCTCTCTATTATGATCTGATCGGCTCGTGGGGTTAATTGCAGAGGTGGTTCTCTTGGAGATACTCAGATAAGGGGAGGTATTTTCTAATGACCCTGCATGTGATACAGTAAGGGGCAGGGCAGCCACAGTTTAATGGCTTGTTGAATCCAGTATTATCACAAAACATGACTGGGATGTCTTACTTCACAGTTTGTGGGTTGAAGGCACTCCACATGTGCACAAAAACTAAATGAAATGTCCCCTTTAATATTTCTCCTGCAGTCCTAACACGGATGCTGAAGGAAGCAGTAAATCTCACTTCATCGACAAATAAACTGGACCTTAAATACAGTTGTGTGTGAGTGTGTGAGTGAATGTGTGTGTGTGACGAGATGATGATGAAGCACCTCAGTAGAGTAAAATGGTTTTGTCCCTGAAGGGCTTTGAGGTGATTTATGTTTCCTCTGTGTGTGTG